TGGTCCTTCCACGGAATTGTTTGAGGTTTATCTCGGTCCAACAAGATCCCAACTTGACCAGGCAGTAGATCCACCTCCCCTCAGATGCCCAGTGGATTTCCATGGAAACAAAAAGGGCATCCGCTTTTTGGTTGGTTGACTTTGCAGGGGAACCCTTCCCAAAAAAGGAACAAAGGGCACCACTGGGCAACTGGTTCCCAAAATGGCCCTTCTTGGGAGCTCTGCTCACTCAAGGCCCGAGATCCGCGCGCTTCGCGCAGCAGAGCCCAAGCCAAAGTAGTCGAAGTTCTGGCGGGAACGTCGATGGCTCGCGCGCAGCCGGCCGAAACGAAGCCTTTTGACGTGGGGCAAAAAGCGACTTTGAGATGGACCAAAGTCCGCGTTGCACCAGGGCGCTGAAACATGAATGGCGAATCCCACCTGCCAACTGAGGCCCCAAACAAGAAAAAACAAAAAAACAAAAGGGGACTTACAAGCAACCCCTCCCAGTGGTTCTTGGAGCAGACACGGCGACGGGCAAGAAAAACCCTCAACCGGCAGAAGATCCGTGTCCCAAACTGGCCTCATTTTGGACCTCACCTCAAGAGCTGCAAAGTTGCTCCCTTGAAAATCCGAGTCTCCTCCAGGAGGGATCCTGCTTTGGGGTTCCACCTTGATGTAGGGCCAGGGTGAAAAAAAGGCCTTATGTAGGGAACACTCAGACTTTTGGGCTCCAGAAAGCAAAACGGCTCTTCTCCAGCTGTGACTTGGGCGACTGCAAGGTGCGCCGGTGTGGGGAGGCGGGGTTGGAGGCGAGTGCACGCGCCTCTTCTTGCACAACCACCTTAGTCAACGGTGAGAACTGTGCTCTTCCCATGGTTTGGCTTTTCAGGGCGCGAGACTGGCTCAAAACTGAGCCCAATATCTAGCCCTTGACTGCAAAAGAAAGCAAAGATACCTTGGACGAGCCGGCTGTCCAACATCGACTGTAGGCAACGCTGGTATTCCGCGCAGGAGGAATGGCTGGCCTGATCAAAATCCCCTTTGACTCATCAGAGGTGTCAGCGGCCAAATCGTGGCATCTGCGTCCACCCCCATGCTGGCTGTGGGTCAAAATCAAGCGACACTAAACATATGATTCTGCTTGCTATTTAAGTGTGCTTGTTTTGTTGAGTTTTAAGCTTGTTACACTACACAGAGTCAAAATCATAGGTGTCAGAGGTTTCAGATTCTGCTTGTTATTCAGTTTGCCCTAAAATGTAAAACAGCTTGGGAGACCCCAAAATCACGAACTTGTTGGGTCACCAGACGCCAAAACCGCCCGCCGATTCGCCGCGCTTCCCCAGGTCAAGGATCGAGCACCGCGTAGGATTAGGATCCGGATTTTTTGGGACACTGGGCCAAACGAAACGGGAAAATGGGCGGTTTCTTTGTTGCGAGAAGGATCACAAATGAAGGGAAACGGATGGATTGTGAGGCTTTAAAGCCAGATCCAGTCATGATTATCGAAAAGAGTTGGCAATTCTTTGGCCTTTTGTACTAGTCAGAGGGTTTGTTTGTTTAGATTATAGGAGAACCAGCTCTGATGCAGCCAGAAGGCTTCTGCTTTTCTACCCAATGTCTTGCAACCAAATAAGGGAGTCTGGAAACTCATTGTGTGTGATCTGTGTACATGCATATACGTGTATATATATATATATATGTATATATACATGTGTGTTATACATGTATAGATGGACCCTCACCACCGTTTTGCCCCAAAGACTCCCCCCCCCCAACTCCAACTAGCCCCAACATGTCCACATCGTTCACTTGGTATATTTCCACACCCCGGTGATTTGGCTGTGGTTCAAAACCAATGGCATCCCATGTTGGGGTAGGTGAATTCACCAGGCTTCCTATTTTAGTGGCTGAATCGCATGTTCACTGGGGGCTAACCGATTTGGGTTTTGACCCATGGCCATTTCTCCATCTCGTCCAAGGCCAAGGCCTTGCTGCGGGTCGCCTCCTGGGCAAAGGTAGGCTTCAGAGAGCTTCCGCTCGTTGTGTCATGGGGTCCCTTAGGTGTTGGGGGGGATTTTCCTGATCCCCTTGTGGTTGCTCTCTCTTTGTTTCCCGGTGTTGGGGGGATTTTCGGATCCCCTTGGGAAGCCACAAGGGGAAGCCACAAGGGGAAGAACGGAAGCCATTTTGGAGGGAGGTCCGACCAACAAATGGGTGGTGCGATAGGGGAAAGAGAATGACCCCGAGAAAAAGCATCCCCGATTTGGGTTTCCTTTGAGGGAATCCGGAATCCCCTCGCCGGATCATTCCCAACACCCAGCTGCGGTCATTCTCTACTGAGCACCAGCAAGGAAACCACAGGCTGTCCAAGCTGGCCCACAGGCTGTCGCATTTCGCCACTTCACTACACTGACTATAGCTGACAAAGAAAGCAAAAAGAACCACAAGGAAACCCACAAAGAGTCAAGTGGACACCCACAATTTGCAAACCCAATGCACCAAGAACTCCCAATCTGAAATTTGGGTCAAGTAATTTGTTGCTCCTGTTTTCATGCTCCAAGCGTTCTCTTGTTCGTCGGCGCCTTGTTCTCCTGGGGCTCCAGATTCTCTCGATCCACCAGCTCCTGCGCCTCCTGTCGCCCCACATTCGGAGTATCCCGGGGAATCTCGGCACCCGGATTCCAAAAGAGGCGTGGCTCGCTCTTCGGGGAACCCGAAAAGCCGCGGGGATTCTTTGGACATGGGTGTGGCTCAAAATTAAACAGGAGGGGTTACGCAGATGTTGGTCCATGTTTCCACTTACCAGGGTTCCATTTTGGACCTTTTTTTTGAGCCACAGCCACATGGGAAGAAACCAGTTGGTGTTCGTTGTTGATTCTACAAGGGTTTTTGGAATGCTGGCATTGGATGTAGGTTTAAACCATGTCTTTGCTTTCCACGTTTACCGCTTTACTTCGCCAATTTTCAACGTGACCCCATCAAACGGAAAACTGGACCGGAGTCGGGAGTCGCGTGTCACATCGAGCCGGAGGCGAAGGCGTCTGTCCTCCTCCTGCCTGTTCTCCTCCATCAGCCTCCGACCCGTCCGATTGGATCGCCAAACTGGAGGAAACAAAAAGGACACCCAAAGCACTGAAAGGGTTGCTTTTTTGTTTAGCGGAGGAAAGCTTCAGGAAACCCTCAAGCAACCAAAACGAAAGGAAACAAGAGGAAACCAAAACAACCAAGAGCAACCACAGACTGCTCTATTCACATCTCATCATCTTGAGACTCGGAGCAGCCCGACTTTCTGTGATACCAAAGTAGGATGCCCATCCAACCTTCCCACACACTTTTGAAAAAAACATGTACCATGTGTTCACCCATGTTGAGGGTAATTCAATGGGGTACTTTAGTACATTGGGGTCTTGCTCAAGAGCTCATCATTTCAAAGGGGGTTTCCTGGGTATCACGCAAAGTGGCGGCAAAATCCAATTTGCCATGTATTACAACCCAGGACCAGATTCCCTAACACATTGGGCATGTACAAGCCCAAAAAACACATACAGCTGGAACCTTCACCTAAGATATTCCATGATAACTCCCGAGTCATCGTCAAGCAATCCCCTTCAGCCGGGAACTTCTGGTTGTGTGTCAAAGCCACGGAAGCTTTCAGACAGCTTGATTCCTTGGAATACTGTCCGGAAAGTAGGCCGTCGACACTAGTGTTGCCACACGCACCCGCACACCTGCCAGCATGTGCACGTGTGCATGCGCACGGACACGCCGCACATGCATGCTCACACGGACCGCACACACAGGCACACACGCACACCTCGTCCCGCTAAAGCCACGTGATCTGGGGACTTTCGTGACATGTTCATGTTCCCAACGTTCCCCGCACCATGTTCAACTAGGGACTGAAAGTCCAACTACGTATTCTTCCTGAGACCAATGGTAAAGATTGACCTCTCGTATCCCTTCCAGCCGGCCCCATGGCCCACCTCAAATGAGGATGCTTCTGTCGGAGCAGGTCCCCCACGAAGTCACGCACGGTGTCGATGACTTCCTGGCATGTCCCATGAAGCCGAGAACATGGTAACTTTGGTTTCGGTTTGGTTCCCTTTAAGCCACCCCGTTTTAAGGGCAACCCTCAAAAGCGACAAATTCCATTGGGCAAGGGGCAAAGAGCCTCTCTCCCAACGTGTGTGCCTCTGGTCCACTAACGTTTGACATGGAACCTACCTGTAATACTGTCAGGGAAAATGGGCTTCCAGGACCCCCCCGTGAGGTTCCAGAATGGGCCGTGCCGATCCGAGCTGCAAGGTCCGCGGCTGGTTTTCTTCTGACTGGCCGCTTCCACTATCACAACGCTGGCTGGTTTGCCTGGAGAAACTGTGTACAGGCTGCAATGCAGGAGGAGTGCTCACAAAGATTTGCTGAACAAAAGATCCTAGTCCTACTTCTCTGCAAATCAACATGGAACCTAAACAGGGTTTTTTACACAAAAAGGAGAGTCCATTTTTTTTTTCGGGGGTTCCAGGTGAATCTGCAGAGGAGTAGGTGCCCAAAGGAGGCCTAGCCACTGCTAGTCAGGTATGTGGTCTGTCACCCTGCAATCTGTGTGCCGCAATCCTGGCGTTCAACCAACAGCACCGATTCGGCACCGATGGTTTCTCCATTCCCAAACCCAAACGGAGCGCCCGGGAATCGATAGTCTTCCTGTGGACTTGTGGAGTGTAACACTTCTTCGCCGAGCTTGGTTATGTGGCTTGAAGGTAAAAGCAATCACGTAGCCAAGAAACTGTTGACGGGCATCCATCTGCACTATGGCGACATATGGCGCTGGAATCAACGTGTCTAACTCATCCCGCTCACAAGCAAGCGGGCAAGCGGGATGATGGTGCCAAGCAAGAGCAAGAGCACACGCAGTGCACAAAGGCACGCGAATGAATTGACAGTGCAGGTGTAGGCACCAGACTAGGTCCTCCAGTAGAGAGGCTAGACTAAGGGTACCATTTTTTCTGTAGTCTATTTTAGTCGGGGAACCCTCCCCCAAACAAGGGGAGAAAAGGGCACTACTGGGGGACCTAGCAGAGGAAGCGGAGATTAAAAATTCATTTTCAGCTGCTCCGCCAATAGTTTCCTCCTTTCGCGCCTTTGGACTTGCCCTTGGCGCCCTTGCCTCCTTTCTGGCTCTTGCCGCCCTTGCCTTTCCGCTTCCTGTCCTCCTCATAATCCTCCTGCCACTCTTCGAAGCCCACAGAGCCCGTAGGCGTGGAGGGCACCTGCGTCGGTTGCTGGGAGCCGGTTCCTGGGCTTTTTTGCAGACCCAAAAACAATGCAGCAACAAGATCATGGACCCTCCAGGAGGGGCCATGGGGAGGGGTGGGGGGGTAGCTCCCTTATTGAGGGTTTATCCCTGGCTTGTCGTGGGCTTATCCAGGGATATCCCCCCCAAAAGGATGCGCTGCTCATGCTTTTGCAAGAACAAACATGGATAATCATAACTTGCGCAGCTGGCATACAGCTCTCTTGTTTTGCAAAAACCATACCCACCTGGCCGTTGAAGCGCGCGCTCAGCCAGTCGTCCATCTTGGGATCCCGGTTCCCTCCCTTCTTCTTGCCGCCGTTCCCTTGTGGCACATAGGTGGCTTGAGCCGCATAGTCGTAGGCCATGTTTCCCATGGCCATGGCGCCCTTGCCCTTGGCATTCCCGCTCTGCATCTGCATCTGCGCCATCTGCAACTGGGGGTCCTTGGGCTGCCACTGGTCCGTCCGCCTCTCGCCCTTCGAAGACCCCTTCTTCTCCACCCACTTGGCACCTCCGTCCTTGCTCTTCCCATCCTCCTTCCCGCCATCCTTGCCCTCCTTCTTTCCTTGGCCCAGCGTTACAGCGACCCCAGCCTCCAAAATTTGCGCAAGCCTTTGGCTCACACACGCCTGCCACCCTCCATTGCGCCCTGTCTGAATTGGAGAAGCCTTTCGAGAATCCACCGAATCAACAAAAATAGAAACCACCACTTAAGTGGGCTGAACGTCTGCAACCAGTGAGGATCTCTTCAGGGTCCCAACAGGATAACGACATCCACTTGATTCCTCCATACTTGACTAGAGGTCATCAGAAACAGATTTTATAAAAAAAAAAAAAAAAAAAAAAAAAACACTTCGGCTAAGAATGTACCATCCAGCAACTCCCTCAAGCCCAAGCCCATTCCCCAAGACAAAACGCTTGGAAAATGCCATTTTCTTCCATTTCTTCCATTTGCAGTGGAGGCCCCTGGAAAAATATATATGTCCAGAATAGTATTAGATTCCCTTTAAAACCAAACAAGGGGAAAATATGCAATTTATATTTGGCTGTGGCTCAACAATTGGTGCCCTGGCGACTCTAAAACCAGGGAAAATAAACGACCTGGTCCCTCAAACAGCCCAGGAAAAAACGGAATTCTGGGGCAATACCCCGGTACAGGAATTTTCAGGGTCCAATCTTCCTAGGTCCAGTAGAGAGGTTCGAACAATGTACCTATTTTTTCCAGGACGTCTATTTTAGTAGGTAACCCTCCCAACCAAAAAAGTTGGTGAGAACAAGGGCACCTAGCTGGGGACCTAGAAAAGGAAACCCAAACCCGTTTTGGGGCGGTCCATATGGATCTGGGTCAAAAATAGGTACCCCGAAAACATGGACCAAAACCTGTGGTGCCTTGGTGGTTGTCTAAGTTTGTTTCAGGACGTCTATTTTAGTAGGCGACCCCTCCCAACCAAAAAAAAGAGCGAAAAAAGGGCACCTAGCTGGGGGGCCTAGAAATTCATTTCAGCCAGTCGTGCTTATTTTTGTTCTCGCTCGTCTTGCTGTCTTGGTGCCCTTTCCCTTGGGCTTCGGGGTCTGGATGGCCCACATCTGCTGCATCTCCTGATCCACGCCCACGTCCTGGATGTCCGCCCAAGGGTTCTTGGGGTGCCGCAGCTTGGCGCCCTGTCCCGGCTCCTCGTGACGCGCGGTTTTGGTGGAGGTTTTGTGGGGCCAGGGATGTTCCTTTTGTTGGCTTCCTGAAAAACTCCCCTCAAACACACGGCTTAAAGTGAAAGTGCTTCGGTTCGTTTTGGCAGAAAAGAGGTCTTTTCAAAGGGCTTTGGTGGTTTTGGTCGGCTTCCTTGAGAACAAATCCGGGGATGGTTGGGGGGGGGGTCTAAGGGAGTTTCCGGTTAGCTCCCATAAAACCACCCACCCACCCACCCACCCACCCACCCACCCACCCACCCACCCACCCACCCACCCACCCACCCACCCACCCACCCACCTACCCAGAACACAGCAAGCTGCTCCATGCCCGTCGGAAGGTTCATCGGGTTTCTGCCTTGGCCCCTCAGTGAGCGCAGAAACAAACGGAGGGGGGGGCACATGTTTTCAGCCTGGCGCCCCGTTTGCGGCGGTTCCGTTTGCGCGGCTTTCATTTGATGCTTCACAGACCTTGGCGGCGCCGGTGGTCAGCTGGTCTTCCCACAATGGCCGACAGGCGCGCTTTTTTTTTGGGTGGGTCACGGCGGGCTTTGGCTTGGGCTTGGTGGGCGGCGGCTGCGGCTGCGTCAAGGTGGGCTTGGGTTCGCTTCGTGTCAGACTTGGCCGGTGGAAGCCAAGTCAGGAGGTCCAAGGTTTCAAGAGAGGCTCCTCCGGCTTTCCTTCGTCTTCGATTTGCTTGAGACCCCGGGGAAAAAAACAATTTTAAAAAAAATGTCCAGTAGTGAAATCGATTCCCTTTAAAACCAACAAGGGAAATAAACACATTCATTTCAGCAAATGGAAGTTGTCTTTTCTTATTTGGGGGAGGAGAGATGGCGTGGGAGGTAAAGACCGTTGTATGTTTTCAACCCCAAGCTCCTGTGTTTAAGCCCCTGATCTTGTGATTTATGGGACCCGCGGGAAAAACCCTCGAATGGGTTTGCACCTCAGGAAATGAGGGAAGGACCCCGGTGAAGCATCCCTTGTGGCCAGTTCGGGAATCCATGGGTTCAACTGGGTTCGGCATGAGGGCGAACGAGTTGATTCCTATCGTTTGGGAATCGGATTCCGGGTATCTGCTCTGATTCCGGTGGTTTTGCGGCAAGAACTTGGACCTGAATGTTCCATGGCTTCTATGCGCAGTGAGGGAGGGTCCTCAAAGCACGCAAAATATTCCCTGAAAAATTGGTGATTGCCCCCAAAAAAACAGGGTTGACTTCGCGCTGTTGAGGGGAAGCCCTTCTTTCAACCTTCTTTTCATAGGGGCACGGAACCCTCGAGGGGTATCGGCAGCTCGAGGGTCCCTTCGTTCCCTTGTCGCCCGTCTCCTCCGGCTGCTCCGCTCCGAGCGCCTCGCCCGGCGGGCTGCCGCCTCGCTCGGGCCGGGTCCGGAAGGCGCCCTGCTTGGGCTGCGTGTTGCGGCCCAGCCCTGCGGCCACCCGGGACCTCGGGTCGAAAACAGGTTTGGAGACACGCGCTTCTTCTGATATTTTTGTTGGTGTGTTTTTTGTGTTTTTTTTTTTTTGCTGGTCTCCCCATGGTGATCCTTGAGACATCTGTAGAAATATGTTGATATGCTACGGTGTCCTTTGAGTCATCTTTTAGTACTCTTTTGTTGATATTCTACAGGGGTGAATCCGGAAAAGCCACATCCAAACCCTTGTCTAGCAAGCCCATCCTTCCCAGTGCTTCAGAAATATTCCGTTTGCACAGCCCCCTGGGAAAAAAATAATCCAGTAGTGATAGACGGGAAAAACAAGGAACACATTTCAGCAAATGGAAGCAAGGGCCAAATTGCAAAATACCCATATGGGCCAAAACAAATTTTGGTGTTCGAAACCATGTTTTCCCTGGTGTTTTCCCTTGGGACTTAATTTCGTGACGGTTTGATTCGACCAGTGCTTCCTGACAAGCCACTAGATAACCAGGTACCGGGGATTATTATTTTTGTTAGTGGCGAAACGCCTGGAAGCACTGGGCTTTGACGAAGCTTCTCATACCTTTGAGCCTACCTTTTCAGCTGATTCCTTTCAGAGGTCCTGCTCAAGGTACGGGGTGCTTTGAGCAAAAAGGTATGGAAGGTTCCAAGGGATTTGTGGCTTCCTTACGGATCAGATTCACTCAGGTTCAGTCCACCAAGTCGTGGGGATGCGGACTTCTTTTGGAGATGGCATGCCCTTTGTTGGGGTTTAGAGCCAAAAGAAAAGCACCCAGAAACTGGGGTCCCCATGTTGCTTCACAAGTACCCATTTGAATTTCACATGGCCACAACGCATTTGGGAAAGCGGAGTGCCTCTCCTGGGGAAATGACCCTCGTGGGTCCAAAAATCTAGCACCTTGGGGTCAGCCGGAACCCTGATAGCAATGGTGGACCCATTTGTTGAATTGCGTCAAAGAAACTCCACAATCGGTGGTCCCCTATTTGAGCACTCATATGGCTCCAGAAAATCCCATTCCGGAAATGGTGCGTGACTCAATTGAGAGGGCAAACGATGGGTCTGTCTGTCTTGAGTACCCCTTGTTTGTGGCTTAAACAGGGACACCCTTTTTGGAGGGTCCCCTTATTATTTAAAAAAAGAAGAAGAGAAACCGGACAGACCCTTACATGTTTCACCAACCACGGCATTCCGAGCCTCCCTGGTTCCCTGCCCAGGTTGGCCATGGCGCGCGTTGGCGTCCTTGGCCTCGGGCTCGCTGGCGCCTGGACGTTGTCCATCCATCTGGCCCATGGGCATCTGGCCGGGTTGGTTGGGCATCTGACCACCGGGCATCATCACGAACTGCATGTTGGGCTGGGTTTGCCCCGCTTGGGCCATGCCGGTTTGGCCCATCATCTGGGGCATCATCATCCTCGACTGAAACGGACCCCAAAAAAACCGCAAATGAGAGCCGGTGACATCTGCCACAAATGGCAACATGGTGTCGCAAGAAGCAAACCACAGGTAAAAGCACAACATCTGCATCATTTTTGGGTACCATGACTCAAAGCCGGCACAACTCAGAAAACCAAGTGTCAAACGTTAGCCCAGTCATGCCCAGTGGATCCTACGAGCAGTTTTACACCTATATATATATTACATGATATACCAGTGCAGTAGGTAACCAGCCAATGTCCTTTTGACTGTTGAAGGGTGGCCATTATGAATCAAAGTCACCCTCCACATGGTAGGATGGAGGCAAACCATATGAGTTTCTGACATTGATCGCTACTATTCGACAACAAAAGGAGCCCAGTAATGTTGACCCCATATTAATCAACCCCAGTTTATCAATAGGGGGGTTAATCATTGCTTTTGGAGGGGCCCCCACCCCCCTACTCCCCGCTACTAAATACACTGGGGTTGATTAACATGGGTTCAACATTACCATACCGGGTAAATGGATTTCCCATTTACACAAAATCCAGGGGTTCAAGTTCAAATCCTCAAACTTCCAATCCAAACCACCAATCAATCTAGGGGTTGATTCCCCGTTCTTTTCAACCATTGTTCTTTTTAAACCAGCTGCTTCTCCGGGGGTGCTGGTGGTTTTCTGGAAAGACTCGGATCCCTGGAAAGAATGGAATTGGAAGTGTCCCCTAGAATTCAGGATTACCTGAATATGGGAAATGGACTCACTGGGCTTTGCAAATTAAGCTTCTGCTGCATGGCCGGGTGCAAGACATAGCCACAGTTCCCGCCCGCGCCACAGCCAGCCGCACAGGGGTTGGGCACCCCGGGTTGACCTGCGTGGTTTTGTGTGACCGGTTTACCCCTCTCCCAACTGCCCCCCAACGGGAAAAACCGCAAGTACATGCCATTCTTTTCAAGTTTTGTTTGGGACCGCTCGCCTTTTGGCTTTTTCCATGGGGGGGGGTCCCACTTCTGCCGCTTTGTGTTTTTCCCAACTTTGTTTGGCTCTGCTTGGGGGGGGGGTGTTGGGGGGCACATTTGGGATGACCAGGGAAACCACACAAAAGGAATCGACTTTCCCCACATGGCAGTGGGTCAAAAAATAAACCTGCGGTCCCATGGTGGTTTAATTTTGACCCATAACCACATGGGAAAAGTTCCTCATGGTCAAAACTGGGGGCCCTAAATGGAATATGGACCAACCCCCACGTCTCAGACGGGGGGGGGGGATGTATGGTGGACACTTAGGGTCCATTTTGCAACCTCCTTCATTTAGGGCATTGGTTTTTCAGGGCTCTTGGTTGCAACACATACTCCAAGTGTCCGTGGCACGGGGGCGATGGGGCGGGGGGGGTGCAACGCAGTTCGCCTCCCGGACACCCGGCGCCCGCGGGGCAGCCACTGGGACACCCCCCGGGCACGTTGGTGGTGCTTGTTGGCCCGGGACAGGGAGCGCCCGCACAGCCGCCCGGACAGCCGCAGCCTGGCACCACCATGGCTACCCTAAACCAACCCTCAACCAAACCCTTTACAAAATATAGAATAAAAATCGGAAGGATCCAACGGAACCCACCCCCCCCCCCCCCAAAAAAAAAGAGAGAAGAAGCCCCCCCCCAAAAAAAAAACGAAGGTCTGGGGTGCAGTTGCCATCCAAACAAGAAGTTCTGGGGTTCTGGTACCGGATTCAATCAAGCGGGCCGAAAATCCAACCCTGAACCAAACGAAAACCGAGGCGACCCTAAACCAACCCCATGCCAACCCTAAAAACAAGCCCTGAACCAACCCTACCACAAATAAGCCCACCCCCCAAACATGGAATACTCCAGAGACTATATTACCATTAGTTACCTAAGCAAATTTCATCATCCAAGTTGGGTCAACCAGTATTTTAATGGGGGTTGAAGCCTAGGTAAGCCCACAGGTGATATCCCCAGCCCCCCCTTTCCACGAGCAAAAAAGGGTATCCCAGCAGCCCGATTCGATTCTCCATAAGCCCAGGTAGTATCGCAGCCCCGGATTCTTCTTGAACCGAATCTCTGGAACCCTAAGCTGATACAAACCACCCCGAAGGAGCTGATTTGGGCAGGTCTTGGGAGGCAAAGGTGGAATCTGTTTCGTCTCCAGAACAACCAAAACAAAGTACCCTCAAAAGAGACACCCAAATACCAGCACAAAAGTTCTTGGTGCTTTTTACTGTACTTACAATCTACTAAAATGAAGACAACAAACTCAAAGTTCAGGCTTTGGACAGGCCCGGCCTTGGCAACCGCAGCCTTGAGGACAACCCTGGCACTGTCCGCCGCAGCCTGGATGGCCGAACATCATGTGACCCTGGCCATCGACATAGGGCATGACCATAGTGCCATCCGGCGCCATCTGCATGCCATGCATGCCCATGCCGTGCATGCCTTGCATGCCTTGCATGCCGTGCATTCCTTGCATTTGCTGCATGCCCATGTAGGGCATGCCCTGCATGCCTTCCATGCACATCTGGCCGGGACTTGCTCCCGCCGGGTTGCCGCTCTGACCGGGCCCCCCGGGGCTACCACCGGCCGGGCCAGACATGGGCATGCCCATGTTGGCCATGCCCATTTGGCCCATCTGGCCCATAGAGCCGCCCATCTGGCCGCCCATCTGGCCGCCCATCTGGCCGCCCATCTGGCCGCCCATGTTCGCCATGTTGCCCATGTTCGCCATATTGGCCATGTTCGCCATGTTCATCTGGTTGTTCATCATCTCGTAGTGAGAAGAATCCATCGCACCGAAGGTCCGGAAGAGATTGTGGTGTCTGCTGCAAGTGCCAGCGTGTAAATTGTTCGTGCAAGTGTTTCGCATGAGCTGGCTGGAAGCTGTGTTGAACATCTTTACGCGCGAAAGTGCACATGACTGTTTTGAGAGTAAACTTTTTCGCGAACCGCCGCGAGGTAAACAACCATGTCAACGCGAAATGCAGCCGTATGCTTCTGGGTTTCCGAGCTCCAGGTCTTGATTGGGGTCTTCTCCCTTCACAAAGCTCTGACCATGGAAAACAATACAACCAAGCAAGAAGCCATTGGGGTCCAGGCCAAATGTCGGCAAGGCGTCACAAAAACGGAACCTCTTATGACCCCTGGCTTTGTGGGATTCAACACGAGGGGGCAAATGGAACATGGAACACGCGCACTTGATGGTATTGTTTTGAGGTTACCCCCTTTTTGCCCTGCCTAAAAGGCAAGCTAGGGGGAGCCATACATAGGGATATGTCACTACAAAAGTCGTTGCAACGGGCTCCTTATGGCTCGTCTGAACACCTTCACAAAAATACACTCCCACATAACTATCCAAGACCCCGTCGAAGAAATCTGCTTTAGGAAATTCCACCAGAAAATCAACTTGTTGTTGCCGGGTATGCGTGTCTTTTTTGAAGGTACCTGTTTTGTTGGGGTGTTAAAGGGACACCAACAGGAAGGGGACCCGTTAAGCGCATGTCCAGTATGCCCTGTATGCGCCCCAGTACGCAGGTTCCGACACCAAAGTCTTCGCTCCTCATCTCCCTTGGCAAGGGCAAGATCCATGACCGAGCGCCCCTGCTCGTCCTCAATCGAGTTTCCAATTCGCGGAGGCAGGGACCAGTTCGCTCATGGCCAGCAAAGATGGCAGGAACTTTTCGGGCATGGACTGCAGAAACTGTTGTTGCCAAGAATTGTTGAAGTTTGCGCATTCAACTGGGAGGATGAGGGGGTGAGATCCCCAATAAAGCAGGGTCTGTAATTTCTTGGAAGGGTCTCGCACTTTGAATGATCATCTTGATCCAGCCCGACACCATGTTTGGATGGAAACATTGGTGGTGGCTGGGGTCAACGACGCCCGATGTGTACATGCCACCCATGGACTCCTGCCATGGATTTGTCTGACGTTCGGGGGGTCCTGGAAGGTCATGGTCCTCTGAAAACGACCCATCTTCCGCTGTGTTCCACGGCTTCGGGATGGTACTCCACCCGGAACACTCCCGGTACACCTGGACACCTTTGGCATGAGTTCTAAGCTCGCAATTGGAAGTGTCTTAGTCCTAAAATAAGGGATCCCACACACAGCAGGTTCCCCTTCGGTGTCCCTTAAAACCACCCCAAAACAAACCAAGTCTGAAAAGTGAGCTCCAAAAAACCACGGGAGCCCATGCCACACATTCCTGTCAAGTCGCTTTCCCCATTTCGCAAACTTGTTCGAACGGCAGTGGCCCGTCCTTGACGAAGGGATTCGCCTTCGCAATGATCAGCGCGTCCATGATGTCCAGGACGCCCTGCCAGCGTTGAACAGGGCTGTGGGGAATGGAATCCCCTTCTGCGATACAACAAAAAGGGCCCAACCCCAAAGTTTAAAGACTAGCCCCCCGTATAAAAAGGGAGCTTCCTTGTATCACAGAAGTGGTTGGATAAACCCCTTGATCAACCACAACCTGGTTTTGAACAAAACCTCCCTCCAGGGGATCTCTTCAAACGACGGAAAGGACAAGGTCTGTAGCATTCGCAAGGACCCCAGTTGGTAGAACCCGCTCTCAAGGGGTCCAATCCTGCAATGCCAATGAATCTCTCTGATGCAATCCAAGAGGTGTCAAGATTTCACCCAAGTTGGTGCCAAGGAAAGACCTTCCAAGACTGATTGGCTGATGAACCTCTTTCAAGCCACCCCGAGTCTTTGGGTGACCCATTGCACGATTTCAAACACCTGGGTTCCTGTCGGATGCCACGTCGAGTCCAACCCGTTCAACTGCCCCGATCCATGAAGCCATCCAAGGAGTCGAGGCGAAACACCCCCCAAAAAAAGACACCTCCCACCCATGAAGAAGCTGTGCATGTTGCAAAATGATACCGTGGTTGTCAAACATAGGGTAGCCCCCAAAAAAAAACTCGCCCTGGCAAATGGACACAAAGACGCACATCTGCGGTCCATAGACCCGATGTCCAGTTCCAGTGTGGAAACCCTTCAGACTCATAGGCAGACCGGGCCACTGAGTGGTCCCAAGTCTTGATTGTGTCCCTTGACAACGCATCAAGCTCACTGACCATCAAGATCGCCAGCTCGGATCCGAGAAGATTGGATGCTTCACTGTCAAAGTGCAACCTGCATCCCCTGCTACTTCAAATCCTACATTGTAGATTGGTCTGGACATGATGGTCTTCCACATGAGGGGCCCCTCTCGGCATCCCACATTGGAACTTAGCTTGGAACTTACCTTTGTTGGTGGCCGGCTCTTCGAGCCCTCGGTTGTTGACGTAGGTGGGAAAGCTCGCCCCGAGACATCTCCAAATCGGGCCCCAAGCCACCAATTGGTTGGGCAACCAGCGCGCCCGCAGACGGAGACGAAGAGCGCAAAGGGCGCAAGTTGCTTCGGGAAGCCAAAGGAAACGCAGAAATCCGGGGTGGGGCTGTCGTCCTTTTTTTGGAGGTACCCTCTTTTGGTTGCTTAAAGGGAAGCCAAAGGGAATAACAAAAAGAACCGCCGCCATGATTGGGCTCCAGATCCTGATTTGAACACACGCCGTCACATAACTTTAAGACCGGGCCAAAATCTATGGAGCATTGGTACCAAAAAGCAGACATCAAGGCTTTAAGATCACTAGAATTTCTGCATCTGCAAATCCAGCGTTGCTAAGGCTTGGTTCTCCTTTATCTTCACCATCGTTGTCACTTCAAAAATTTGCCCCCGAGTTCTGAACCATTGTCTGAAGAGAAGGATCCCTGGCATCAGCAGTGTGTGTGTAGAAGATTGATCCTCTTGGCCACAACTTCTCAGTTAGTCTGGCCAAAGCTCACCCATTGCCGTCCCATACAGCTTTGTCATCTAGTCGTCTACCCCACCAAAAGCGGCACCACTGATTATCAGGACAACAAACATCAGGCGGCTTGAACACTGATCGGTTGTATACCGTATACACCGCACTCCTTTTCTTTACTCACGGAATCGGCACTTAGACCTTGTGAGTCTCGATGGCCCTTCGAGCACCTTGGGTGCCGGCGGCCCTACCTGACAAATTGGGGCCATCCCTGCGTACCTCTTCCGCGCAGTGGCCACGGATCTTCCCTACGGCTCCGATCGGGGCACGCACGCAGAACACGGGATTCTCCCTGCACACCCATTTGCTTGAGGGTTGCTAAATGGAGCAATGACCATCAGCACCCTTAGGGTTGAAGCACATGGCGAATCCCCCGTGTTCCGAGAAAAAGCAAAAGAAAACACATCCTCTCGCGGAAATGTCAGGTAACGTAACAGGTCGCCCATGCTTTGTGGTGGTTTTGTTCTCCAATTATTCGTCTCTCCAGCTTCGAAGCACTCGTGTGCTTGCTTGCGCTCAGTTGTAGACACGGATCACCTTGCGCCAAGAGCGCCGCTTATGGTTGAAGGTTCCTAGTCTCCACTAGGGAATGTGACATCGGCAAGGGGATGACTGCACCAAAATTTTCGGGGCGACTGCAAAATAACTACTCGTACCCGACGGCAAGACAGGATTCAGCATGAGGCCGCAAGTTTCAGGTCACTATAAGCATCCTTTCAAAGGGATGTGGTAGCAAAGCCAAAGGCAAAACTTCACCAATTTGGGTGTCCGGTTGCAATAGTGCTTGTAGTTTGTGGTGTCCTTGTCAGGCTGGCTGAAAGGGAAACCACAGGGGACCAAAACACCACTGCGGGGGGTGGGGGGTGGGAAACCCCTATTTTGGCACAAACCATGCTCGTCCTTCCGGAGTGGACTGGCCAAAACAAATACAAACTATTTACCACGAAAATGGTCCAACTCCGAAAACTTAAACTTCCATCAGGGAGTGAGGCTCGTCTACCTCTCTGCAGGGTTTTCCACTCGTTGACGACCAGATAGACTTCAACCCAGGGGTTGACGTCCGGGAAACCCCTGGGTTTAAGTCTATCTTGGTCGACGAGTGGAAAACCCCGCGCCTCTCTCTCTCTCTCTCTCTCAGCTCCGATTTACCACAACTTTCTATTCACCACTAAAATGGTCCAACTCCAAAACGTGACTCAAGTCCCCTCAGGGAGTGAGGGTCTTCTACCTCTCTCTCTCAGCTATGGCCTGCGTGATCTCCACCCGGCATACCGGGCATTGGCAATTCCGCCCCACGATGTCCTTGGTGCCTGGCGAGCGGCAAGCGACGCTCAGCCAAGCACGCGCAGCGTGCTAAACCACCGGTTGCGCCGGGTTGTGTTATTTGACATGTCAAAATAGGGACGGAGCCAAAAGACTGTCGTCTTTTTGGTTGCCTTGAAAACACACAGAGACATCCGTGCACCGCTCCGACTCCGAGTTCTTGAAACAGGTTTCTCGGGCATGGGGAGTTAGAGATGGACGGGCTTCTTTTGCTGTCTTTGCTACTGCCTTTTGTTTGATTCAAAGGGAAACCAAATGGAAGTGCTCTGAACCCTGCCATGAGGGTAGGAGTTTGGGTACCTAAAGGGAGACCAAAGGAAGAAACCAAGCTTCTCTGAGTTGTCATCTCGGGACAGCTTGAATGGATTGCTGTGCATCCCAGTTACCCAAATTGGTTGGGATCCAACAATGTTCCTTTCAAATGCCAAAGGGTGCTTCTCTTGGCCACCCACAAAGAGGCACACAGAAGTGGGTGCTTTACCTGGCTCTGAACCGCAAACCGAAACCGCCAACGGAAGCCAAGATGCAGTTGCCACAGAGCCGGTGCCCGCATTGCAGGACCATGTCCATCTTGTTGGATTGGCACACCTCGCGGGGCCCTTCCAGAGAGCCATGTTTATCTTAGTTTTCTTGGCCCAAATGGGGTGCACGGAAAAGAGTATGTTCAGCTTCTGCCTACCCTTCTTTGTGGAACAGCCTTGCAAAATCGGCTTCCCTGGTTACCTTCTACAATGCTGACTGGAAGCACCTGGTCATATAGAAGCATATTCACCCAAGGCGCCAAAGGTCATACGAAAGGCATGCTGAGTTTCTTGTTTGGACCTTCCTTCGAGCAAAGGGCCTGTCACAAATTGAGAACCCCTGTATTTTCTGAAGCAACAAACAACGCTTCACAAAGGGTCAATTGGTCTGCTTCCTCCGTAGTAAAACAACAAAAACTGTCATTTTCATCTGCGTCAGGGTCGCTAGTATAGTCTCTTCCCTCTACTATGCTCCTTTGGATATTATCTGTTAACGTACTCGTAAGTTTAAACATAAATTAATGTTGATCAAACTTGTTGTGTTTGTGATCTTCCTTTTAAACCTGCACTTGGTTTCTTTTTTGCATAACTTTGCAACTTGTAGCTACCATTAACATTCATAAAATGACTCAACTGACAAGCAAGAATCACTGCTTGTTGGCCAAGCTGCATGCTCCACATCTAGCCAAGAAAAATCCGAGAATCCCCGCTTGATCCTGCTGCCTTTCCGCCAAGCAGCTGGACAGGTCGTCTCTGGGCTGTCTGCTGGCTGACTGGGGGGCATCGGCCTTGGATCTGTCGCTGTGTGCAGAGCATGAAGCTCCGAAACTACGGAGGGGACGCGTCAGTCTGCAGATTTTTCGCCATTCCAAAAGCTGAATTAAAGGGATCCCCAAGTAAAGAGCCGTCATATATACATATATATATATATTCTACTCCCAGGTCCAGGTGAGCTCGCCGTAACATAGGCAGAACATTGTGCAGTGGCGTTGCCCAAGAAGCGTGTCACGTCAAGTCCAATATGCGTGGAACGCAACACGCTGAAACATCTGATGTGCCGACTTACCCGAGGCCTCCGTTGGCCTTTGGGAAAACTGCCATCAGCTTTTTTGGGTTGAAAACCGTGGGAAATGGGGCATGGAACAAAAATGAGGGATACGTGTTTGTTGGCTGGCAGTTGATCTAAGGAAACCGTGGGATCCAAAACGCCTGGCACCATCGGAGGTCTAAACAAGCCATGAGCAACAAGCCAAGCGGCGGCAGCTGCACGGCAGTCTTGACGACCATAGCTGGCAAAGAACGTCGACACGGGGCGCCATGCTTTGACTTACCAACATATGGCTTTAGCCCGGGAGGTTCATTCATTGCCAACAACAACTGCCCTAAGGTTCAAACTCCATTAAAATAATGGTGGTTATATTAACCCCACCATGTTAATGGTGGTTTGAACACCAAAGACAGTGGTTTGTTTGGAAAGTCCAAACAGGTGAATGGAACATGCAGCCGGGACATGTGACAGGGATGCGGGAGGCCAAATGTCGTCGGGCCTGCCATTACGGGCCTCCCCCAAAGCCGGACCCAACCGTGCAGTGGGTAAGGATCGAGGGGGCAAACAATGGGATCATTGACTCCCAGCAAGATTGGCCTCTCAGCAGTCCAACTGGTTGCTTACCGGACCCTCAATATTGGTGAAGTTCAACATTGGGTTTCCCTTTAAAAGCTAGCTAGGATGGCATATTAGTGTATGTCTTCTTTTGTTTTCAGGTACCCCTTTTGACGCGGATTTAAACGGGAACCAGAAAGAAACTAACATGTCTCAGGGGTTCCTTATTCCGAAACACCCATGTGTGTCCCTCCTCTCAATGCACAACAGCACGGCCGCTTGTCTTGAACATGCCAACAGCGGACACCCAATAGGGATTCTCGGAGATGACTCTGTACCTGCGCTGTGGTGGAGTTTACTGAAAGAAACAGTTTGACTGTTTGGAGGCATAGACTAAAAGATGAAGAAGTCAGCAAACATCAAAAGTTTGAACACCAAACTCGTATCCTTAGAGCCGAGACACTTTTGGGCTCATCCCAACCTAGCTATACCTACCAGGTCTATAAGAGTCCTCTGCCTCTGGAGAAGGCAGAAGTGCATTTCTCGTAACCCCAAAGCTCCAGTCGATTTTGGGGTTAGCCCAGACGCCATGTTGCGTGGTTGATTCTAACAAGCTTCCCCCTCCAAAGGTCCAAAGGTCCACCCTCTTCCCTGTTCACCTATACAGGGGTTCCCCCTCCAAAAAACTGCTGGGTGTGCCAGTTTGTTTGAGGCATCCCTCTTTTGGGTTGTTTTGGAAAATCAAAGGGAAAACCGAAGTCCAACGAGGTCCTCCAGTAGAAGGATTGGAATAAGGGTACCAACGTTTTTTTCTGTAGTCTATTTTAGTAGGGGAACCGAATCTCCCAACCAAGAAAGTTGGTGAGAAAAAGGGCACCTAGCTGGGGGACCTAGACAAAGGGCACCTAGCTGCCCCGAAGCGCGATTCAATCCCCGGGTCAATCAGCAAAAACATCACCAACCAAGAAAGGATCTCTCTGAAACTTTGAATATCGCTGAGATCGCAGAACTTGTTCGTGTCGCTATGATTTATCCGAAAATGTATGTCCTTGCCACGGTCTCATGTCTTTGTTCTCAGCTCCAACCCTGTGCCTGCCTTTTGCTGTGCCTTGACTAGGTCCTCCAGTAGCGAGGTTAGAATAAGGTTTTTTCTGTAGTCTATTGTCGTAGGGCAACCCTCCCCCAAAAAAGGGTGAGAAAGGGCACTACTGGGACCTAGCCAATGTAGGGTCCATTTCAAACAGAACTTCACTCCCCTCCATTCGCCACTTTTGGGGTCGCCCCTGGGTCGGTCACCTTGCACCACCGGAGGTGCCACGGGCATGCCCATGGGGACGCCCGCACCCTCGGCGCGGTATTTTGGGTCAGTTCTGCCGAGAGGAAAAGGCGATCGGCACCAGAACGGTGCCGGTTTTTGGTCGGGTTTCACAATCAAAACCTGGTACACACATGGTCTACCCAGACCCATGTAAAGAACTAAAAGGCGGCTGCACCCATGTATGGTTGGGACTATCCCTTACCCGGGTATGGATTGTGGCTCAAGTGCTGTTTTGCTCGGCGAAAAACAAACGGAAAAGGTGACTCACTCATGCTTCTGCTGAGTGACAAAAATATATTCAAGCAATTGGTCTCTGCGAATGCCAGGATAAATCAAGATGTTCTGTCCAGCGACCGACAAATTGAACGGAGGCCTCCAGTAACCGAATTGGTTGGGGAGAGCAAATCGATTGAACTGGCTTGTTTCAAAAAGGGTGCCCCCACTTTGGCATCCCTTTAAACCAACCAACGGGGGGTGCCCTCAGAAGACAGCCCCGCATACAAAGGAAGCTCAAAAAAGTTGAGGTTGCTCCATAGAGAGCAGTTACCAAATGCGGCCTGAGCACTGCATCGCTTGTTTGCATGGTGAAGTGGGAGCATTGAAACTGACATTAAAGAGGAGCTGAATCTGTCATGGGGCTTGGGGAGGGAGCCCGAAGGCCGAAGGGCTCACGGATTCCTGCGGAGGTTGACCGGACTTTGCGCATATCTAGGGGTGCCTTCCATTTCCATTCTTAGGGATCCGGATCTTTCTAGGAAACCTCCGGAAACCCAAGGAAAGCGGCCAGTCGGAAAGAACAATGGTTGAAAAGAATGGAAAAGGAAAATCAACCCCTAGAACATAGCCATCCCAACCAGCCCATTTCTGCCTTTTCTGGATCTCGCTTCAAAATTGGGGTTCCAGACATTGTGCTGTTCACAAGAGAAGCCAAATGGGTGGCCCATTGAGGGAAACATGGGGGGGGGGCATGTCACTTTCGAAGCTTCCTTTTTGGGTTGGCTGGTTTAAAGGGAAAAGGCACCACCCAAAACTGGGAATCCTATAAGACAACTCACTTCCTGAGTGCACGGGCCAAAGAAAGTAGCCCAAACTGCTTGTATCCCATCTTTTAGATGGCGACCGAACCCAGAAAGCGCCTAAACTAGGTCCTCCAGTAGAGAGCTTAGAATAAGGGTACCAACTTTTTCTGTAGTCGATTTTAGTAGGGGAACCGAATCTCCCAACCAAAAACGGGGAGAGAAGGGCACTACTGGGGCACCCAGTAAAGTCCAGGAAACTCAGGGAGTCAGACCAACCCAGCTAGGACAGACCCCTCTCAGGTCGGGTTGCCCCCGGAGGCGGGCCGTCCAGAGAATAGACTTCCATGGCGTTGCCGGTCCAGGTGTCACCTGGGCGCGGTGCAAAGCGTGTTTTTGTTGTTTCGTTTATTAGAATTATGATGAGTATTAGTATTGTTGTTACTATTATTATTATTATTATTATTATTATTATTATTATTATTATTATTATTATTATTATTATTATTATTATTATTATTATTATTATTATTATTATTATTATTATTATTATTATTAATTATTATTATTATTATTATTATTATTATTATTATTATTATTATTATTATTATTATTATCATGATTATTATTATGGTTTCCTTATTATTATTATTATTATTTAGTATTATCATTAATATTATAATGGTTTATTATCATTATACTATTCGTATTATTATTGTTATTATTATTGTTATTATTATTGTTATTATTATTGTTAGTATAGTCGTTTACCATTATACAAAGCCACCCTCCAAATGGTAGGGTGAAGGGACACCGCATGAGTTTCTGACAGTAAAGGCTGTTCGACAACCAACTGAGCCCCCCATTTCACCCAGGGACACCCCTATCAATAAACTGGGGTTAACTAATATGAGGTCAACATTCTATCTACCTTGGTGGTTTGCTGGTTTGCTGGTTTGGAAAGCTACCAACCAAGGGCTGAGTCTAACATTGGCCCCGGGTACGTCGAGGGCCCAAGGCCCCGCAATGCAACATCTAGCTGTCTCTATATTCAAAAAAATGTCAAAACTTGGCTGACGTTGGAAAGGGAGCAACAAAAAAACAATAGCAGTTAAGTGGTTGGATATCAACCACTAAACCACAATAAACAAAAATGTAAAATGTTTCCCAACAACAACCATGAAAACAAATCCTTGTGCGGGCCATGGTTATGATTGCAATAGGAACCCTTACCGTGGGTATCTAAACTCTCTAAGGGGCTAAAGACCATCACTGCAAAGGGGTGTTGCGACCCTCCTCTTCTTTAGGAAATCGATGTAAACAATGGAACGTTCTGTGTGGCAGTGACAAGACTTCGGCATGAGAACTCTCCAACACACAAAGGTCTAGGGAGTTGTTTATCCATCCCAGCCTGGAAAACCCTGGATACATTGTTTCTCCAATTCCGATCTTACCACCCTCAAGGCTAAGCGGGTAGCCTCAACAGAACTGACTGAGCGAGTTGGAGCTACAGGTACACTTGGGCAAGAGCATCTGAAGCAGCGCCGTCTGCAAGAAGCTGTGGCAGGAAGCAGCTGCTTGGTGGGTTTGGCACACGCTGCATATTGTCATTTGCTTGCCAAGTCAAGCAAGCCAAGCAGAGCTCGTGCTTCAAACATGGCGAAACAACGCTAGAGACTTGACGAGCGCATATGTGGCACCCTACACCGCATCCTTACATTAAGGTGGGAACTGTGTCGTCTGTGTCCGTCGTGTGTTTGCCCTTCTCGCGAGGATTGTTGGCCTATTCAATCCCCAGTGGGTGGATCATCATTCTGAGGTCAGCCTACAACCCGCATGTTGCCGGCTTCTGACTGCCCCTGGTACAGCTCCAGGATGCAAGACAGACATGAGACAACAGGTCAAGAGGTCGATGTGATTAAGCGGCTAAGCGAAACACTTGGATGCTGGCATAAAGTAGACCCAGTGGGGAACCAACCCGCCAAAACGTGAAACCACTTTGTCCAAAGATGACGGACAAAATTTGTCCCAGAAGTCACATCCCACGTGGCTGTGTGTGTTGTTTTTGGGAAACCTTAGTCTGAAGGGAAACCATCTTTCAGAAAGCCCACTTTCGGGTTGTGATTGTTTTGTTTAATGTCTGGCCGGAAAGCAAAGAATATCCCGGAAGATCGATATTTCAAGGTTTCCATGTGAAAAACCAATGGTCCAACCCAATCAACAGCAGCCACACCCATTTTGACATCCCACCTCCGAACAGCGGGACCCCTCTCAGGTCAGCGCCATCATCGTACTTAATCTTGCAGCGATTGTTGGTGTAGAGCCTCGGCCAGGCTCATTTGGTCTCAACCTACCCCCAAGCCTAGTGTCTTCTAGGTTGGAGCCACCCCCCCCAACAGAAAAAATGTGGCTTTCCTGTTGGTTCCCCTTTTTTCCCCTCCCCCCACCCCCCCCACCCCCCCACCCAAAAAAATGGGGTCCCCCAAACTGTGCCCCAGTTTACGGCAAAGCCGAGGGGCAAAGGGCATCTTAAAGAGCACCCGTGTTGCACAGGTTGACCTTTGCTCAAATGCCATGGGTTCGCAGCAGCGGAACCTGGTGCTCCTTTGCTTTTGGGCGGAAGAACTCTGCGACCTTTGGGCCAGGAGTCTGGGTATCCGACAAACTCCATTTAACCTTCGCAAGCGGTGGGATGCACGAAACATTTTCTTGACATCTCAAAGATCAGGAACATCTCCTAACTTTGACCGTTTCAGCTGCTTCTTCTTTCTAGGGTAACCCTTTGGTGGACATCAGAATTCAATGAAGCTTCATGAACACAACTTTTGAAGTGATTCCCCATTCTGCTTAAGGGTCATGGAGACAGGAAGGTAACAACTCCCCCCCCATGTCTCGAATGGTCACCAACTGGAGCGAAAAGGTCGATCCAGTCTAATCCGCATTAAGCAAGACGCGTGTGCGTCTAGGGCTAGTCCACCCAAGGTGACGGACTTGCGCTTGATGAACGCTCACAGGTTTTTTGGGCAGTACTCCGCCTTCCGCCCCGCCTTCCGCGTCCTTCTTGGGTTGCGGTCCCTGGCCTTTTCCCCAGTGTCGAAAGGGAACATGCCCCACGCTGCGGTCCCTTCTTGACACAAATTGATCCGAGCACCCCACTTCGAAGGCTACACAGAAGCGACAAGTGGGGCATATAAGCAAGGAAATACACATAAATACAAAATCCGAACACACCCACCCACCTGCGTGTATATTCATCATTACAATGATACGTGTGTCAAATGTATGCACATATTCTATATGTCTTACAAGAACAACATAATACTTATGTGGCTTTCCTTTAGCGTGCCTTCTCGTTTGAACGATTCCCTGCGTCGAGGCGAAGCGCCTCGCCACGGTGCCGCAGTACCAGCGCCCGTCCCCGCCCTCTGCGATGGTGTACTGGGTCTGCCTGGCGCAACAAATACCAAGGTGAAGTTTAGACCAACAAGGATATCTAAGAATACAACATATGATGTATATACATATATATATATGTGCCAGTATACAGATATGTAGCAATATGTATTCTCGCTTGTTTTCTGCTCCCCTGCTAAAAGATTAACTTTTGGTGGTTTAATGGAAAACCCATTAGTTCGCAAAAAGATAAAGTCCTGCCATCCAAGCAAAATGCACCTCTGTATATATGTCTCGACATAGTGTTCAAGGCCGATCTCGTTTGCCCCCCAACTGCTGGCTTTTGGTTCTGGAGGCTCCCATTCGGCTCCCGAAATCTCGCTTCGGGCGCGTAGGGTTTTGTTTTGAGCCGCTTGGTACCCCTGTTGGGATGCGTGCAAAGGGAAGCCAAGAGAAAAAACCCGCAGTCTTGGGGATATGTGGAACCATATGGGCGTGTGTGTTTTTGGGGGACCCCCCAACATAGCGGGTTTCCCTTTTGGTTTCCCTGTATAACCAAGCAAGAAGGGGCACCATCAACAAAAAGACAGACCCATATCTGGGATGCGTTCCAGGAAAATTCGCATGTTTAGGGATGCCACATTCACACCACCGTGCGGAAGTCCTCTCAACTAGACATCAGAAGGAAGCCAACCATGTTGCGGTCCGCAAAAGGAAGATAGGACTAAACTCATATTAATAGTCTGGCTGGGCTGGACTACCTCCATTTGCAGAAGAGCCTCTTGGATAAACAACAGATTCCCAATAGTGATAGATTCCCTGTAAATCAACAGAGACAAGAGACAATAACACACATTCTTAATATAGCAAATGGCAACTACCAAATTGAAAAAGTTGCCATCCCCGCCAGAATGATTAGTTTGCCCCCTGAATTGGTCCAGCAAACCCCAAAACATCAGAGGTGCAAGAATGCACAATTCATCCCTCCCTCTGAGGCTTCCCGGCACAGTGTTTCATCCATTGTGGCTGGCTCTTTGTGTTGCATTCTATTGTCACTGCAATGAGTCTATTGCAAAGCTTTCTTGAAATCAACAAGATGCCGGACTCTGACAGTAAAGTGCAACAGCGATGGTTTGAGAAGGTCACATGCGGCGCAGACGAGTGCGCACCCAACAGAAATAATCCGGTGCCTTCCCCCCCCCCGGAGAATGTTTAATCTGGATCATCCCGCCCTACCCAAATCGTCCTTGCTGCCAGAGTCTCAAATCAAATGGCACTTCAAACCGAACAAAATACTACGTAATTACATCAAATCCACTGCAACTCAAATCGCATCTCGAAAGGAATATCCAGCAATACTGCGTCAAATGGAAACATGCACCGAAGTTTCTCTTGCAATGTGTTTGGACTCTCTGCAATCCAGATGCCGAACTCAAAGATACTAAAGTAGTATCGCTTGCTACGTTTGATCTCCGAACCATACTGCAGCCAAGCGTCACCCGCTTGCCCTTTGTTATCTGTCCATTCCTCAGAGTAGCGCCCAGATTCACCCATCGACTCTTGGTACTACCAATATATGAATAATTATAAAGTTTGGCGTTCCTTTTACTTTCCCGCCCCAAAATCATGGGGTGAACAAAAAGCTTGGCGTTCCTTTTGGTTTCCCGCCCCAAAATCATGGGGGTGAACATCCTTTTTTTTGTGGGTAGTTTGAGACCTCCCTCCCTTATTTGTACCAGGTCCACATCGGCAAGGCTCGCACCGTTCACGACATCCGGCTCCGGTCCGAAGAAGAAGGACTCGCAATTACCCATTGCCTCGTGCGAAAGCTGTAACGTGTTGGACCTCGCGGCTGGCGAACCAAAAAAACACGCCTGGCTTGCTCTTATTGTTGCTCAGGAAAACGACTGGTCAACACAACGCAGAAACTTTGGCTTGCCACTCAAGTTGGCTTAAGACTAAAGTCCAGGAATTGAGGCAGCGAGTGTTTGATGGTCCATTTGGTGAAGGTTAAGATATTTAAGAGATCCGATGCTCAGAACAGTCTTCCTTCTGCGCAATGCAAACCAGGACCCATTCAGCAACCTTCAACGGTTGAAGCCCTTTTTTGAACTAGAATTGCCCTGGAATCCACGGCAAAAGCGCTAAGGCCTGTTCATACTGGACTTACTGGACGATCTACACCTTTTGAGACCTGTTGGCTCGGCGTACCAACGACCCGATCGGGCTAGAACATTGGTCAGGAAACAAAACCGATATTTTATTGATGCTTTTGAGGCTCGCAGCATCCCTGCTCATGTTGACTCAGCTAGTCCACCATGATCTTTTGCCAAGCTGCCTCACCCAGCACACGGCACGCACGCGCGCGCGTGAAAAGGTGGGAGGAAAACCTTGCTTAGGCACCGAATCTGTACATCCTTTGAGCCACTGCGGAGATGAATCGATCCCATGCAGCGACAGAACGCAGCCAAGGCATCCCCGGCTTGGAATATCCGTGGAAGAGACATTGCCCCTTAGTTGGAAGTTTGGATTGGTGGTTTGGGGATTTGAAGCCCTGGGTCTTAAATGGGAAAGCAGCCAGGAAGACCTCCAAGCCGGCGGGCTCCAAAGCCAATCCGGTGGAAGCTGATAGAAGGTTTTGAGAACCATTCCGGGAAGGGGCCGAACCTGCACTCCGAACTGGCAACAGACATATGGACAAAAAAAACACCTCTGCTAAACATGTCAAATCGGTAACATTGCAACACAAGCATGGAATCGCCGCTGTTGTTGCTTTGAGTTGGATGAACATTGATGGCAGAACTCCATGTTGGGTTCATCCCACTCTTACCCACATGAAGCGAGCTTGTACCATCTAGCCGCTCTAGCCATCTTTTAAATACTTGCACAGTTCTCTGTGCCACCTTTTGTTGGCAAAAACACACACATGTTCCCAGAAAGATGGGCAGGAGGATCCCACCAAACAGGTGGCTCGTCCTTTTGAAGGGACCCCTTTTTTCGCTTGGCTTCAAGGGAAAACCAGCAGGGGAAAACCGTTGTGCCATTTGGCTGTGGGTCAAAAATATGTACCCAAAATGGGTTGCCCTAGTAAAGGGATAAACATAGACTCAAACCTGCCAGTTTTCTGGTGGTGTAATTTTGACCCATACCCACCAAAACATGGTGGCTCGCCCTTTTTGGAGGGACCCCCTTTTTGTTTCGCTTCAAAGGACAACCACCAGGACCACTGTAATGGTGGTGTAATTTTGACCCGCCATTTGTGAACCCCTACTTAATCGGGTAATGAACCGGGAAAATTGCGGCTCCATTTGCTGAAGCCTGGCAAAAAATGAAACAAAACATGTCCAGTAGTCATAGCTTCCCACTAAAAAAACCAACAGGGAAAACATATTCTTGAGCAAATGGAAGAATATGGACCTATCATCCCCATTTTGGAGGGTCCCGAGTCCACGCTACCAAACCTACCCCTCGCCTCGCCTTCTCCACGGCCTGATGCAGGCCTTGCGGCACCTGAAGGCATCTCGAAAGCCTCTCTGAGAGGCTGGAAGGCGGGCGGGGGAGGAAGCCTTAGGGATCTGTTTTTTTTTTTTCCGGAAGATTCTGGGGGTTGATCTTCCTTTTCCATTCTTTTCAACCATCATTCTCACCTCGGTAAGGGAAAAACCAAGGGAAAAAGCGGCCGTATTTTCTAGGGGTTGATTCCTTTTCCATGCGTTTTAACCGTTGATCTTTCCAAGAACCCGATCCGTTTTCCCTGGGTTTCGAGAATGCCAAAAAGGGAAACCAAAACGGAAACGAGAACGCATGTTCAGGCTGGAAAAAAAATGAGCAGAAGGACGAAGAAGCAAAACCCCAGGCGACCCGTGCTGGGCAAATCGGACATGGCGAGAATCGCGTCACGTTCCTTCCTGATTGCAGAATCGGGATGGATGCAGCCTTTAAAAAAAAGGAAGAATTGGCGACTGTGCAAAAATGATATCCAAATGATGCCCAACTGCCAACCCATGTGTTTCTGCTCGCGTTTGAGAGATCACATGTGGTGGCCATCGCAACAAAGAGCGATTAGCTTTCCAGGCGCAGATGACCCGGATCCGGTGTCATGTTGGCGGGAATGGCTGGGACCCCGGCTTAAAAATGCCTTATGTGTCTTCTCCCCACCAAAATGGCTTTGGTTTTCCTGTTGGTTCTCCCTGAAAAACACTCAAGGGGCTCCCTGAAAAAGGACCGGTGGGTTTCCAGCGACCGCTCCAGCGGCCCTCGGGTTTCGCGTTGCCGTTCACCAGGGTGTGAGCCCGGTGTCTAAGGGACTCCCTGTGCCTGCCAGGCAAAAGGCGCCACCAGCGCCAGCCGCAACAAGCCACACATAAGCATACGGCTTCATCGATCACAAGCGATGATTTATACATATATATGTGCAGTATGCATATGTCAGAAATCAAGAAAGACCGCAAGCAAGCAAGCAAGCAAGCAAGCAAGCAAGCAAGCAAGCAAGCAAGCAAGCAAGCAAGCGAAGCGAAGCGAAGCCAAGCGAAGCGAAACGAAGCGAAAGGGCGCGCAGGCAGGCAAACAAGCAAGCAAGCAAACGGCACACCCACACAACAACCGCAAGTACTCCAAACCCTCAAGCACTCAGCAAACCATGACCGTCTCCCTGCCGAAAGAGACCGCCCAGAAATTAACGTTGCAACAAAGGGCGCCACTAACTCACTTTATGATTTGTATTGCTAGTTCTCATGACCCCTATATCCTTTCATGGAATCCCAAACTCGATCATCCCTGACCAGCTAGCTTTGGCCAAACAGAGTCCTGACTCTCACCACTTGTTCGTTTTTTTCCCCACCCAGAGTCGGATGACCCGACCCTCCATTGGACACCCCGAATTTGTTTGGCACCCGGTCTCAAAATTGGCTGTTTGAGGGCCCCAAATGAATCGAATTCCAAAAACCCTGGGGAAATGGCTGGTTTTTGAAAAGAAGAATGGCTGAAAAGAATGGGGAATCAACCCCTAGAACTGTTGCCTTGCTTTTTTCCCCAAGCACCAAGCTCCACGGAGACTGGACTTGACTCCCGGTCAATCATCTTGCCGGGGCCGGCGCCACACCGCAGGCGAGCAGCGCCGCCACCGCCGGGAAGTTCTGAAGCCGCCTCAGTGCGTAGCACGGTGCACCGTGGACGCCAACTCAGTGGATGGTTGTGAAATCCATTTCGCACCACTTTGAAACCATGGGAAACCATAAGGTTTGTTGGTCTTTGCAGGGGAATCATCCTTCCACGGTCTCTGAGGTGCAGGATTTCGTCCATCCACTGCTCAAGCTTGCTGGTGCGATAGGCAGGGAATGAGACTCGATGGAATGATCCTTATCAACTATCCCCAATTTGATTCCCTTTTAAGGGGCTTTCCAAAACGGTTCATTCCCTCATTCCCTGCTGAGCACCAGCAAGCAAGGGTTGCTTCTGGTTGATTTACTTGCAATCTTCAGTTGGCTTTCAACCTTAGGCTAGCTATGCACCAAAGCCCGATTTGAGGAGGAAACTAATCTTGCGGTTTTAGGGTTCCATGTAAACTTGCATATCTGAAACAACTGGGATGAGTCACAACTCACAGCCAGGGCCGAACATTCCCACAGCTTTCTCTCCGCAGCTCCACTCTGGAGCTTCTTATTTTGAACAAATGGCCATGGGTCAAGAGCCCGTGCCTCCAGTGAACATCCCAATCCCAACTAAAATTGACTAAAATGGGCGGTGCACCTACCCCAAAATGGTATTATTGGTTTTGACCCACAGCCAAGTGTTCTACCGTTTTTTGGTCGAGTAAGGCGAAAAAACGAATCGGTTTAATGACAGAAAGAAACCAAAGCCTACTCCGCCACAACCATGCCTTTCTGGAAAAGCACAGCGTCCAGTCATTTCTCAGACGTGGTCCTTGAACAACCTATCTTTTGCCATTGGAATGATTGATAGCTGGACTTTTTAGGGGGGCCCTTGAAGTCCCCGGAAAGCCCAAAGGTCACTAGGCCGGCTTTGGGTGAAGCTTCCTTCCTCTCGAATGCTCGTGCCCTGCAATTGTTGTTTAAACGAGCGAAGCGAGTCGCCGATCCGAATCCTCGCCCACATGGTGACCACAGCCCACATCAAAGTTCTGACCCACAAGTCTAAGACACAATTGCAAAGAGCTGTTGGGGGTCCTAATGATTGTGTTTGTTCCCGATTTTTTTGCGGGGTACCCTTTTTGGTTGGCTTTGCAGAAACCAAGGGGCAAACTGCCATTTTGTGGGCCCCCTAAAAACTGACACCCCCAAACAGTCCTGGACCTGTAAAAATTGCAGAGCTCGCCCTATTTGTTCGCAAGTTCGCTGAGTCCCGGCCCTTTCAAACCTGACAGTCGACTATCGGATAGTTTGACAACTTCCATTTGCTTAAGGCCCCCTGGAAAAACCAAATATTTCCAGTAGTGATAGATTCCCTTTAAAATCAACGGGGGGGGAAACATATTCTTAACCAAATGGAAGACAATAAACGGGGGAGTTGCGTTGGGCACTGAGCCAGCACACCCCCGAACGGCCATCAACCCCTTTGTCCAAGTAACCTCCTTTGGTTTACTCATGTCCGATCGAGTGGACTAGCCGACAAAAAGAAGTCCTGGAACTCTCTTTCCATTTTCCAATAAAATGCACTCAGGGAGTGAGGTTATTTCGCGGCCATTTGACCGCCAGGGGCAAAGCTGCAGGATCCTTTTCAAAATGCCACGCCCTTCAGGCTAAAAGCGTATGCCACATGGCTTGACCATGGAACCTCTGTACAGAGTTCGGTTTTCTGCAAAGCCACTCGCCGTTTCAGAATGCCATCAAGTGGCAGTTGAAGTGGCGCAAAAGAAGTGCCTTGGAAATTGGAATGCATAAACTCACTGAGTGGACATGTAAAAAACAGAAATAAAAACTTGCTGACCGCTAGGCTAGAGTAGTATTTGTCCACAAACGAGAGTAAACTCTAGCAAATGGCATGCGTCATTAGGTTTTGTGAGCTTCAAATGGCAACGAGATCCGACCCTGACAAGTGGTTTTTGTGTTTGCCGCGGGAACAGACAAAATCCAACAAGGCCAAAGGCCCAAAAAGTTAAGCAAAAGGGCTGGCAACATCTTGCGTGTATTGAAGCGGAGAGCACACCCAGCCGCTTGGGCTGAATTTTTGATGCCGGACTGACGGCTTGTTGCCGAATCCTCCTGGGTGCAAAAGAAGGGATGGTTTTTCAAGGGGCCCGAAAAGTCGCAGAATAAGTACATCCCATCCCTTGCCGGCTTTAGGACAAAACAAATTCCCATCCTTTCCGGCTGTGGGAACATAACTAGCTAAGTCCCGAGTTTGCACCCAGCCTCCAAAAAGCTGGATATCGATTGATATACGTATAACCTGGGAAGTGATCCTGGCAAGCCGCAAGCTTCCGCTCTTGAAGTGACCTGCAGGATCGATCAACGGGGATACACCAAGGAGAGGCTAGTGCTATGTTTGTTTGCAGGTGTGCCATGAATTCTCCGGTATGAGGAACGTCCCAAAATGTTGGGGGTTCAATACCGATACTATCATGGATTGCCTGAAGGTATAAGTTAGGTTCCTGGATTCACAGAATGTCTCCTTGGACGCTGGAGGCTCTTGAGAGCCCCCCAGTCCCAAAAATGATGGGCCGCGCTCAGGCGGCGCAGCTACCTGGCTATCCTGCCGCAGAGGTTGCGACTTCCCTTCACATGGTGCTATGCTGAAGGAAAAATATGCTTAAGCGGAGCATCTCCTTATTCCTACTTGCAAAGATTGAGGGCATCCAATGACAAACCATCCGGCATGCAGCTCAAGCCTGGCGCAGGTCTGGGTGGTAGCATAAGCATGTAAAGACATCGCACAACTAGCACTAACTACCCCAATTCCGTTGACTTCTCAAGCTGGCTGTCCCTTGCTAGCATACACTATCTCCCAACATGGCATCTGACAGGGCGCTTGAGGAAGTTGGTCCAGGTGGGCTCACATGCTAGAACCAAGCTGAGGCCATCTATTCTCAACCAACCCAAAAAGGACACCTATGCAGGTGCCTTCTGTTTGGCAAGGGGTATTCTCAACCAAACCAACCCAAAAAGGACACCTATGCAGGTGCCTTCTGTTTGGCAAGGGGTATTCTCAACCAAACCAACCCAAAAAGGACACCTATGCAGGTGCCTTCTGTTTGGCAAGGGGTATTCTCAACCAAACCAACCCAAAAAGGACACCTATGCAGGTGCCTTCTGTTTGGCAAGGGGTATTCTCAACCAAACCAACCCAAAAAGGACACCTATGCAGGTGCCTTCTGTTTGGCAAAGAAATTATTCTCAACCAAACCAACCCAAAAAGGACACCTATGCAGGTGCCTTCTGTTTGGCAAGGGGTATTCTCAACCAAACCAACCCAAAAAGGACACCTATGCAGGTGCCTTCTGTTAGCAAGGGTATTCTCAACCAAACCAACCCAAAGGACACCTATGCAGGTGCCTTCTGTTTGGCAAAGGGTATTCTCAACCAAACCAACGGGAGCACCTATGCAGGTGCCTTCTGTTTAGCAAGGGGTATTCTCAACCAAACCAACCCAAAGGACACCTATGCAGGTGCCTTCTGTTTGGCAAAGGGTATTCTCAACCAAACCAACCCAAAGGACACCTATGCAGGTGCCTTCTGTTTGGTCGCAGGGCGTTCTCCTTAAACCAACCCAAGGACACCTATGCAGGTGCCTTCTGTTTGGCAAGGGGTATTCTCAACCAAACCAACCCAAAAAGGACACCTATGCAGGTGCCTTCTGTTTGGCAAGGGTATTCTCGTGACCAGCCCAAAGGACACCTATGCAGGTGCCTTCTGTTTAATGAGGTATTCTCAACCAAACCAACCCAAAAAGGACACCTATGCAGGTGCCTTCTGTTTGGCAAGGGAGTATTCTCAGCAAACCAGCCCAAAAAGGACACCCATGCAGGTGCCTTCTGTTTGGCAAGGGGGTATTCTCAACCAAACCAACCCAAAGGACACCTATGCAGGTGCCTTCTGTTTGGCAAGGGAGTATTCTCAACCAAACCAACCCAAAAAAAGGACACCTGTACAGGTGCCTTCTGTTTGGCAAGGGTATTCTCAGCAAAACCAACCCAAAAAGGACACCTATGCAGGTGCCTTCTGTTTGGCAAAGGGAATTATTCTCAACCAAACCAACCCAAAAGGACACCTATGCAGGTGCCTTCTGTTTGGCAAGGGTATTCTCAACCAAACCAACCCAAAAGGACACCTATGCAGGTGCCTTCTGTTTATTGAGGTATTCTCAACCAAACCAACCCAAAGGACACCTATGCAGGTGCCTTCTGTTTGGCAAGGGTATTCTCAGCAAACTAGCCAAAGGACACCTATGCAGGTGCCTTCTGTTTAGCAAGGGTATTCTCAACCAAACCAACCCAAAAAGGACACCTATGCAGGTGCCTTCTTGTTTGGCAGGGGGTATTCTCAACCAAACCAACCGGCATCACCTATGCAGGTGCCTTCTGTTTGGCAAGGGGTATTCTCAACCAAACCAACCCAAAGGACACCTATGCAGGTGCCTTCTGTTTGGCAAGGGGTATTCTCAGCAAACCAACCCCAAAAGGACACCTATGCAGGTGCCTTCTGTTTGGCAAGGGAGTATTCTCAGCAAACCAGCCCAAAAAGGACACCTATGCAGGTGCCTTCTGTTTGGCAAAGGGTATTCTCAACCAAACCAACCCAAAAAGGACACCTATGCAGGTGCCTTCTGTTTGGCAAGGGTATTCTCAACCAAACCAACCCAAAAAGGACACCTATGCAGGTGCCTTCTGTTTGGCAAGGGGTATTCTCAACCAAACCAACCCAAAAGGACACCTATGCAGGTGCCCCTTCTGTTTGGCAAAGGGTATTCTCAGCCAAACCAACCCAAAGGACACCTATGCAGGTGCCTTCTGTTTGGCAAGGGTATTCTCAACCAAACCAACCCAAAGGACACCTATGCAGGTGCCTTTTGTTTGGCAAAGGGGTATTCTCAACCAAACCAACCCAAAAAGGACACCTATGCAGGTGCCTTCTGTTTGGCAAGGGTATTCTCCTTAAACCAAACCAAAGGACACCAATGCAGGAGTGCCTTCTGTTTGGCAAGAGGTATTCTCAACCAAACCAACCCAAAAAGGACACCTATGCAGGTGCCTTCTGTTTGGCAGGTCTAGTTCTCCAACCAAACCAACCTAAAAAGGACTATACAGATGCCTTCTGTTTAGCAAGGTATTCTCAACCAAACCAAACCAAAAAGGACACCTATGCAGGTGCCTTCTGTTTGGCAAGGGAGTATTCTCAGCCAAACCAACCAAAGGACACCTATCTGGGTGCCTTCTGTTTGGCAAGGGGTATTCTCAACCAAAACAACCCAAAAGGACACTATGGAGGTGCCTTCTGTTTGGCAAGGGTATTCTCAACAACCAACCCAAAGGACACCTATGCAGGTGCCTTCTGTTTGGCAAGGGAATTATTCTCAGCAAACCAAACCAAAAAGGACACCTATGCAGGTGCCAGCTGTTTGGCAAGGAGTATTCTCAACCAAACCAAACCAAAAAGGACACCTATGCAGGTGCCTTCTGTTTGGCAAGTGGTATTCTCAACCAAACCAAACCAAAAAGGACACCTATGCAGGTGCCTTCTGTTTGGCAAGGGGTATTCTCAACCAAACCAAACCAAAAAGGACACCTATGCAGGTGCCTTCTGTTTAAGCAGGGGTATTCTCAACCAAACCAAACCAAAAAGGACACCTATGCAGGTGCCTTCTGTTTGGCAAGGGGAGTATTCTCAACCAAACCAAACCAAAAGGACACCTATGCAGGTGCCTTCTGTTTGGCAAGGGGTATTCTCAACCAAACCAAACCAAAAAGGACACCTATGCAGGTGCCTTCTGTTTGGCAAGGGGAGTATTCTCAACCAAACCAAACCAAAAAGGACACCTATGCAGGTGCCTTCTGTTTGGCAGGGTATTCTCAACCAAACCAAACCAAAAGGACACCTATGCAGGTGCCTTCTGTTTGGCAAGGGGTATTCTCAACCAAACCAAACCAAAAAGGACACCTATGCAGGTGCCTTCTGTTTGGCAAGGAGTATTCTCAACCAAACCAAACCAAGGACACCTATGCAGGTGCCTTCTGTTGGCAAGGGGTATTCTCAACCAAACCAAACCAAAAAGGACACCTATGCAGGTGCCTTCTGTTTGGCAAGGAGTATTCTCAACCAAACCAAACCAAAAAGGACACCTATGCAGGTGCCTTCTGTTTGGCAAGAGGTATTCTCAACTTAAACCAACTAAAGGACACCTATGCAGGTGCCTTCTGTTTGGCAAGGGGGTATTCTCAACCAAACCAAACCAAAAAGGACACCTATGCAGGTGCCTTCTGTTTAGCAAGGGGTATTCTCAGCCAAACCAAACCAAAAAGGACACCTATGCAGGTGCCTTCTGTTTGGCAAGGGGTATTCTCAACCAAACCAACCCCAAAGGACACCTATGCAGGTGCCTTCTGTTTGGCAAAGGGTATTCTCAACCAAACCAACCCAAAGGACACCTATGCAGGTGCCTTCTGTTTGGCAAGGGGTATTCTCAACCAAACCAAACCAAAGGACACCTATGCAGGTGCCTTCTGTTTGGCAAGGGGTATTCTCAACCAAACCAAACCAAAGGACACCTATGCAGGTGCCTTCTTACGTTTGGCAAGGGGTATTCTCAACCAAACCAAACCAAAAAGGACACCTATGCAGGTGCCTTCTGTTTGGCAAGGGAGTGTTCTCAACCAAAGCCAAGCCAAAGGACACCTATGCAGGTGCCTTCTGTTTGGCCAAGGGAGTATTCTCAGAAAACCAAACCCAAAGGACACCTATGCAGGTGCCTTCTGTTTGGCAGAATTTCTCAACCAAACCAAACCAAAAAAGGACACCTATGCAGGTGCCTTCTGTTTGGCAAGGGGTATTCTCAACCAAACCAAACCAAAAGGACACCTATGCAGGTGCCTTCTGTTTGGCAAGGGTATTCTCAACCAAACCAAAACCAAAAAAGGACACCTGTGCAGGTGCCTTCTGTTGGCAAAATTATTCTCAACCAAACCAAACCAAAAAGGACACCTGTCTGGGCTCCCTTTATTTCCCAGGGGTATTCTCAACTGACCAAACCAAAAAGGACACCTATGCAGGTGCCTTCTGTTTTGGCAAAGGGTATTCTCAGCAAACCAAACCAAAAAGGACACCTATGCAGGTGCCTTCTGTTTGGCAAGGAGTATTCTCAACCAAACCAAACCAAAAGGACACCTATGCAGGTGCCTTCTGTTTGGCAAGGGGGTATTCTCAACCAAACCAAACCAAAAAGGACACCTATGCAGGTGCCTTCTGTTTGGCAAGGAGTATTCTCAACCAAACCAAACCAAAAAGGACACCTATGCAGGTGCCTTCTGTTTGGCAAAGGGGAATTCTCAACCAAACCAACCCAAAAAGGACACCTATGCAGGGTGCCTTTGCGTTTTAACCCAAGGGTATTCTCAACCAAACCAAACCAAAAGGACACCTATGCAGGTGCCTTCTGTTTGGCAAGGAGTGCATTTCTCAAGACCAAACCAAACCAAAAAGGACACCTATGCAGGTGCCTTCTGTTTGGCAAGGGGTATTCTCCAGCCGACCAAACCAAAGGACACCTATGCAGGTGCCTTCTGTTTGGCAAGGGGTATTCTCAACCAAACCAAACGTATAAGAGACACCCTATGCAGGTGCCTTCTGTTTGGCAAGGGTATTCTCAACCAAACCAAACCAAGGACACCTATGCAGGTGCCTTCTGTTTGGCAAGGGAGTATTCTCAACCAAACCAAACCAAAAAAGGACACCTATGCAGGTGCCTTTAGCGTTTTTGGCAAGAAATTATTCTCAACCAAACCAAACCAAAAAGGACACCTATGCAGGTGCCTTCTGTTTGGCAAAGGGTATTCTCAACCAAACCAAACCAAAAGGACACCTATGCAGGTGCGCTGTTTAACAGGAGTATTCTCAACCAAACCAAACCAAAAAGGACACCTATGCAGGTGCCTTCTGTTTGGCAAGGGGTATTCTCAACCAAACCAAACCAAAAAGGACACCTATGCAGGTGCCCTTCTGTTTGTGAGGGTATTCTCAACCAAACCAAACCAAAAAGGACACCTATGCAGGTGCCTTCTGTTCAGCAGGGTATTCTCAACCAAACCAAACCAAAAAGGACACCTATGCAGGTGCCTTCTGTTTAGCAAGGGTATTCTCAACCAAACCAAACCAAAAAGGACACCTATGCAGGTGCCTTCTGTTTGGCGAGGGGTATTCTCAACCAAACCAAACCAAAAAGGACACCTATGCAGGTGCCTTCTGTTTGGCAAGGGTATTCTCAGCAAACCAAACCAAAAAGGACACCTATGCAGGTGCCTTCTGTTTGGCAAGGGTATTCTCAACCAAACCAAACCAAAAAGGACACCTATGCAGGTGCCTTCTGTTTGGCAAGGGAATTTAACTCAACCAAACCAAACCAAAAAGGACACCTATGCAGGTGCCTTCTGTTTAACAAGGGGTATTCTCAGCAAACCAAACCAAAAAGGACACCTGTGGGTGCCTTCTGTTTGGCAAAGGGTATTCTCAACCAAACCAAACCAAAAAGGACACCCTATGCAGGTGCCTTCTGTTTGGCAAGGGGTATTCTCAACCAAACCAAACCAAAAAGGACACCTATGCAGGTGCCCTGCCGCCCGGAAATATAAGCCGGGACTGGAAGAGCAAAGCGTAGGAGAGATGCAGAGTGCCTTCTGTTTGAGGGGGATGATTATCAACTTAAACCAAACCAAAAAAGGACACCTATGCAGGTACCTTCTGTTTGGCAAGGGGTATTAGCAAACCAAACCCAAAGGACACCTATGCAGGTGCTGTCTCTTTTACTTCTGTTTGGCAGGGGGTATTCTCAACCAAACCAAGAGCAAAAGGACACCTATGCAGGTGCCTTCTGTTTAGCAAGCGTGATCAGCAAACCAAACCAAAAAAGACCACTATGCAGGTGCCTTCTGTTGTGAGGAGTATTCTCAGCCAAACCAACCCAAAAAGGACACCTATGCAGGTGCCTTCTGTTTGGCAAGGGGTATTCTCAGCAAACCAAACCAAAAAGGACACCTATGCAGGTGCCTTCTGTTTGGCAAGGGGTATTCTCAACCAAACCAAACCAAAAAGGACACCTATGCAGGTGCCTTCTGTTTGGCAAGGGTATTCTCAACCAAACCAAACCAAAAAGGACACCTATGCAGGTGCCTTCTGTTTGGCAAGGGAGTATTCTCAACCAAACCAACCCAAAGGACACCTATGCAGGTGCCTTCTGTTTGGCAAGGGGTATTCTCAACCAAACCAAACCAAAGGACACCTATGCAGGTGCCTTCTGTTTAGCAAGGGGTATTCTCAACCAAACCAAACCAAAAAGGACACCTATGCAGGTGCCTTCTGTTTGGCAGGGGTATTCTCAACCAAACCAAACCAAAAAGGACACCTATGCAGGTGCCTTCTGTTTGGCAAAGGGTATTCTCAACCAAGCCAAACCAAAAAAGGACACCTATGCAGGTGCCTTCTGTTTGGCAAAGGGTATTCTCAACCAAACCAAACCAAAAAGGACACCTATGCAGGTGCCTTCTGTTTGGCAAGGGGTATTCTCCCAGCAAACCAACCCAAAAAAAGGGACACCTATGCAGGTGCCTTCTGTTTGGCAAGGAATATTCTCAACCAAGCCAAACCAAAAAGGACACCTAGTGCAAAGCACGGAGCCGATGAGCTGACATGCCAATGTCTGCCTTTCTTGAAAGCATTGAGGGATGCGCTTCTGTTTGGCAAGGCGTATTCTCAACCAAACCAAACCAAAAAGGACACCTATGCAGGTGCCTTCTGTTTGGCAAGGGGTATTCTCAACCAAACCAAACCAAAGGACACCTATGCAGGTGCCTTCTGTTTGGCAAGGGGTATTCTCAGCAAACCAAACCAAAAAGGACACCTATGCAGGTGCCTTCTGTTTAGCAAGGAGTATTCTCAACCAAACCAAACCAAAGGACACCTATGCAGGTGCCTTCTGTTTAACGAGTATTCTCAACCAAACCAAACCAAAAAGGACACCTATGCAGGTGCCTTCTTGTTTGGCAAGGGTATTCTCAACCAAACCAAACCAAAGGACACCTATGCAGAGTGCCTTCTGTTTAGCAAGGTGTCTCAGCAAACCAAACCAAAAAGGACACCTATGCAGGTGCCTTCTGTTTGGCAAGGGGTATTCTCAGCAAACCAAACCAAAAGGACACCTATGCAGGTGCCTTCTGTTTGGCAAGGGGTATTCTCTCCAACCAAACCAAACCAAAGGACACCTGGCAGGTGCCTTCTGTTTGGCAAGGGTATTCTCCAGTAACCAAACCAAACCAAAAAGGACACCTATGCAGGTGCCTTCTGTTTGGCAAGGGTATTCTCAACCAAACCAAACCAAAAGGACACCTATGCAGGTGCCTTCTGTTTGGCAAGAGGTATTCTCAACCAAACCAAACCAAAAAGGACACCTATGCAGGTACTTCTGTTTGGCAAGGGTATTCTCAACCAAACCAAACCAAAAGGACTCCTATGCAGGTGCCTTCTGTTTGAAAAGAAATTATTCTCAACTACAAACCAACCCAAAAGGACTGCACTATGCAGGTGCCTTCTGTTTGGCAAGGGGTATTCTCAACCAAACCAAACCAAAAAGGACACCTATGCAGGTGCCTTCTGTTTGGCAAGGGGTATTCTCAACCAAACCAAACCAAAAAGGACACCTATGCAGGTGCCTTCTGTTTGGCAAGGGGTATTCTCAACCAAACCAAACCAAAAAGGACACCTATGCAGGTGCCTTCTGTTTGGCAAGGGGTATTCTCAACCAAACCAAACCAAAAAGGACACCTATGCAGGTGCCTTCTGTTTGGCAAGGGGTATTCTCAACCAAACCAAACCAAAAAGGACACCTATGCAGGTGCCTTCTGTTTGGCAAGGGGTATTCTCAACCAAACCAAACCAAAAAGGACACCTATGCAGGTGCCTTCTGTTTGGCAAGGGGTATTCTCAACCAAACCAAACCAAAAAGGACACCTATGCAGGTGCCTTCTGTTTGGCAAGGGGTATTCTCAACCAAACCAAACCAAAAAGGACACCTATGCAGGTGCCTTCTGTTTGGCAAGGGGTATTCTCAACCAAACCAAACCAAAAAGGACACCTATGCAGGTGCCTTCTGTTTGGCAAGGGGTATTCTCAACCAAACCAAACCAAAAAGGACACCTATGCAGGTGCCTTCTGTTTGTGCCTTCTGTTTGTGGCAAAAGATTTGTGCTCACCCTGCGTCTCTTCCCCTCCTCCGCTTGGATTTGGAAGGCACCGAGACCGGAGGAGCCGAAGTCGGGATCGGAATTTCCGCCCCCTGCACGACCAGGTTCACCACCTGGCAGGTGGCGCGGCTCGCGCGGGTGAGAAAACAGGGGAACAAACAGGCCAACCCTGCTGCCTGACACTACCCAGAGGCTCCTGGCTTCGGCTTTCAATGGAAGACCCAGGCCCTCCATTAGACACCCCAAAGGTAGTTCGGGGTCCCAAAACCTGGTTGTTTGAAGGCCTTAAATCAATCGGGAGCCTCTGGGTAGAAAAAGGAACCCGTTTTGGGGTTGACCATCTGTGGAAGAAGCCTGCCAAACCAAAAAAATGGCACAAAGGGTGACGCTTTTGTTCAACTGGGAACCATTTGGAGGGTCCCCAGTCTCACATATACTCAAATGCGAGCGTCCACGAAATCTGCTCGGGAGCTGAACCCAGCCGCACCACGATAGCGGAATAGTTGGCAAGACACCAAGTCGTGTTTTTGCAAACAAGCCAAGTCGTGCTTTTGGAAACAGAAACAATGGCACAGCTGTGCTCCAGCGTCGTGCATGTCCAATGGCACCGATCGGGTTTGGAAGGCGATCCTCTTTCTAGAGGCCTAAGGGGTCTGTCCACTTCACCAAATTGGAGAACGGGTATATTTCACGAACCCTACATACTGTGGATGGGCGACATCCATCCGAAGAACCCCGGAATGACTCGAGTCCCCCTGAAAATAGCACCAAACAGTGGTTTCAACCATGGTTTCAAAGGCCAAACAACTCGTCCGTCAGCAGGCACTTTCATGAGTTTCTCAAAGGCTTGGACCACTGACCAGGTTTTCGGTCTTGAAAGGGCAACTGACGTCGTCAGTTTCCGTTTGACACTTGTAAAACCACCCAAAAAACGGTGCCCTCCCTCCAATTAACATGGAACCTGACAGGAGCCCCTTGGAAGACCATTCTCCTTTTCAAGGGACCCGGTCCCGAAGGTCAGGTTCCATGGGAGGGTGTGCTCAAACCGAAGGTTTGGGGATTCAACCAGAGAACCCGCGCACCAGCCCCGGACAATCTCCAAAGCGGGCTCCAAAGCAAGAAGCCGACAGAAGGGCACCGGCGCAAAAGGCATGAAGAGAAAAGGAAAAAACAAACCCACCTCTGCTAGACATGGCTCAAGCATCCGGGGCAAACCACCAGTCAAATGGTTTGGCGGATAGGCGCCTGAATGGAGTTCCTGGGCGTTGCGGACGTGGAATTCCTCGGCGAGGACGCTTTGCACGGAGGCTTTGCGATGACCTGCCGGCTGGCTGCGGTCGGGGCTTGGCAAAAAGAACACATGCGAGCAGTTATCCATCGCATTCTTCTAGGGTACTACGGTACCTCCCCCATTTTTTCCAGGGATCCTTATTTCTAGAAAACCTCCGGAAACCCAGGGAAAACGGGAGGTTGGAAAGAAATATAGTTGAACAGAATGGGGAATCAACCCCTAGAATTCTGGTTTCTTTTAGGCGACTGGAAAGCGCAGGCCGCAAACCTTCTTGGACAAATAGGAGGCATCGCCTTGATCGGGTTCTCCTTGGTTTTGATAAACACGGTATGACTGTGTCACATCTGTCTTCTTTTGGCATCCGATTGGACATAATAATATCCAAATCCATGGCTGCCTTGGCCATTTTACCGCCCATGGGGGCAGCACAATTGGGCCCGCACATGGCTGGCTGTCGGTTTTCTCCTTTCATCATCCCAGGGGGACCTTAAAACAAAAAAACACAAATTTGGGAAAACCCCAATGTTGGAAAAAGCAAAAGGACACCGCTCGGAAAGAAACAGTGCTTCTAAACCCTTATAAAGTTTGCCCAGGCTGTTCAGCCCACAACAGCACCAGCACCAAAAAAGTCCAACCAAAGCCAAAGCCCATCTGAGTTCTGTCAACTCGGAACCCGCAAAAATGTGTGCACTCCATTTGGTTTCCCATAAAATAGCCCAACCAGGTCCTCCAGTAGAGAGGTTAGAATAAGGATACCTTTTTTTCTGTAGTCTATTTTAGTAGGGGAACCCTCCCAACCAAAAAAGTTGGTGAAAGGACACTACTGGGGGACGCCAAACAAGAGATTCCCTCAACAAAGAGACACCCATTCCTGCGGCATGAGCCGAGCCCTTCGGCCAATCACATTCCACGGAATCTCCCCGCCGGCAGCACCGCTCGCTTCTCAGCCATGGAAGCGGGGAGCTTCTTGGAGGGTGTCCTGTGGCAGCTAACCCCGGCTCCAGCCCAAGGATCAAAGTTCGGATTTTGCTTGGTCACATCAAGCTGAAACCAATGGAAGTCTCCTTCCTGGAGAATTTGCCTGGCTTCCGGCCTTTCAGCCCCCGGCTTCCAGCCTATCGATTCAACAGGGAAGCAATCCAATAAATTATTCCGGCCTTCCTGGAGAAATCGATTCGGATAGATTCGAGTCACACCAAGCTGAAACCATCGTGAAGCCATCGTGAAGCAAAACTCACCCAAGGACACCGACACACACTTGCCATTATGCCCTTTCTAGCCCTGACAATCCAATGTATGCATATATCGCCTACATTGGCCGACGCCCGCGTTTTTCAACCACATTGACCGATAAACCCGAATGTAGCCAATTTTTGGGGACATTCAAACCGACAACTTCCGACAAGGGTTCCGACAAGCCTTCCGACAACAAGCTCGCCTCAATTTCGGCGACTCTATCCGACGACGCCCTCCAACCAGCCTTTTCCAATGCCTTTCCGACCGCTAACTTAACTCACAATGCAGGAAAATACAAAGGCACGCCGCAAATTGCTGTACGGACAAAACTTAAACTGCGAATGACTGGCAACAACTACAGGGCCCAAACAGGGCACATAATGATTCGAGCCAACCCCGGCTATCATTGTCGGTAAATGTTGGTTGCCTGGCATGCAACAGAAGGAATCGACTAGCATAGTGTAGCAGATCCTGCTGAGGACTTCCGATTGTAACGTTAACCATTTTGACGGGCTGGCTGGCTTGACGAAACAGTGTGGCGACGAAGCACATGTGCGATAGTTCAAGCTTTTCAGGCCACACCGTGAAGCACATTTCCAGAACTGGGTCACTCTAAGGCAACGCCGGTTAGCAAAGATCACTCAACAAACATAATTATTGCGCATGGAGGACAACAACCTTGCAAAACACCTCGCAGCAGGAGATCCTGCCAGCAGTCACTCTCAACAAAACCTATCCAAACGCTGATGGGGGTTGATACCCCCCAACCAAAAAGGTAAAGAATGATGCTACATCGTCGTTGTCCACAGTTACACAATTTCGTCAACTTGCCCGTGCAGCTTAAATGTGTTGCTTCCTGATTGCTTGCAAGCTGCAACCTCTGGCTTTGCGAGCTAAGTTTCTATTATGTTTGATGCGTGCCCACGCAGGGGCCATGGATCATCATGACAAGCTTGTTCGCGGGCCATAAGCCGTCGACCGAAGGCAAGGGGTCAAATTTCCAACAATCACATCTCCAACCAAATGCTTGCTTAACACCACGCCGCAACCCCGTCCAGAGCGCAGCCCATCTTAAAAAGCCCTTGCTGTTCAAAGCAGGTGTTTCATTTGTTTCCAGGAGGCTCACTTTGAAAGCATGCTAGCCTGCTAGCAGTTCCCAAGCACCATTCGAGCGGCAACTGCTTGCCACGCGAAATTTCACTGGTCAGATAGAAATTAAGGCTCTAATCCTGCCATGCCCCATGCCGCAATGCAAAATTCACAGACTTAACAAAAACAGCTTTGTCAAACGAGATGTGCTGGGAAGGGCCCAAGCGGCGGTCTTGAGGAGAACGGATATGACGCAGTCCAAGCCCCATATGTTTTTTATTGCAAGGGCTTGGTTTATCGATGAAACCCAACTAAAAAGGGCACGAGTAACATGTTTGCCTAATGCTCTCCTTGATTAAACACTCCGAATGTTTTGGGGCATACAGTATTCCATTTGTCCGACAAACGCTTCTCCGCTGATAAGTTCTAGGCCGGCTTGCCAGGTGACACAATCAATCAATCAATCAATCAATCAATCAATCAATCAATCAATCAATCAATCAATCAATCAATCAATCACTTCCAACTCACGGTGCAAACAAAAATCGAGCCTCGTCCGACGTGTCAACACATGAACACAGTCCGGGAAAAAAACATCACGCTATTTCACGGTTTTCCGTTAATGTAAGCAAAAATAAGAAGACAATCCGACAACTTTTCACGCCAAATCACGCCAAATCACGGTTTGCCGTTTGCACAAGCAAAGGACAGGAACACAATCCGAGAAGAAGTCACTCAAGAACAACGAAATTTGTCGGGTCATTTACTCCAAATCGCTTGCTAATTTTGGGCATGCAGGTGTGAAGAACATGGTAGGGACATACTTTGGTCAGCCAGGGGGAATAAACGGACCTTGCTGAACTTCTTTTGGGTAGCAACAATAGGCACCTGTTGGGCCTTTAGTAGACCAAGCTTTGAATAGGCAAGACTGAGCTTTTTGCATGGCTGATGCGATCCCAGAGCTGATGCGAGTAGACAATCCGGATGCCGAGTCTCCAGCATGCCAATGAAAACTGAAGAGCACTGAAGACATGCATGCTAAGCTTGGTGGCTCCTTATCCGAGTTTACATAGCAAGCAGTATTGCCAAGCTAATAGTACAGATTGCGCGTGCAGCATCATATATCCCATGCTCAATCGGCAAAACGCCAGGCCTGCCCACGCAATGTAGTCATTGACCTAAACCTACAAATCTGAGCTTAGATATTCATCATCTTGAACTGCATGTGTACATAAAGTCTTGCACATGCGTATATACATAAATTTGCACCTGCGTAACATGTGTATGTCTATGTTTTGCTTAGCGGAAAACGCTTTTTGGTAAAATAAACTTGGAGTTTCTTTTTGGTATGCTTGGACATCTTGCTGCGTAGATTGAGCACGCTTGACTGGCCAACAGTTACTGGGTGGCAGTTGGGAGTCGGCTCGGCAGGCCAATTTGGCTTGGCGCTCCTCATCTCAATCATTCGGCACAGCCAGAAACATGTCCATACTTGCAATCGCGTGTAGGCTGTACTGTTGTAAAATGAATCCCTGGCAGTTGATAGATGGCTGTGCTTTCCAATGCGGCTCAAGGTCGGCAAGTCCGTGCCTTTGGCGCAGAGCATGTTGAATTTGTAAGCTTATCATTTCAAATACGCATAATCCAAGATCAAAGCACGTTTACATGGGCAATAGAGCTCGAGGGTGGCTTTGCGTTGCACGGCTGAACAATTTGCGTACTCAATACTTAGAGCGGCTTTCTCACAAGAGTGCACCACCGCTGCACGCACACACAGTCCCATAAGAATTGCCCAAGTGCACGAACAGAATCATTCCTGCAATTGTTGATTTGTTTGTTTGGCGTAGCCTGCTCATACGGAAAAACACTTGTGAGAGTCTGATGGCGAGCTCTCAACCATCGCTAGCTACAAACGTCATCAAATGTCCATGTCAGTAACGCGGTGTTTACATTTGCTGAAGCAAGTGCAAATTAATGAAAGCGAAGTTGCTACACAACAGTGCTTTGGCAACTAGAGCAAGTTAGCAAGCATGATCATTGGACCCATGCAAACCAAATATGCTCAACAAACTCCGCCACATTCGGGTTGAAATTTGACTATCGGAATCTCATCATTTGCCAGGCCATATTTCGACATTCGACGGGGATTCGGCGAATGTATCATTTTTGGCTATATTTCGACAATCCGACAGGGATCCGACGAATGTTGTCGTGTTTTTGCAACATTGCCAATGTACCCCAAAAATGGCTACATTGCAATGTACGCCATATTTGCCTACATGGATTCTCAGGGTAGGGTGAACAAAAACATGACTTGGGTTTTCCAAAACTGGGGCCCCTTTCAAGGTGATCTAACACCCCGAAGTTGGAAAGCTGACACTGACATGTGTCTCTTTTTGAGGGGACCACTTGCTTGTGGTTTCAACGGGAAGAAAGGAACGCCACCATTTTTGGGGGGAAACACACAGAGGGTGGCGTCGCAACCGAGAATCTGCCCGGAGGTGGGTATGCGAAAATGGGCAAACCCCCCCCAAAAAAATAAAACGCACCAGCATAGACCCCAGAGATAGCGTAAAACAGGTCGCAGCAACTCCAACAGTCTGCACCAGCGCCCAAAACATCCCAGCGGAAAATGGGGCAATAGCGCCCCTTTGTGTAGTGGATGGTGGGTATCTTCCGTTTGCGGATATATATTATCAGGAAACAATAAACATATTTCCAGTAGTGATAGATTCCCTTTAAAACCAACAGGGGAAAAGCACACAAAATGCTTAAGCAATGGAAGGTATGTGTCTGTGTAAATACCTCTGGGGCGGAAACCATCCTGGAGTTCCTGGAAAGCAGGGGAATGGATACACAGCGCTTTCGACGCTGTGTAAGAATCCCTGTTGAAAGGTAAGGAACACGGAAGGCAGCTTGTTTTTGTGTTCTGTTCGCAACATCGGTACATCGGCGCACTTGGGGAATCAAAACAATCATCTTGCGTCGGATCCCGGCTCTGAAGCGGATCGTCATGCCTTTCCAGCGCCCGTTGGCTACCTGCCCGAGTCCGCAGCCTGCCATGTTCAAACAACCAACACCCAGCCCAAGCGACCTATGCTGCCGCGATGTTGTCTGGCCTGCAACTGGGGGCAACAAGAGCGAACTAAACATCCAACGGGGCAAAACAAGGCCTTCACCACATCACCAGAACTTCTCGTGGATTAAAATAGAAATCGGCATCCGATTTTTGGGGTTGGTTGAGTTTAAAGGGAACCCTTCCCCGAAAAATGTCGAAAAAGGGCGGAATCCACTGGGCAACAGAGGCTTCTGCACGCGTGGGTGTGCCACAGATGCTCCTGGATGGAGATTGCGGGTTGGCATCTCGGCCAGAAACCGCGTCAATCCTCAGAGCAGCATCCGTCGAAGATCAAACGAATAGGCAACACACGCGCACCCACACGCGCAATGGTTCAAATTCTGAAACAAACCTCTCTCCAAAACTCCGCCAGCTTGGGATGTCCCCAAACTGAAAGAACCGAGCCAAGCCAAACAAACACATGGTTTGGCTGTGAAAAATAAAGTCTCCCTCCATACCCAAACCAAAGCACCGCCTATGTGCCGCCAGTTGAGGCTGTAGGATGCATAGGACCCCCTTTGAGGTCTCCCTGCCCATACAAATTGAGTCGCAATCAAAAAATATGCTTACCCAAATTGCTTCAAGAGCCCAATCTTGGTTGCCGTCGACCCCTCCACAAAGACTTTCACTTTTTGTGGGTCCAGCGGAAACCCCACTGTTTCCCAAAAGGTTCAAGTCCAAAAATCGAACCAAATAGCCACAGGGCAATGATTGTTTTTGGTGTCTCGGAGCGCACACCAATTCATCTGGCACATGTGTATTGTTATTATTACTATTGTCATTCTTATTATTATGGACCATACACTGACAACAAGGTGCCCCAAGCAGAACATATGGGCGGCATCGCTTGTTCTGCCCCCGTTTCACGCGCTTGTGCAGAACTGTGTGCTAAACCCAATACTGAAGGAGGCAACCCACCATTGGTTCAAAGGTTGGAAACTCCTATTAGAACCCACTTAGAGTTCTTGCAAGAGCCAGCTAGTCAATGGCTGCAATAGCAAAGGCTTCTAATCACTGGAAAAATGGGCTCAGATGCCCAGTGATGAGGTAAAATCTGAATCGGCATCCTTTTTTGGTTGCTTTCTTAAAGGAACCCAAAACCCAAAAAAAGACCAGAAAAAAGGAAGCAAGACCAACATCCACAGGTTGGACCTGCGCCAGGGGGCTTGTACAAATGCTCATAGGTCTTCTTCAGCAGCTCGAGGCGCTTGTCTGCACCGGGCCTCGGCTAGGCAAGCAGGCAACGGGGAGTTTAGGAAGCCTCTAGGTGTTGCATGATGGTTTTGCCGGGATACCTATGCTGGGAACTGGAAGTTAAAACAAAAAAGTGCTGCTGGTCTTTGGACTTGGCTTTGGAAACTTTGGACTTGAACCCAAAGTCCCTGAGGGTGCGCAACTCAGAGTGCCATGTAGGAAAGGGGACCGCTTCCCTGTGGTTCTTTTGGGGTAAGCCTTCCATTCAAGCAACTGGTTGCTTGGAAACCTCCAATTTTGCGAACTTGCTCACGTGTGGCCACCCCCTTTCCAGCTCAAGAATCGAGCAAGCAACTACCGAGCCATGCCTCGAAACGGGTGGTTTGCCAATTGGTTTCCTTTTGGACAGATCGCTAGCGCTCAAACAATGACAACTGAAACCACTGCAACTATGTACCAAACTCAACAAGACACCTATCAGCGAGCCTCTGGATAAATTGTCCCAGCGAATGTAAAGCATCAGCCATTTCGGGCTGCCTTTTTTGAGTACCTGCTTTGTGTTTCATTCATTGGCTAGATTGAAGGGGAACCACCCTTCAAATCAAGGCAAACCATAAGTGTCGAGTTCACAAGCTGGAAACGAGAAATCCCAAGGACCAGTAGCTGGTCTCCCGCAGCTAGGCTGAACTGGCAATTGTTCATGCATTTAAAGTTTTTTTTGCATTTTGCATTTTTCCAGTTTCTCGCGGGCATTTGTTGCTCGATTTATGTCGCTGAGGTTGACTTTAGAGAAGTTAGTTGTTTGGGTTTCAAGTTGTTTTTCGGTGGGAAGGGGGGGGGGCAGGACGGGACAATAATAATGCGCCTGTGTGCCCATTGTTGCGAAAGGCTTGATTCCTGCAGCATCGTTTTTCGTTGGCTGCTCGCCTTCGGAGAGTCGGAACGGAATTATCTTTTTTCATCTCGTTTGTTGTTTGAGGGCTCGGTGGCTTGCCCCGCCCCACCCCCCCTCCTCCCAAGCCCATCAATGATTGACGTTGTTGCGTTTGCTTGCGCGGGTTCGGTGGCTTGCCCCGCCCGGCCCCCTTAAACAAATCCTTTCGCTGGTTTTGGCGGCATGCCCCATCCAGCAATAGGGTGCCCAGCTCCCCCTTCCTCCAAAGTGAAGCCCGCCAACGATTGAAGTTGTTGCATGTGCTTGTGCTTGCGGGTTCGGTGGCTTGCCCCGCCCGGCCCCTACGCCTTCTGCAAGCAAGAGGGAAGGCGTCTCAGGGCAAAAGAGTCTCACAGGAAAGCTGTGAGCTGACGAACGGACATGCGTGATGCGACGCAAGAGCCGCCCAAGTCGTATGTTTCTTGCGGATCATATTTTTCAAGCGGATAGATGTGTTTTTGCAGAGCAGATATGCTTGTTGCGGTGTGCGCTTGCGGGTTCGGTGGCTTGCCCCGCCCGGCGCCCACAATGACTTACGCTGGTTTCGGTGGCATGCCCCATCCAGCAGTAAGGATTCAGAAGGGGCGCTTCTGAAACCGCCCTTTTCCGGAAGCGTTCTCAGAAAGGCTTTCGTGTGTAAGGGCGGCTCGAAAAACAAGACTTTCGTGGGAAGTCTGCCTGCAAGTCTTGTTTGGTTTTTTGAAGTTTCGGCTCTGACATGTTGAACTGCCCGTAGAAGGGAAATAGCGTGAGAAAGTCTACCAATGGCACGGGGGCCTGCTCGCAAAAAAGGCAGCGCAGTGAAGCAGCTTTGCTCCTACAAGAAGTGCAGAGCCAAGAAGGACGTGAAGAACAAGTGCCACACAGCTCGCCGTGAGGAAGTGGATCTTGAGCAATGTCGGCCCTTAAGAAGCCACTGTCAGACTGTAAAGTTCTGTGGTCAAACGCATTTAGACGCCTGCCTATCAAAAAAGAAAAAAGCTCCACCCGTTGGAAGGGAAGCTCTGGACACGCAGCAACTGGCCAGTCTTTTTCAAACCTTGGTGGAGCTAGGCCGTGCCTGGGCAGCCGTCATGGGGTTATGCCAGCTTTTTTTGGGAGAGCGCGCTGACTGCGTGCGGCAGCTGAGAACATCTTGGCTGCGCAACTTGGGCCCTCAAGACGCACGCACTCCGGCCGTTTGCATCCCTGAAGGGGTGAACAAAAAAACAACCTCCCGTGAAGTTCCTCTTCACAGTGGCCTGGCTACCTTGCTTCATAACTGGATGTTTCGTGAACCACTCCGGCACGCCCAGCAGCACAGCGAGCTTGTGCACCTTTGTGGCTATGTCGGCGCGCTCCTCCCCCGCAGTCATGAAGCGCTGTTGTTCAGCCAAAGGCCGTAGATGGAAGATGCTGAAAGTCTGCAAGGCCTCGAAGCACGGGAACTCCGCCGACACAACGTCTTTGGCCAAAGCGGTCCATGCCTTGAAGCGCTGCAAGCAGGACGCAACTGTCTGAGCCATCTGATGCTGCGGCGCACCGCCGAGCCGCCGGGGCTGGCGATCCACATACAGCACCCGCTGCGTTGACAGCAGCTGCAGCACGTGCTGCGTGAAGCCGGTCCTCAGGCAGCCCCCCTGATCAAAAAGCATGGTGATCCGCGTCGTGAACCGGCCCAACTCCGCACACAGTTGGCTGTTGTCTAGCGTCTCGCTGTCCAGAAAACGCACCAGCTGAAGATTTTCTTCTCCAGCGTCAGCTAGCATGCCCAAAAGCACCAAGTTCTCCTCCGTGGCAAGCATCAGAAACTCCTTTGCTGCAGCGCCTACCCTTTCTTGTTTTCTTTCATCATGTAGGGACTGCGCTGTTGATAGAACAGCTTCCATTGTCAGGCACAACTTGGCAAAGGGGGTCGCCCAGGTGTCGAAGCGGTGTTTGGCGGCGCTGAACTTGGACGAGTTCTGCTTCCACATCGGGTTGTACTGCATGGCGCGCACCTCCTGCGCATACTTCACCCGCACAACGTCGCTGTGGTGGATCAGCTGGACGATGCTGCCTTTGTTCATGACTACCTTTTTGACCAACGTGTCCAGCACAGGGTCACACTTCCAAGTGCGACTCACTATCCTGGCAGAAGGGCCAGTACACTCGAAGAACATGCGGTGAAAATCGCATGGCCACAAACAAAAAAAGGGTCCTGCGGGCTGCGTGGGGCTTGTCTTTGTTTACAAACTTCAGGTTCGGAAAGACTTGCAGCGTGCCCGTGCCCATGTCTGCCAAATCGCAGTATAGCTGAGCAAAAGCTTCGTGCTCCGACGACAAGAGCTGTCCCGCCAGCTGCTCGTCGGCTGCTGCGTCGGCGTTGAACACCTCAACGCGCCCAAGCCACTGCTGAAACGCAACTGCGTCCAGCTGGGGACAAGCCACCTGAGCTGGCACAGTTGGCTTCAGGCAGTCCTTGAATTCTTCTGCACCAGCAAAAGGGGTGGCCAAATCATGAAGCAAATGCACAACAGCCGTGGCAACTCCGACCGCAGAGAAGTCATGAAGCTTCCGTGCGCCCAGAAGCGTGTGCTGAGGTTGCAAATCCTCTGCGCACGTTTGCCCTCGCAAGACAAGGATCGTCTTTGAGCAGTCCGAGTGCACAGTGACGCAGGAGGCAGCGTTGAGCGTTTGTCGCGTGCGAGCCCGCAGCGACTCGGCCAAGCAAAACTTGAGCTTCGGCTCGGCGGCGAAGGATCTGGCCGCCGGACCAGGCAATCCCATCATCACCGCCATCTTTTCCCTTGCGTGTAGCTCGCAGAACTGCGATGAACTCTTCGAGAGATGGGGCCATTAGGCGCAGTCGGATGTCTTCATTTGATGCTGCGGCCTGGTGCCTTTTGGTTTTCTCATGGTCTCGGAAGTGGCTGACCTGCAATGAAGCAACGGTTCGAAACTCCGCTGACACATGCCCAGCAGCTTTGCAGGCAGCACAGCTGACGGAGAAGTCGCCTGTGTCCCACTGCACAGCCTCCAGCCACGGGAACTGCTCGGTCCACCGCCTGCCAAAGCGGGCCCATGCGCTCTGCGCGGACATTCCGGGCAGCTTGGGCCAGAGCTCTGTCCAGAGGGCGCTTGCGGAAAAAAACTTAAGTTTACGCACGAAGTTCCTGTCCAGAGGGCCTCTGGAATCCGAAGGTCGACTCAACAAGCCGCAGCGCTGTGGACTGTCCAAAGAACTAGAAACGTTCGAACACCGGGAATTTTGCGTTCCCCGAAATCCAAGAATTGTAGTCCACTCGACGGTCCGCAGCGCTGTGGTTTGTGGAGACAACTTATGGAAACCGGAGACCCTCTGGACAAATGGGGTCTGTGGAAAAAAACTTAAGTTTTTTTCCGCGGACCAAGCTGATCGGGCGAGCGTAAGTGTCATGTGGGAAACTGGATGGACGTGACCGGACTGTCTCTCGGCAACCCTTGATCCTCAGCACTTCATGACGTCCAGCAGGACACAAATCCAATGTGCTGGGGCAAGCCACCAACGCGGGCCGGGGCACGCCGCCTGAGCCACATCATGGTTACCAAACTCACAAACTTACGCGGCAGAGCGCGCAAAAGCCCAGCGTTGCGGCTCAGTTGGGCTCCCTGTCCGTGGGGTCGTCCTCCTCTTCCTCGGCTGGGTCTTCAGTGGCCGGCGGCGCGGCAGCCTTAGCCTTGACTCGTCTGCCCTGCTTGGGGGCTGGTCCGGCGCCTGGAGCAGGCGGCGCAGCTTTCAGCATGTTCTCCACCAGGTCGACCAGCGCCGAGCCACTGTTCGGCGGCCCTGCCCCCCCGTTCTTGGCAGGAGGAGGCACTGGGCCAAGCTGCCCAGCCTGGCTTTGCTCACCGGCGGCGCTTTTCCTCCGGCCTTGCCCCTCGTCAAGTTGCTGTCACCGCTGTCCGCCTGCGTCGTGGTTGGCAGGCACGGCGAGACCACTTGGTTTCAGACTGGTTTGAAATATTAAAGCAGCAGAATAAACACTGCGTCTGTGCATAAAACAAAGCACTGGCCTGCAGAGCGTCGCGCAGCTCTGCAGCGTAATACTGACTGCTTGGGCTCTGCATGTGTGCCCACAAGCGGCCGAAGAGGTACTGCCGCACGACATTCACGTTAAGACTAGTCTGGCAGAATCCTAAGAAAGGCTTTTTCTCCATAAGGGCGGCCTCGGCAGCATGGCTGCGAATGGAAAGACAGGGGCTCCAGGGTGTCCGGCTTCCTCACCAAGGACTCAGACCCCGCAGGCGCGGCCCCGCCAACCTTGCAGCTTCCTTTGCACTTGTCAGACCACACCCTTCTATTGCTCCATCAAGTTGAAATTGAAACCCCGCACTTTCTCGTACCGCTGGAAGTAGCTGCTCTCTTCCATCTGAACGTGCAGAACCCGCACCTGCTTGTTGAGCGCGCCCCCGGTGGCGTCCATGAAGCCACCCAGCAATGCTTTTGGCGTCAGACCTGCGGCAGACAAATGTTGAAACCCGATCACGCTGCATGCCTGCAGTTTAATCCATGAATGTGAAATGCTGTTGGGCTCTCTGTTTGAATGTGGCAATACCACGTCAAGAATGAACTGTGGGCGGCAGGGCTGTTTTCACGCACGGTTTCCGAGTCAGGTGGATGCATTGCTGGCCGCGCAGGCGGGAATATGTATGAATTAAAATGCAACAAGCATGTGCACAGCCAACATTCCGCCGGCCTGGGCACTAAATTGCAACCATCGATGAACCACTAAGAAGTCGTCCATCGGCCGCCACTGCGAGCCCTGTGCGGGCAACAAAGGAGGCAAGGAGCCGCCGAAACACTTCCAGCTAGGCTAACCAACGCACAAGCTACTGCGCGACGCAGTTTTGCAGCTGCCTAGTAACACCGTCGTCAAGAATGTCCAGGTCCGGCCTCGGACTCGCTGGCGGCCCGTTGGCATTCAATCACGACTTCGCCGCTCTGCGGCACAGGGTCCGCCGAATCAGGCTGGGGCAAGCCACCAGAGCCTACTTTGCCTCCCGCAAGTGGATTCCCAGTGGCCTCTGGCTGAGGTAAGCCGCCAACGCCCTTGACTTGCCAAGCACGGATGGTTTTGCAAGCGGGCCGCAGTGACCAAACCTTGGAAGCAATAGAAAACAACTGCCTTCTGAGCTGTCGCCATTGAGTCTGTGTAACCGCACAATCAGGAAAACTTTAAGGTCACTAGTCCAGATTTGGCGTGGGGCCAGGCCCCACTAAAAGTCTGGTAGTAACAATGCGCGCGCCCGCAGCTTGCAGGCAGACTTCCCACGAAAGTCTTGTTTTTCGAGCCGCCCTTACACACGAAAGCCTTTCTGAGAACGCTTCCGGAAAAGGGCGGTTTCAGAAGCGCCCCTTCTGAATCCATACTGCTGGATGGGGCATGCCACCGAAACCAGCGTAAGTCATTGTGGGCGCCGGGCGGGGCAAGCCACCGAACCCGCAAGCGCACACCGCAACAAGCATATCTGCTCTGCAAAAACACATCTATCCGCTTGAAAAATATGATCCGCAAGAAACATACGACTTGGGCGGCTCTTGCGTCGCATCACGCATGTCCGTTCGTCAGCTCACAGCTTTCCTGTGAGACTCTTTTGCCCTGAGACGCCTTCCCTCTTGCTTGCAGAAGGCGTAGGGGCCGGGCGGGGCAAGCCACCGAACCCGCAAGCACAAGCACATGCAACAACTTCAATCGTTGGCGGGCTTCACTTTGGAGGAAGGGGGAGCTGGGCACCCTCTTGCTGGATGGGGCATGCCGCCAAAACCAGCGAAAGGATTTGTTTAAGGGGGCCGGGCGGGGCAAGCCACCGAACCCGCGCAAGCAAACGCAACAACGTCAATCATTGATGGGCTTGGGAGGAGGGGGGGTGGGGCGGGGCAAGCCACCGAGCCCTCAAACAACAAACGAGATGAAAAAAAGATAATTCCGTTCCGACTCTCCGAAGGCGAGCAGCCAGCGAAAAACGATGCTGCAGGAATCAAGCCTTTCGCAACAATGGGCACACAGGCGCATTATTATTGTCCCGTCCTTCCCCCCCCCCCCTTCCCACCGAAAAACAACTTGAAACCCAAACAATTAACTTCTCTAAAGTCAACCTCAGCGACATAAATCGAGCAACAAATGCCCGCGAAAAACTGGAAAAATGCAAAATGCAAAAAAAAACTTTAAAAACATTAACAATTGCCTTTTCAGTAGGTCGTAGAGGGCTGTGGCTCAAAAAACCGGTACCCAAAATGGGACCCTGGTAAGTGGAAACATGGACCAAAACCTGTACAACCCCTCCTGTTTAATTTTGAGCCACACCCAGAGAGGTTAGAATAAGGGTACCCTTTTTTCTGTAGTCTATTTTAGTACGGGAACCCTCCCCCAAAAAAGGGAGAAGGGCACTACTGGGGGACCTAGACAGGTTTCTCCTGAGCGCCTTTGCCCGCCCGCCGAGGTGCCGCCGCCTGCGCGAGGAGTTCTGGTAGAGGCGCCAGAACACCGAGCGGCGCTTGGACTCTTGCAAGGACGCGCTCAGCTGGGTGAGTGTGCGATTCAGGTCCTGGCCGATGTTGTGCTTCACCACCCCTTACACTTTGGCAAATATCCTAAAGTGACTTGATTCACAATCTAGGTCCTCCAAAACGACCGGCAACTGTGATGTTCAACACGTTTAGCAAGCGGGAATGGCCAACACGTGATTCGATTTGGGTCTGTCTCAAAATACACGAACCCGCCCCCCTCACACCTCAAATGTTCCATCATTTTCCCTTGCCAAGCTAAAAGGGCGGTACTAGTACCAGCTCCCCACCCCCCCCAGAAAAAAACAAATGGCACCTGCCGGTACTTTAACCCATTTGGCTACCCCCCTCCCCCCCCCATCCCCCTGCTCCCAGCTCCCAGCTCCCAGCTCCGCCCGCCTCGCCTCCTTGGGCTGCTTCTTACAGCTCTCCACCGCCTCCACTGCACCCTCCAGGGAGCCCTGCATGGCGCTCAGCGCCAGCGACATCTCCAGGTGCTCCCCTACCATCCGGAGCTTCCAGATTTCGCCTTTTTTTTCTTCTTTGTTGCGCTGAGCGCGGGGGAACAAGCCGCACGAACCATCCGGATTTGTTTTGTTTGGTTAGTTTGTGTTTTTTTCTCCGGCGGGGGGGGAAAACAATATACCCGTCCTCCCCACGAACATAGCATTTGTGGGAGGACCATCGGAGCTTTTTTTCGCTTTTTTTCTCGTTCAGCGCGGAGACAATACCCTCCCTCCCAACGTGGCACCTGACAGAGGGTAGCTGAAAGAGGAGATGGATCTTCCAGGTATCCTCCCACAAATGCTACTGTGGATGGTTGCGAAATCCCATTTCGCACCACTGCTCAGAAACTCTGGAATGATGACTCCCCTGTGAATACCAACAAACAATGGTTTCAACCATGGTTTCAAAGTGGTGCAGGATTTCGTCCATCCACAGTAGCATTTGCAGGAGGATGCCTGGAAGATCCATTTCCTCTTTCAGCTACCCTCTGTCAGGCGCCATGTTAGTGGGAGGGAGGGCAAACATTTGGGTGAGACAAAACCCTCCGCACCTTGATTCTGTCGAATCTTCAGCTAGAGGTGTCAGCAAAGTCCGAGGTGTCGAATTTTTCTTTAAGCCCCCGAATATATATTTTTTCGGGATCCCTGCAAGCGGACTGAGAACTGCCACTCCGTGAAAACAACAAAACTCCCCTGGGCCCTGGGAGTTGCGGGGAGTGCTCAAACGCCGGGTGCCCATTTCAGGGGTCCCGTTCCACGTCCAACCCAGAAAAACCCTCAAGGGTCTTCACCCAGCGGAGGGCCTTGGGCCCTGGGACATGCGCCCCATGGCGCCTTCTTTCTTCGCAGCAAGTATGGGGGGACTCAACAAATCCAAGGGTCAAGCCTCACAAAGGCCGCTGTTTGAGGCGCTCGGTGATGCTTTTTTTCACGAATTCCTAACCTGGCATGTCCATGGACCCGCTTGGAACAGGGAAAAAAAGCAAAGCACGGGGTATCAAACGGCCGACCACGGACCCACCCCCCAACTCGCCCCCCAAGCCCCAAGAGCTCCGCCTGTGGCCTCCTGCAGCTTCTCGCCCAACTGGCCTCGGTTGCTTTCTGCCCTGCTGAAAGGTTTTAGCTTTGAGTGGTTGAATGGGGAAAACCCATTGGTTGGCAACAAGCTCTTCAGTCCTAACATCCCTTGGCAAATTGCAACAAAGTGGCTGCAGAGCCCCCGCAGCGCCGCAATCAGCGCCCCCTGCGCCTTTAGCCGCCGCCTCGCGCGGCGAAAACGGCACATCGGCGGGGCCTGACCCCGATGCCCGGGAAGCTCCCCGCCCCGGGGAAAGGCATCTTCAACCCCTGACATGGCGGAAGCCTTGATTTGGCATCTCCTCACGGGTGTTGACCCTGAAAGTGGGGAACAACGCATGTCCCACCTTGGCAAGTGTATCTTCTGCGGGTTTTGTAGGGCCCCACTTGGGTGCATGAGCCAGTTTTTGAACACGAGTGGCTTCCGAAAGTGGAATCCTGGCGTGCATGACCCTCCCCCCAAAACCCCTCCCGCCTCAAGCTGTCATGATGCCGCTGGTGTTGCAGGCTTTTGTTGGCACAAAATGGGAATGACAAAGGAGGAAACGGAGAATTCATTTGAATATGTTCATTCTAGTAAATGGCAAACATGTAGACGTGGACCAACTCCGGAGTGCACCAAAACATACAGATTCTTCTTCACATGGGTGTGTTTTGTGGGGTACCCCTTTTTGGGGGTATTGAAGGGAAACCTAAAGGAAGACCGAAATCCATTTTGGGGGTCCGATTGAACAAAAAGAAGGCACAGCCATATTCATATACATTAAACCATTTCATCTTTTTGGAGGCGACGCCTGGTGACCGAACCTTAACCCAGTTGCCGCAGGTTGACCCCATGTGTGTCAAAATATGGGTAACCCAATATTTGGGCGCTTGCCCCCTTTGGCTTCCCAAACCACCCAAAAAACATACGTATACCCCACAACAAAAACACAAACTCAGTCAGAGGGATGTTTCACGAATCTCCTGGAAATGTCACCGAGTCCCGATGGCGTGGAGTCCAAAGCGCCGGTACTCGCAGTTCACCCCATCGCAGCCGTAGAGCGGCACGGTTTCCGGGCGCTCCTCAGGCCCCCCAAACCCCAGGGGCAGTGTGGGATGTGTTTCGTGTTGAGGATTTTTTGTTGGGTTGGTGTTTTAAAGGAGCGCCAAAAGGAAGATCGTGATGGTTAGCGTTTTATGTTTTGTTTTGTTGTACAAAATATTATCATGTTGTTGTTTTTTTGGGGGGTACCCTTTTTGGGGGTGGTTTTACATTTTAAAGAAGCACCAAAATGAAGACCACCATTTGGGGGGGTCCCCCAACAAGACTCACCTAGTTTGAGTCCGTCGCAACATCAAAAGAAAGCTGGACACTCCGTGATCTTCCGTTAAAACCAAAAGGGTAACTCAAAAACCTGCCTTTTGCGGGGCGGTGCAAAGGGAAAACCAAAGGGAAACACCAGAGATGCCATAGGGAAGCCAGTCGGAAACCAACACCCAGAGATGCCTGCAACTGTTCACACAAAAGCCGAATCACAAAAAAACGCAAACCTGAACTGCGCCATGCTTGCAGTAACTCCAGACATGAGAAAACACATGGGCCAAATACTAAACATGCGGGTATGACTTGCCGCAACGCCTCTTTTTAAGCGATCGCGATCCAACCACAAGACCCTTGTAAACTGTTCTTTATGGAAAAGTTTCTTTATGGAAAGGCTTCAATAATTATTAGATTTTAATATCAGATTGCTTAATGATTTGCCTTTCCATGTCTATTTCTATCTTGTGATCCACTATTTTAAAAACATAAAATGTAAATGTGATGTCCATGAGATAATAAAATGGCGAATTAATGGAGAACATTTTTTTATATAATCCACATTCCTATGCTTTCCATCTACCATATCTATCTTCTAAAAATCAAGTTCACAATAAACAATATATATATATATATATATTGTTTTTCTAACCAAAACATATAAAGATGGAAAGAGAGGGATAAAGAAGGAACATACATCATTAAAAATCTAGACTTATATTATGTCTATTTTATTACTTTGCTACACTATTGCATTCACTACTTAAAAAGTGTAATCATAAAGGCTTAGGAATACATCACAGTCCCTTCTTCCACCTGAAAAAGAGCCTTCAGCACCCTCCAACAAAGGAAATTGGACCCGCCAAAGAAACCAAAGGCATTCCCAGAATTTTGGGCTTCACTGCACCCCGCCAAGCCCCGAAGAACCCTCAAGCGTTGAGAGTGCCCAAATTCCACCATTTGCTTAAGTCCCCTGGAAAAAATGAAAAACACATTTCCAGCAGTGAAATCGATTCCCTTTAAAACCAACAGGGGAAAATCAACATGTTCTTAACCAAACGGACGAACTTCAAGCCACTCCAAACCAGGACCTAGCTCGCGGACTCCCGGCTCCGAACTCGAAAAGGCCCAGAAAGGAAGGCCGAAGAAGGTGCGAGCTAATCCAATTGGCTGTGGGTCAAAAATAGGGCAACCCCAAAATGGCGCAGGCCCTTTTTGCCTTTGCGAGAGCCTCGTCCGCCAAGCGGTCAGCTGGTCTTTGAAGGGGGCCGGAGGTCGCGGAATCTCATGCCCGAAAACGCAAACAACAAATCAAGGGGGAAGGAAAAACAGACGCGCATCAAACGCCGCCTCAATCGCAATGCATGGCAGTTGGCAAGTAGGGGTCCCACTGCACATACAAATTTTGGAGCCACTGCTGGGTGTGTGTGTCAACAGGTTGCACGGGGCCGGACCTAGCTCGAGCAACATCGAGAAACGCCTCAGCAAGACCACGGCATAGCGCCGGTGGGTATTCCTTCAGCTTTGAAACGGTGCTGTGTTCGACTCCAATGCTGCTGTTGCCAGGCCGGCGAGTTGTGTCTGCTAGAGCCCGGCGCAGGCCCTGGTAAATGGAAAGACTAAAACCTGCGGTCCAATTCCTGGTGGCTTAATTTTGACCCACACCCAAATTGAGCACGGCCCAAAACCCGTAAGCTTTGGGTGCTGCTCAATTTCTGGTGTGGTTTAGCCATCCGTAGACAGAAAAGTGAACAAATTTCTTTGGGAAGGGGTTCTGAGACGTGCAGCTGGAGGGTGGTGTCCTTCGTTCATAGCTTCAAGGGAGCATTTGAGACTGGCACTTTGATGAACACAGTACTATACTCCCTTCTAGAGTGGATTGGCTAGAAAAGTCCACTCTTTTGCTGGAACGTCCATGAACGCCCAACATATGACTAAGGTCCAGGAAATCAGGGAGTGAGTTTTTTCGGCATCCCTGCGAATTGCCTGGCCCGTTACCCCTCCAGCAACTGCTCGGCAGAAGAAGCGATGAGCTCTTGAGCGGCCACCCCATTGAAAGAACATCGTTTGAAGGTGGAGGGGTTGTGAAACTGGCTCAGCCCCTGTTGGTCTTTACTTTAAAACCACAAGGAAACCCACCCATTGTTGACCACCCCCCCCCCACATCTTGCAAGGAGCCTTGACCACCTGGATGTTCGTGATAGAGGATACTCTATTTCCCGATGGGAATCTGGGGAGAGTGTCATTCCCTTGGCTACAGATCCGACCCTTTCTCTCGTCTCGATACAAAAGGCAAGCTGGAGAAGGCGTGTCTGAGCACAGCTGGTTCTACCAGACAGGGGTTCAAGTGAGGGTCATTACCACGTTAGTAGAACCAACAGTCAGTATGGGAGCAAAGCAAAACCATCCCTCCCCTGGCGAGGCAATAGATTTGAGCTTCATGTCAGCCCGAAATGCGCACCACCCATCTCTCATGCCATCTGTCTTGTCCAAAAAGCTCAGCGACAAGGAACAGCCCCCAAAGAATTTCCTTCACCATCAGTGTAGGAAGGGCCTAATACAGAACATGACCCAGCAGATAGACCCGGCAGATAGACCCATGAACACGGCAGCCAACCCGGTACGCTTCTTTGGCCAAGCTTCCGATCCAAAGATCTCCTCGTCCGTCTCCGACGGAGTCAAATCCATCACCTCCGCTGTTGCCAGGTCCTCCGGTGGCAAGAACAGCTGTCACCGAACTTGTGGGACATAACACTTGGCTTTTTGGTGAAAGGTTGGGTCACCCCAAAATGGGTTGCCGTATGGTTTCCTTTATGACCTTGAAGGTGATTAGTTTTTGATACCAGTGGCGTTCAACCTTTTCCCGCCATTTTGCTCAGAAATCTGCCTGCTTGCGCAGGGTCGGGCCAAGCACTCGTGAAATGTTGAAGCAACGTTTGCTTCGGCAACCTCTTTTTGGCCACCAAGAGGCTCCCGATTGATTTAGGGCCTTCAAACAACCAGGTTTTGAGACTCCGAACTACCTTCAGGATATCTAATGGAGGGGCCGGGACTTCCATTGAACGCCGAAGCCAGGAGCCTCTAGGCAACGAAGACCAACAAAAACCAAGGAACGCACCAAGAAAGGAAAGGCAGCCACGCCTTTTTTATCCGCCCTTGATCATCTTTCAATGGCTCGCGCCTGAACACATGCCGGTGTCTGGTTGGCGACTTCGCTTCGGCATTTTGGGCCCAGGGGGGGAACTCCAAGTTCAAAGGCAACTACCCTTTCCCTCACCTTTTGCTCATGGTTGTATACCCCATGTTGCCAAAAGCACAAAGAAAGCGCCTAGCAACTTCTACCCTATCTTCCAGTTGGAAAAAAAAGGAATGAAATCGGTTCCCTCGAAAACCAACAAGGCAAGCAACAACAAAAACAAATACACGGAAACAAACATCGCATGTAAGCAAATTGTCAAAAATACACACACACACACACACACAAAAAAAACAAAAAAAACAGAAACAGAACCAAAAAACGATGTAAGTAAATGCCCCCCCAAAGAACAAAAAGAAAAGAGAGGAAGAAAACACAAACAACAAACATTTCTTTCAGCCCCAATGGAAGCTATGCAGCGAAGTGTCCCCACAGCGCTGCGTCAGTAGCCTCGCTTCCGCCTGCAGCTTCTGGGACTTCAGCTCCTCCACGTTCTTCCTGCGGGTTCCAAGGACATCGCTTGGCCGCCCAAGACGTGGTCACGGGGGCTAGGGGGGAGGGAGGGGGGGGGAGCCCAAGCAAGCCTCAAATAAGGCCTTATTCAAAACTTCTTGAGGGAAACATATTACCTATAGTGATAGATTCCCTTTAAAACTAACAGGGCAAAATAAAATATATTCTTAAGCAACTGGAAGGGTCAGCAATACCTTTCTTTCGGTCCAAGACCCGGAGAAAACGCCATGGGGAAAAACACAAACAAAACAGCAGCCAGCAATACAGCAATGCCTAGAGTCTTCATGACCCTCGAAAAATGGGGTCATTATCCTAAATAATGGGGTCATGGACTCCAGAAGACTCCAGACTTGGGTCCAAGACCCGGAGAAAACGCCGTGGAAGCTCGGTTTCAAGGCCATCAGCCCCCGCTTTTTCGACTGGAAGGAGGTGACACCCCAGTTTTTTTTCGCGCCCAGCCGATGGTTCTCCAGCGGAAAAAGCAGGAATGAGGGCTCAGGACCCCGGTGGACCACGGAGAGCAAAGCCACGTGCGCTTTTGGATTTTCAACTTTTAAGCCAAGGTGGAAAGGGTACCATCGCAGCACAAAGCATTGTTTTTGTTCATAGGAAAACCTCTCCATGCGCCAGAGCTTGTGGAAGTTGAGGTACATCATGTGGAAATGTATGTCACATGTCACGATACATATTCATTGTGCCCCCCCCCCCCCCCAAAAAAAAAAGGGAGCTTGACTCATCATCTCCAATGTCCAGTGGTCATTTGGTGAGTAACTCGGCACGGCAGCATTGACAGTTTATCGATGATCATGCATGTGTCAGTGCTCACACTCCTGTGAATGACCATTTTGTAGTCAGCCTGTCCGGATTCATCGCAGTGCTTGGGGGAAATGATCCGGCATCCCCTGAGCACTGCTAGGTCTTCCAGAGAGGCTAGAATAAGGGTGCCAACTTTTTGCGTGGTCTATTTTAGTAGGGGAACCCTTCCCCAAAAAAGGCTGAGAAAGGGCACCAATTGCTGGGGGACCTAGACTGTGATACTGAATCATCTGAAGTGGATGGAAAGTTGTCAGTCATAGGCTGGCCAGCCCGCCCAAGACGAATATCCCTCCCCCTGGGAGCGGTTCCAGGGGTTCCGGGCATGCACCAAGTGCCCCTGGGCAAAGCGATACCCCGGGAATTTCCCGATGGGACCTCTTTCCCAAAGCGCGCTCATTCTGTATGTGAGCTTCTGCATTTTGAAGGGCACACGAATCTCAGGGGTACATGGCTGGGGCCATAGATTATTGTTATACATCTGTTTAGTGTTGGTTTTGGGCTTCCAAATATCCGTTCGATGGTCGCGAGAGGTCCTCAACTGCATGAGCTTGATGCTCTGCTCTAGCTCCATCTCATCCTCATTGGAGCCTGTGTCCTGCACCGCTTCTACTCAAAAATACCCAAAACACTCCATATGCTATACCAACTGCCCATCTGGAGGGTAAACGTGGGAGTAAATATGCCATGGAGTGGTGGGAATGGGCAGGACTTGAGTGAGTTGGAGATGGCTGCCCCGGTGATGATTGGATCAGCTCTGCATTTTGGTTGGGATGTTCATTCCTGGCTCCGCCAAATCCCGTGGCCAAATGACCCATATGTGTGCAACCCATAAAAATGAGTGGTTTTCCAACCCGAAAAGGGGCACCCTCAGGACAAAACACACCCATATGAACCTCCCTTGCAATTTCCTTTATGGGAATCCCCAGGTTCCTTCCACTCAGAGCCAGCAAAAGAAGGCCACGCTGGTAAAACCAAGCGGCCGTCCAGCCCCCGTTTGGGCGCAATATGAAGGACGCGGTGGACATGCCTTAGCATGCGGTACAGCTCTTCGATTCCGTCTCAAGTTTCTTATTGAACCGTATGATTTCCTTGCGGCCTTCCTTTCACCAACCAAAAAGAAGTCAACATAGGTGTGTTGCTTCCGCAAAAAAGGGCTGTCAACAAAGCAGATTCAATCGCTCGTCTTAGTTGGACAGCCGGTTTTGAGCGTCCTCTTGGGAAATAAATGGATTCCACCGGTCACATGATTAGAACCAAGCTGAAATCAGTGGTCTGTCGTTCTACCAAACTCACCGAAAGAGGATAGCCATTGTCCCCTACGCGTCAACACCCCCTCCACCCTCTGTCTATGTGAACGTGTCAAATATGTAGGTCAACAGATTGTGCTTTGGTTTGGCTTCCCTTTGAATCAGGGTGAATCAGGGCCCCCTCAAAATCCCTCAAACAAACAACACACACAACCCATTCATTTGGGTGTTCTCAAAATTGGGGACCAACTCCTACAGGTGGTGTCCATGTTTGGTTTCCCATCCAATAATTGGGGTCTGTGTCCTATTTTTGAGAAACCTCCCCATTTGAGCCGTGAACAAGCAGCTTGTTTTCTCAAGAGGACCTGCAAACAATGATCGGATCAGTGCCGTTCGCCCCTCGGGTGCTGAACCTCAAATCGACCCCGCGGTGTTGGGCAAGAAAAACATAACATATTTCAGAGGGGCAAATCATGTGGACACCAAAAAATCCGGGTTCTTCGGATTCTCTTGGTCGAGTGTGGGATTTGGAGAACAAAAATGGGTAGGTCCTGTTCCCTTTGAAACCAAGCTGGACAGAATAGGTTCGCCATTTGAGGCCACAAAAAATGGACCAAATTAGGGAAACAATTGGCAAATTGGGAGGCTAAAAGGTCGATTCGCTCTGGGCAATTGAGGTGAAAAGTGGTGAAGCTCCTACAAAAAAAGCAAACAAACTGGTGGGTTCCTTTCTCCCCAATATAAGACTTGGATCCCCAAAGAGCGGGATCATTTTTCGAGGTGTACCTTTCCCATGCTAAACCCAGGGATCCGAGTCTTTTCAGGAAACCACCCAAAAACCCCGGGGAAACAGATCCGGTTTGTGAAAAGAACGATGCTTGAAAAGAATGGAACAGGAAAATCAACCCCTAGAAGTATTTGGGACCCATCAGCCTTCCACTCCGCCCCCCCCCCAAAACACAAACAGCAAGTGATCCTGATCTTCTTCTTTTTAAGAAACAAAGTCGCCTTCGTTCGAATCAACCCCTAGAATTTACCCCTTCCAACCGGTGAGAGACGGTGCGGTTGCTCTCTCTCGGCCGCGCGGCGCTCCGCGGCGACCGGCAGCTTCGGCTCCACCGAGTCTCTGAGCACCTGCCGCACGGGCGAGCGGAACTCCGAAGTCACAAAGGGCCAACTTACCAGCATTCGAACGAAGGCGAGCTTTTATCTTCTTTCTTTTCTTTAAAGGAGGATTTCAGATATTATATATATATACATATATTTGGGGGGGGAGGCTGATGGGTCCCCAACAGGGCGCAAAGGGGCGATCGGGTACTTAGCAAGCGGTTCGTAAGCTAGGATATATACCCCATTGCACGGAGACTTATAACCATAGGTAAGTGGTTGTAACCTGGCTTACGAACCCACCAAGTACCCGATCGCCCCTGCAAGTACCCCGAAATAGACTCAGATGCTCTGTGGAAATCGATGGGAATAACAGAATCGGCATCCGACTTGTTGGGTTGGTTGAGTTTAAAGGGGAACCCTTCCCCGAAAAGAATGGAAAAAGGGGGCGCCATTGGGCAACAGAGTAGACACCATTTTCCAAAAGGTCAAAAGATTCACGCCAAATTAACATAGCTCCCACTACCCCAAGCCACTACGGGTTTGAAAGGGATATGCAACCACTATTTCGCCAAATATCGCCAGTAACAACAGTGCACACTGGTCCGAACCTCTTCATTGGACCCCCTGGCCCGTTTTACTATGTGGTCTCCTCGTCGCAAAATCCAACGGTTGTGAGGCCTAAAGCTATTTGACGCTTCCCTGTGCACGCCGCCCTTCTTCCAAGCTCCCCTAACCCTGCAACCTCTGCACCCCGCTCTTCTAGCCTTTGGTTTCATGGGGTCGCTCCAAACGACGCACCACCCAAGGGGGTGCCTCAGCCCACTCTGCCGTGAGACAGGGTAACCCAACAGCCAGCAACAGGGACAAAGCAGGTGGATATCTTTCAAACGCAAGACAAGAATCACAAACAAAACACACTGGGGAAGCGCAAGCTCGTAAGTGGCTTGAGGGAACGTTCAAAAAACATTCATCCAACAAACACACAAACACGCCAAACAAAGAAAAGACGCTCATACCCAAAAGAAAACATCCCCCGCTGCGACGCCGGAGGTCGAAAATCCCCGAATCCCGGCCTTCTCGGCCTGCAGGATTTGGTCCTGGAGCTCGGTGATGTCTCCTGCCAGCTCCGCCTTGGCCTCGGTGCCTTCGGTCGCTTGGGGTGGGGCTGAGGGACAAGCGGCCGAACCAGATACCTCGAGTTGCGGCCGAACGTCCCTGTAAAAAAATGGACACACAGATCTGGAAAAAAGAAACATAATATATCTGGCCTCATGTTGTTTTACCATGATCAAAGTCACCCCCTAAGTGGTGGGTTGAAGGCAAACAACCACGTTTTCTGACTTTGATGACCCCCAGAAACAGTCACGATGACCCCTGCATATGTTCAGTAGTGAAATCGATCCCCTTCAACATCAACAGGGGATTGTTGATTTAAAAAATCAGCAAACGGAAGGGTATGGCTCTCAGCTACCCAGTTTGGACCCAGAAAGAACAGGCGCCGCGACTAGACATGCAGCTACAAGGGAAAAAAACTAAACGGGTCAAACGGTCGATGCGCTTTGGGCTTTGGTGTGGGTAAGATCGAATTGCCGACGGGTTCCATGCCGCATGGCTCCGACCAACCGGACCGAGAGGCCTCGCCATCTCCCGCCGCACTTGCGGCAAAACAGGGCATCCTCCATGAGGATGTTGCCGCAATTGCACACACGGACCTCACCGAAAGGCCGAGAAAATTTTCTGCTCCCCTTCCACATCCTGGGGCTACGTTTCTACTTCTCTGCGACTATGACTTGTGACCCGACAAGCTAACATCGAAAATTGACACGCTAAAGAGGAGTCACGGCTCACTTAGACCCTGAAAATTGAGTTACTACGGCTCACTTGTCTCACTTGAACACATGAGGTGGTTTAGCTCCGCTGACGTCCTGAAAAATGGGGCATTGTGAATCAACATCGAAGAGCTCCTTTGGACCTTGTCAAGAGTCTCAGAGGTCTCAGCGGGTCCGCTGAGAAAAATTGGAAATGCCGAAGCCTCAAACTAAATCCTCCAGATTTGAGAGGCTAAAATCAGGGTACCAACTTTTTGCTGTAGTCTATTTTAGTAGGGAACCCTCCCCCAAAAAAGGGGTAAAAGGGCACTACTGGGGGACCTAGGAAAGCAAACACATAAACAACCCGCAAAAAACAACACTTCAGCAATGGCAAGCCTCCGTTCATTCGGCCAGCGCCAACTGCAACCCCCCCGTTGGAAAAATGGATAACTCTTTCAACTGACTACCAACCTGGAACGAGTGGAATACACAAACATGTCCGAGCAAACTGAACGTTAAAAGCATCTATGATTAAACCTTTCGCTGTATGGGCCCAAATCGAGTTGGCTGAGTCAAAACAACTTTCAGCCCCCCCCCCCCCGCCCCTCCAGGCCTGCGTGAGCAGTGCCCGCTTCGGCGATTCAGCGCAGTCCAAAGCCTGAAAGAATCGCCAAAAACTGGGAAGCAATGGCTTTTCGTGTCCACCGGGTCTCAACTAACCTGCTTCTTCAATCATGTCCCAAATCTCATGCGCAAAAAGCAGTGGTTGGGGTGCCGCTTCAGATCAGAAAGACAGCAGTGACTGCCCCTTTCGAATTGGTCAGAATCAAATTGGCCCTCTAAGCAAGGCCTTTTCAAGGGGAGGCACCTCGCTTTTGAACGTGTGGCTCGTTTTTGGACGCGGGGAAAGTTGAACCTAGCCAACCCTCAACACACAATAATCCAGCACAAAAACGACCATAAACCCACCTGAGTCCAGTCCATGTGTCCGAAAGCGAGCCGGTGGATGTGTAACAGCAGAAATCTGCAAACAAACCAACGCAAACACCAGAACCAAAAGGCCAAAAACGAGAAAACCTGACAAAACCCCCAAATACCTAAGCTTCCTTCCATTCTACCCCCCCCCAAGTCACCAAGTCCCGGCCCCGCCTGCGCCGCGCGCATCTTCGGGGACGTCAACAAGGCGCAGTCCAAGGCTTCAGCCTGGCGCAGCAGCGGCAAGGCGGCCTCCTGGCGACAATATGCTGTTTTTTGATTTTTGATTCTTCTCCGGGTGATTTGTTGACCCCAAGTGAATCAACCTGGCGATGTTCTGGTTTGTGTTGACCATTGTTGACCCATATGAGTCGACCAACCAATTTGTTTGCAGGATGGCCCTAATTAATGTTGACCGTATGAATAAACCACTGTGAATTCAGAGGTGTCCGATTCTGAGTGAAATGTGGGGACTCAGACCGCTTTTGGAGGGGAACACCCCCTATGCATATAGCTGAGTTCTGCAAAACTTGCTGTGGAGTGTCCGAACCATCGATCCAGGAGCCGCCCTCTGTGTTCAGATGCATGTCTAAGGCGTGTTGCCACGATTTAGCCAGGTTGGAGGAGTCAATTGAGAAATCAGAAAACTATTGGTATTGAACAAGTCCAAGACATGCAAGGATTAACAGGCCAGGAAGCCACAGCAGCTTTCTAATCCTGTTGACTTTTGGTTCCACCAAGTTCATCATGAAGATGTACGTAGGTCTTACGACAATCTGTATCCAGGCCAGAACTCAGGTATCCGTGCCGCGTCCAGCGTGGTGTGGTCCCGGAAACAGAATTTCCAAAGAAAAGGGCAACGCAGTTGCTGAGAATTTCAGTCATTTGGAGGATGGGGTACTCACTAAATTTCTCAGACACAAAAACAGCGGACAAAAACGGATTTCTTCATATCCGCCTATTTTAGCCGATTCGGTGAGTCGCCAGACTGTATTTCCCTGCTCAAAGCCATAAGCGTCCTTTGTGGAAAACAGATAGCCCTGGCATCTCTACTGACACCAATCTAAACCGCTGGAACCCATCTATTTTCAACCAAACTCACCCACACCTATAGTTCAAAGTCCACTTCCAGCCGTCCCTTTGGACTCGCTCTCCTAAAAAGGCCGACCTGCGGATGGACGGCATCCTGCACCACTTTAAAACCATGGTTGAAACCACTGCTTGTTGGGAATCAGCATTCTATGGTTTCTACCAGGCCCATCTAGTTCCCCTAAAAGGACACCTCTGTCAACAACCCTTGGAGGGTTGCAAAGTTCGGGGTTTCCCTTTGGCTCCCTTCAACTTTCTACCTCAACTCAAGGTGGGTTTGTGGTCAAGCTCCGGAAATGAGCAGTTCCGGAGCTTCGAGCAGTTCGACTGGATTTCGTCCGTAGGCTTTTGCCGTCCAAGGCTTTAGCGACGGCTCGCCTCCTCTCGGCTCGAGCCGAGCCCCGGGTCGCCTGGTCCTGCTGCATGGGCAGGGTGGTGAGCTGAATCGCATGCTCCCGGAGCAAGCCTTCCAACTGGTCGCACCGCGCCCTGAGATGCTCCTCAGCGCGAGAAGCAGATGGTTTTGACTCTTTATTGGCTAGTTTCAAGGGGAAGCAGAAGGAGTTCAATCCATTTTTGTTGGCTGGTTTGAAGAGACACCCATTTAGGAAGCAACCCATTTTGGGGGTCTCCAATTGTTTTGCTGGTGCGATAGGTAGGGAATGACCCAGGGTGTCGGGAATGAACCGTTTGGGGATTCGCGCAAAAAGGAAACCATGGGGCGGATGGATGGTGAATAGGGGTCATTCCAATTCGCATTCCTTGCTGCGAACCAGCAAGGCAAAGAAACTTTAGTATGACAACCCCAAGCAAGGGTTACACCGTGAAAGCGGATGGCGCAACTCCCTTTGTGGCGAGGTCAAATTTTATGACTAAATCACAAAAACGGATCTTGTTAGTCAGGTGCAAAGCTATACCTTGTCGCACCACCTTCAGACAGGAACTACCGCATGCAACCAATACCCACCCTGCTGTCAAGCCCTGACATGGCATCAATTACCCCCAACAGCAGCTTGTTTCCATGTCCAACACCCCAAGTGCTTGGGTGCAAAGCCTCTTCCCTTTGAGCCCCAGCAAGGGTATCCTAACAGCAGGTGAATCCAAAAAACAGCAAAGAGTGAAAAGCTCGATTCTCATGAGTCTGTCTTCCCAGCTTAAACCCCTTCCCCCGGAACCTTCATCCAGGCGGCGTTCTCTTTCTTGGCTGCCTCCAAGGCCGCATCTGGCAGCTCCATCGCCTTCTGGCTCTCCTTCCCGGCCTGCATGATGAAACGACGCGACTGGACCAGACCTGGACCTCATGTTTGTTTTCTGATATTTCCTCTTTTTAGCTTTCATTTTCTGTCCCTCGAGTTTTCAATTGTTTCAAAAACAAATGACGTTTGAGGGGGAAGCAAAAGCTCGTGAGCGATTTCTGCGGATCAATGTGTACAGTCGGCTTTGGGCTCCGTTGACGGCTGCCATCAATGGTGGCTTGCTTTGTGATGTGGCAATCAGATTGTGCTCTGCACGCAATGACGATCCCTTGTCAATAAACCCATTGCGATTCAATCAGGGGGTCTGCATGGTTGCTTTTTTGAGGTCACCTCCTTGGGGGGTGGTTTTACCGGACGCCAAACGGGTCAAAACTATGTGTTTGTCTTTTGTTTTGGGGCAGCCCACCATGGGAAGAATGGCGGGCTTCATGCCAGTACCGGCAACATGACCGAACACGTGGCCGTATTTCTTGGCAAATCCAACCCCGCCCACCTCGGGGCATCCATCCCGCCTCCGCCTCGGATTCGTCTGTGTCGTCCAGCTGGTCCTGTGGGGTTCTTGGCTGGTCACCGCACGCTTTGGGGAGGTTTCCATGTGACGGCTTGAGCGGTTCCGGTGTGTCCCGGTGGTGCTTGTGGCGATTTGAACCACGCCAACTTTGCTTTTGCGGCCAGGGCTTCCGGTGTCGAGATAATACCGACCACTTCTCAGCTGGTCAAAACATGGCCACTCCGAGCATCTCCCCCCACTCCCTTATTGGGAAACCACTAAGAGGACTCCTTTCGTACCCCAACCATCACCTAAGGGTTGCCTTCGAACTTCGAACAGCCCAGCTTCCACCAATCCAAACTTACCCAAACCACCACTTGGGGTTGCCTGAAGCTTGCTACACTAGGTCCTCCAGCAGAGAGGTTCGAATATTCAGGTACCCTTTTTGCTGCAGTCTATTTTAGTAGGGGCTTGCCCTCCCCCCCAAAAATCATGTATTAAAAGGGCGCTTAGCTGGGGGAAAAAACCGGTCGCGCCTCCGTGCCTTCGCGCTGGACCTGAGACGCCCGCTGCATGTCCTGCTGGAGGGCGGCGTACGCGTCGTCGCTGAACTCCTGATTGATGGCTCTCGGCCCTGCGGTGGATGGACGACATCCACTTCGCACCACTTTGAAACCATGGGGAACCCTTGTGTGTTGCTATTTACAGGGGAGTCATCATAGGGTTTCTTAGGTGGTGCGAAATGGATCTCGTCCATCCACAGTAGCATGCCACAAAAACATGGCAAGGGAACAAAGGGGGTGGTGGCAGGATGCCGGGCCAGTGGGGGGGCCCATGGAGCTGGACGCTGGAGGCTGCTACAGTGGCCAAGTCCCCCACAAGGAGAACACCTGCAAGTTCCCGCTGGTAGTTGATTTTAGTTGCGAAATTAAGGACCTCCACCGTAACCAACTCAATGGGCACCCTTTTGTTTCAAGCGACACTCAAGGGATCCACAGCTCTTCAGGTTGATTTGTGAGTCCAACCATTCCCAAGCGTTTCAGTGACGCAAAATGTGGCCCAGCGTAGAGGTCCTTCCAACACGACCCGATTTTTTTTCCGACGGAGGTTTGAACGAGTCCGCGTCTCCATGGGTTGAATCTCTCGAGAGATCCGGCGCTGAACGCTCTTCTGCAGGGACCCGTACCTCGCGAAGAAACGCGGCCCACAAGTCTTACCCTCCCCCAGACTAACATGGAAGCTCCCAGGACCCCTTTGGAAGACTTGGTTCCATGTACAGAGGCATCCTTGCAGCTTCAATGTTAGTCTGAGGGAGTGTATGAGCATTTCTCGGCCTCTTTTCGATGGCGCGTCTGCCAAAACAGGATCGGAATCGGCCAACGTGGGTTTCGCTTGTGGAGGAGCAATATATCAAGCCATGGTGGATGGTGGGGGCTTGAACGAGCTGAGGGAATGGTTTGGATGGCGCTTCGTTAATCGAAGGTGTTCTCGCCAACGGAAACATTGACATGGTCCAAGGCGTCCTTAGTGTCAGCTTGCTTGCTTTGCTTGCTTTGCTTGCTTACTTGCTTATGTGAAGCACTTAGTGGGTCCCAGCTCCCGCAAGTGCAGGGCAACAATTGTGCTTTTCATGCTCAAAGGTTCCCTTGGTTAACCAAATGGAACTGGATATCACACAGACCCTTCCTTTCTGTAAGGGGGATCCTATGATTCTTTGTCACCCACTTCCTCCCGGACGACCTGAGCTTTCGCCCCCAACAACAAATGTGATGTTTAGATGTTGGTCCATACCTAGCAAACCTCAAATTGCACAATGAATTCAGAACGAACAAACAAACAAACAAACAAACAAACAAGAAACAAACAAACAAACAAACAAACAAACAAACAAACAAACACACAAACAAACAAACAAGGAAGCAACACATACTGACAAACACAACTAACCAAACAAACAAGCCAAACAACACGACAAACAAGCCACACACCGCTCAATCCAAAGATGTCTCCCCATCCCCCTCCCCCAAATCCTCTGGGCCTAATTTTTCTTCCGAATTCGCCTGGTCTGCTGCTCTTGGACCAAGTCCTTGAGCTCGTCCCTTTCTTTGGCCAGAAGCCGCAGCACCGACTTCTGCTCCTCCTCCACACCTGAGTCGCTCGCCCAAAACCAACTCGGCTCCCTCCGAGGCTAAGGGCAGAGTCGCCAAAACAAACGCGGGTGGATCAAAAGGTCCGTGACACATGGGAAGTGATTGGGAAACCAACAAAAACATGATTCTAGGTCCTCCAAATTTGAGAGGATAGAATAAGGGTACCAACTTTTTCTGTAGTCAATTTTGGTAGGGGAACCAGCTCAAGGACCTAGGATTTGATATATCCCACCTGGGCACAGTTACCCATGGTCGCCTGACGGGGCCAGAATAGTGATCAACCCCTAGATGCCCTGTCAGACCCGAAACCGGCCCAGGTGGACATTTTAAAAGGGAGGCTACGCTCTTGAAAGGGGGGGAAATAGTCCTTTCGGTGTTTGAAGGGTGGTTTTGTTGGTTGCCCTACCAGATACTCCGTCCGCTAACATGGAACAAAAGGGTCCTTTTCAAGGAGAATTGGGAGGGTAATTAAATGGAATGACTGAGGGGTGGCGAGAAAATCAACACAATCGACAACAAACACACCCAACAATGAAAAAACCAACGAAATGCAAAAACATATATTGACAAACCCCAGCATGGACAAACCAACGAACACCCACGAAAACTCATGGGTTTCTTAGAGCAATTTGTCCCGCCGTCTCAAACAATTCCATCCGTTTGCTATCAACTGGGCTGCCCTCAGATCCCCCGCTAAAAGTGACTAACTTTTAGTGGGTTAAATGGAAACTACAACTACACACGAAAAAAGCTAAAAGGCTAAGGAACCGGATGGCTAGGAGCCACCAAGTCAGCTCCGCTTTGTTTGAGCCAGCTGATGGCCAGCTTTCTGCTCGGCGCTCATTCGCCCATGATCAGAGGTCGAGGATTCGCTGGTTCAATTGAACTCGGTGGGTCCACTCATCCCCTACACGCCCTCAGACAAACATGGAAGCTCCCAAAGCCTCTGTAAATTCAACCAAGTCTTCGAAAAAGGTCCTGGGAGCTTCCATGTTAGTGTGGGGGAGGTTCAGGTTTCCAGGTTTTTTCAAGTTGGCTTAGTGGGTGGGTGTCCATTTAGCCCACAAGTTAGTCACTTTTAGCAGGGGGGCAGAAAACGGACAGCCCAGGTGCGACGTCTTTTTGGCCAGGACCACACACCTCAGGCGCCGGCTGCAAAGGCGGGTGACCTCGCTCTGTAGGATGACACCCTCCGCCATCTCCTCAAACCAACGAGAGGTGTGCGGCGAGCGTTGCAAGCATAGGTGTCCTTCTAGGTGAAATAGATGGCCCTGGTAGAGGTAAACCAGGGCCATCTATTTTTCTAGCAAAACAACCAAAAAGGACACCTATGGTTGCAAGTTTTCAGGTTGGTTTAATCCGCTTCCCTTGGATCGGTTTGGAGGCCGGTGGTTTGGAGTTTGGTGGTTTGTTGGTGTTCTCCCCAATGTCCAAACCGAGCTCTGAACCACGCGGGAAGGTGGCTCAAAGGTCATCATACCAAAAATATACGGGATTGTTGGTTTCATCAGTGTCCTCTTTCATCCAATAGAAATTGGTCTGTGTTGTGTATGGTTTTGATTTGTGTGTTTTGTGTACAATTGGTGTTTTGTTTGTTGTGTATTGGTCCGATATCCCTCATGGTTCTAGGTCTGCATCAAGGGATGCCCGTGGTCATGCGAACACGACTACACCACCCCATAGGAGTTTTGCTTCTTCACAGCTACATCAGCACTGGGCGCCAAGCCACTCAGAAAGAAGCTGGTTTGAAGGGACGCCAAACAAGAACGCACATCCGTAGGCCATAGACTGTCTGTGAACGCTACAAGTTTGGACCGAAAGTGAGAATTAGTGCCATGAAGGTCCTTCCGGTTGAGGTAGAACCTTTCCCGAAAGGAAGGACAGCCCCAAGTTGCGAAACCTGAGTTGGAAGCACCTAACTTTCAGTTCCGACAGCGAATCACAAAAGAGAAAAACACTCAAAATCAGATAGGACCCCCCCTCCAATCCAAAAGCCTCCATAAACCCTAATTAACAACCTGCAACGCACCTCGCTTCCCCTTAACCCCTGGAACCTCACCCAAAAACCCACTCCCCAATCCCCAGCCACCCTGCATCTCCAAGCCACGCCAATGCAAATACAAGGTGATATCGTCATTTGGGGGCCACCTTTTTCACCCGAAAATGGAAACCCAAAACCGCAAACCACCCGCATCCGACACCTAAAGTTGATGCCGAAAAAAATGCCTCCCCCCCAAAAAAAAAGTTTGCAAAAAATCCAGCTCTTCGGTGTCAACAATCCCCCCCACCGCCCCAAAGCGTCCCAAAGCGTCCCCCCCGTCCCCCTCGGGTCCCGCCCCCGCGCCTGCTCTATCTGCTTCGCCAGCTCCGCGCGCTCGCACTCGGAGCTTCGGAGCTCCTCCCGGAGCCGCTGCTCCTCCTGGCCGCGCGCGAGCGCCGGGCGCCGGGCGCTTGCAGGAGCTGGCTGCGTTGTGCGCGGAAGATCTAGACGTAAGGCGTGGAACACGTGTACATATTGTACCAGAATATAACTACACATATATATATATATATACACATGTAACATACGTGATGTGTTATATATATATATATACATAGGATATATATATATATATATATGCGAATTCAGTAGTACCTATGCGAAATCAGTCGGACATTCTGTGAAGGTGTTTTTGGGGTGGAATTTGCATGTCTAAAGGGATAGCAACAGTGGAAGCAAACCAATGCTAGAGAAGCCAAACCCCTCTCTTCGTCTGCGGGGAATCCGGGACACATCTTTTCCGGATCCGACACCTTTCGCAACTAACCCCCAAGAATGTAAGGGCTTAAGCTCTATATGGTGTGGAACATTGCGGAAACCCATAACCTCTCCTTTTCTATGGGTTGGATGATGTTAGATGTGAAGCGCTCTGGGAAAGAAAACTCCGCTTCAAAATCTTGAAGGGGGACCCCCGTACCGCATGTGCTCCGAAAAGAACACAGCGCATGATGGGAAGAAACTCCCGGGAAGTTCCCCAAGGCTTCTGGAGCCTTGCTGCAGAGTGTTCACCTTGAAGGATTTTCTTTGGTAGGAATCTGGGCTTGCGGCGTTTAAACCATGGGATCTCTTGGAGCCTACCAGCGGATCTGAGTTACAAATATAGCAGACAACCAGTTATTTTCCTGGGAAGGGCCCCATGAATTCTCTTGGAGCCGAAAAAACACGCTCAGAGGATCCCAGCAATACCAGACTAGTAGGCAGCCACTTCTTTTCCGTGGAAAGCCCTTGGAGACCTATACAGATACTGTGACGCGATCCATTTCGCGCCACCTGAGCAACCCTGGCATGATTGGAGTGCCCCGTACATACCAACAAAAAATGGCTTCAATCATGGCTTCCAAGTGATGCGAAGTGGAGTTGGCAACCGTCCACAGTATTTTGGATTGAAGGGCAGGGCTGGTGCAAAATCGGATGGGCAACTCGGCAAAAGTCGGCGTGCGCCCGGCAGGCAGACCTGCTGCAACCTGTAGTAGTCGTGGCGCACATTCGAAAGCTGCTCCTGGGCGGGACTCCATGCCAGGAGTAGACCAGGGCTTGCCTTGGCTGGCCTTTTGGAAAACAAAATCCACGGGCTTCCCTGGGCCTTTTTTGACATAGGTCTTGGCTTTGAAGTTCGGGACTCCCAGATTTGAGGTTTTGAGGTTGGGCCAAATCCTGTTTTGGCTCCACAACCCTTGAGGTCGGCCCCAAACCCTTCTCCGGAGTTGGCACATGGAGTTTATGAACCCCATCTAAGCCAGAAAACCTTGCCCATCTATGTTTTAACCAAACTCACCGAGCGAAAGGGCACCTATGTGTTCCTGGCATTTCCGCTCGCTTTAGATTGGCCCAACAAACGGTTTACAGACGTCGAGTTGGTTCAGCTACCCTGAGTACAGCTCCCGATGAGTTTTGAGCCCTCGAGATGGGTTGTGCTCAAGGGCCGAGGGGTCCGGGTTCTTCATTGGAGGGCCCGAGGGCCTGCATTGGAGGGGCCATGAGCCTTAGGGTAGGTCGCAAAACATTACAGTAGGGTCCATAAAAGCTGATTTCGAGGCCGACTGGCAGGGTAGAAAACCTTGGCCGCTAAAAGGGAACCGAATCACCGAATTGTCATTCTTCCAGCACCGCGGACAGCTTGCTTGGAGTCTTGGACACAACAGAAGTAGGGTGCTGGTTGCTCTCCAGCTCCAACATTAAAGTCCTGTTGAGGTTTCAACATCTTTCAGCACCCTGTTCTTACACAACCTCCGGTTGGTTTCCCGAAAGGGACTCGAGTCCAAATGCTCCCTTTCAGTGAAAATCATTTTCCCAGATTCAACCTTTCGGGTGGTATTCACAGGGGAACCAGGAGAAGCCGTTCCCATACTAGGAAATGACCCCCTAGAGCTATTTTGAGAAAGACTCAAATAGCTTTGGTCTCCTTCAAACCTACTTCTTTGGGATTGACTGCATATGGCACGGAATCTGTTTTCCTTTTCCCGTACCCAGGATTTGGGAAAAGATGTCGATCAATGATGAGCGGGAGTTCCATTCGGGTGGGGCAACCTTTGTGTCAAGATGGAGTTCTGACTTTGCTTCATCTTTTTGATGGTACCCTTTGTTGGGGTGGGTCTCACGGGGCACAAAAGGACAACCACCCATTTTGGGGCTACCTGAGACAAACCCATTTCGTCTACTTTTAACAAGGATTGGAAGCGTCTGCCCTTCCAAACATAGGCGTCCTCTTGGGAGAGTAGATGGGTTTCCCTGGTCAAATGAGTTCAAAGCCAAATGAGCAGCTTGCCCATCTATTTCTTCGGCCAAACCAACCGATAAGGACACCTCTTCCAAACGCCAAACGTCTACCCTAAAAGTCTACCCGTCTTGGGTTCCAGAAAAACAGGGTTCCATTTTGTGGATACTCATGCCTTTTAATCTTCACTTCAATTCATGCTTCTCGGCACCAAGCTGAGAGCCAAGAACGGACGATTTTTTTGGGATACCAATTTTTCACCCACCGCCAACAAAAGGTGAGAATGAGACGCTTCAGCACATGACTCCATGTTTCACCCGCCAAAAAAAAAGGTCAGAAGGAGACGGGCCCCGGCCCCGACGGCCCCAACGCAACGCTGACTGGCCCGCCTGTGCCACCGCCAGCAGCTTCTCCAGCTGCTCCGCGAGGTCCAGCTCGTTCTTGGGCTTGTCTCGGATCGCTTCCGCTTCCGTCCGCGGGGAACCCCGCGCGTTTTGGGCGCGCGTCGAGGCGTTGGGCTTTGGGCGCGAGCGGATTGGGGCGGGGCAGGGTGTTTTTTTTGTTAATCGCCGAGGAGACAAGAACACTTGGCAAGAGTGGGGTATGAGGGAGTCAGTTCTTTGTTTTTGCTCTTCTTGTTTCTGGTGAATTTTGAGTTGGTACTCCATGTTTAAGGCTGTTTGTAAGAGAAACCAAAAGGAAAAAGCAAACATCCATGTTTGAGGATCCACTTTGGACACACACACACACATGCTTGCTTGGCGTGTGGTTGGTGGGCACTTGGTGGTCGCCCGGTTTGACTTGTGGCTGAGTGTTGGCTTGTGGATAGTTTCTTGGGCGAGGGCCAGGCTGCGCGCGAAATGAGTTACCATGTTTGAAGCCACAACGTCTGTTCGGTATTTACAAGGGAGTCATCACTCGGCTGGTTTCTGCCCCCCTGCTAAAAGTTTAACTTTTAGTGGATTAATGGAAAACCTATTAGTTGGCAAAAAGTTAGTCCTAACATCCAAGCAAAATGCACCAAAGATCATTCTAGGGTGTCTCATTAGGTGCAGTATGTTCGTCCATCCGCAGTATGGATGCTATGCCGCCACCATAAGCTTGCACAGCAGCATATACCCCTTTTACAAGTGGAATTACCCCCATACCTGCAAACCTCATACCCGAAAAAGACCTGAATATGATTCCATACCTTCCCCAGTCCTTGCTTCTTTGATCTTCTTTGTTCCTCCGATTTTTCAAGCAAATGGCCATGCAAAACGATCTGGACACTTGTGGCTTGCTTCGTTCAGGACTCCTTTCGGAGTACGTAGATCGTCTCCCGAATAAGGCGGGGGGGTCTTTAAAATTGCCACCTTTTGTGAGAAAATTGGCGACCCCCTCAAAAAGGAATCCTTCACTACAAGGGGGTCGATCATTTTTCCACCAAAGGTGGCAAAAAGACCCCCTGAAATCAGGTTCCTTTTGCACGCCGATCTGAGTACTATAAGCTTTTGGCTTGTGTTTCGACACCTTCCCACATGGACTCGTGTCGCACGGGTCATTTGACCCAAGGACAAAACGACTCTTTCTCCAAGATTGGCGAAATTGGGTGGCTGTTCTGGGTTCTTCCTCAAACTAACATAAAACTAACCAGGGGAACCCAAACCTCTTGTCTTTCCACATCAAGTCCCCCCGTTTTTGCCAAGAAATTCAGCGAGTCCCCCATGTTCCTCCCCAATGGACGACCCAACACGCCAGTTCCGAAGCTGCCGAGCCACGTCGGCTGATTTGCATCTCCATAGAGCGATGCGCCTAGGTTTCTAGAGGTTGATTTATTTTCCACCCATCGTTCTTTCCAACAGCCGGATCCGTTTTCCCTGGGTTTTCGGAGGTTTTTTGGAAAGAAGGATCCTTGGAAAGAGTGGAAATGGAAGGTACCCCTAGAAGGTTCCAATGACACGAGCGATCAACTGTTCGATGTCGGGAGGTTCCCATTGATGGCCATGAATTATCACTTGGTTGCTGCTACGACCCCCCTGCACAAAGTTGGACTGCTTAGGGGTTTAGTGGAAAACCCAACTCGATTTCAACCAAAAAGCTAAAGTCTAAAGATCCGTTGCCCAATAGCAGTCAGAATAATAGGGACCCACCGTGGACATGAGTCCCCCAAATCATGTCCACCATTTCGGGTCCGGGACCCATCAAAATTCACCCGCTGATTGCTTCAAATCCAACAGGCTTATAAAGCCCCTCATTTTGGTTAGGCATCTGCACTCACGAAGTACCAGGACCCCACGTCAAATTCTTTGTGGTGTGGCCTCCGTTGGGATATGTTGGCTCCACGTCACCCCAGTCAGCTGTCTTCTTCTAGAAGTTCTCCTTTAGTTAGTCCCAATGAATTGAATGCACGCGTTTGTGGCAATAAACCACCCTTCGATTTCTGCTGTTTTGGGATGGCGATCTTGTTTGTCTGAAAAGAAACAACGGAACGGATCTTAGCACCCAGGTGCACAAGGGCTTTTTTCGTCTTGGAGGACATACAGGGGTCGCTTTGCCCCGACAAAAATGTTCCTCTCGTTGTCCTTTTGATCTTGGGCCAGGTCAGGTCACCCCCACCCATGTTTGAGAAAAGAATACGTTGGCTGCCATGTATCCTTGCCACTGCCGGCCCTCTCCATGTTTCCAGATGCGCACCCGACCTGGAAAGGTTACTCTGGGACCCTGACTAACAGGAACCAGAGAAAAAGCTAGGTTCAAAAGGCCGATTCGTTTTGATCAACTGTAACAACTGACTCTCAGCGCTTTACACCAAACATAACATGCTCAGAATTCTTCGTATTCAGTCTACCCCAAATTGCTCCTGATGGATATGGTTTATCCAAAATAACTTGTTTTGAGACCCTGAAGGCAAGTGATGTGGTGTGGGGACCGGTTCCTAGGTGCGTGCCACGCCCCAGGAGCCTTAATTAGTGTACCTTTCTGGGGGTACCTTTCCCATTTCCATTCTAAACCCGGGGATCCGAGTCTTTTCAGAAAACCATCAAAAACCCAGGGAAACAGATCCGGTTTTTGAAAAGAACAATAATGAAAAAAGAATGGAAAAGGAATCAACCCGTAGAAAACTGCTAGAATCCCACCAAGCGAATGCGCCCATCTATTTCGACCCAAAATAACCTGCAAAGGATGCTTGTGCTTTGGGTATCTTGCTTAAAATGGTCAAAAAGGCCGATTCCCCGAGTTTGGCGGCCTCTCCAAGCTCCCGGATCTTCTCCTCCCGCTTCTCGATCTCCTAAAAAACGCTCCCGCGCACTCGCTCGAGCGCGCGATGCGCGCGCGAGGAGAGCGCCACTGAGCTTAGATCTTAGGACTGAACTCCTCACTTCTTTTGCTCATCCCTAAAAAAGCGACTCGATCCAAGCCGGTTTCTACATTTATCTCATCCCAAACGCATCCGAACCGTTTCCTAGATTTCAATCAAAAAAGCAAAGCCACATCTTGACCCCCATAGGGCTTGAGAGGAGCCCCCGTCAATCACCTTTTGTAGCACCGATCGTCTGTGGATGGGCCAAAAGAAGTCGGGAATCTGTTGAACTAAGGTCCAAACCCAAAACGTGACTCAAGTCCGAAACGGAACTCAGGAAGTGAGTACCCTTGCCAACTGAGTCGCAATAGAAGGAAAAAGTTATGTTCATTTGGTGAAGCCGATCGACGGTCCTCGGCTTATCATAGACGTATCCAAGGTAGCCCGCCCTGGAAATCGCCCCCCCTTGCATGGGGGCTTGTCAAAATTGGGGTTCCTTTTTAGTATGTTTTTTTTTTTTTTTTTATGAGGCAGCACTAGGCAGCAGGGTCCAAAAAAGGTCCGTATTTTGGCAACTCCCATGGCTGGAATCGTTCAACCCCGTCCGCGGAAAAGGTGAACAAACAGGGGTTGCAAGGATATAGGCGCACAACAACACAGTGCCACCGCATACCTTTTCACATCTCCATGTTTTGCTTCGTTCAACTGGGTATGTAGAAGCGAGATATGGAAAACCGGTGTGGAACACATGGGCACCCCTGAAGCACAATCCACAAAGGTGGATCCTGGCTTTGTCTTTCTCGGTGTTGGAGCGCTCAAATGCGTTCTATCTAGTAGGCTGGTAGGATGCTTGATCAACAGGTCCAGGATACATGGGATGACCATGGGTTGGACAACGATTAGGAAAAGAACTTTCCCACAACAGTTCATCGTGGTCAAAACTTGGGGCCGACAGGAACATTGATCAACCCTCTCATGGCAAGATGGAAGGTCACCGGTTTCTTAAGAACTGCTCATGGTCTATGCAAGATCCTCGAATCCCAATTGTGATGTAGATGCAAGATGAAGGCAAAGCTGGGGACTTTGCTTCGCAACACATCTTCCGATCATCCTCCCGATTGGGGATTTAAGAAGTAGGTATGAATTACAGCTTCTTTCGAATATTGCAATGACGTGTCATTGTCACCAAATAAAGGCGGCCTGTGTGTCACAGGAACTAAATGACTTCAGGTAATTGAACTACTGACCCGCGCCTCTTGAGTACTGCGTTTGACTTCCTTGCGGAATTTTTGGGGCAATCATCACAAGCAAAACCACCATTGTAGAGGTCCCCATCTTTGGCACGTACCTCATTCAGCGAATAAAGGTCGAATGCGTTGAAAATACCAGCTCTCCCACCGAGCGAGTCGGGGTCAAAGTGCCCTGTTGGGCAGAATAACCAGGGTGTGTCTCAAACAAAAGGTACCCAAAGCGAGTGGTTTCCTTTTGGTTTCCCTGCAAAGGCATCCAAGAATAGAAGGGCCCTTACAAAATAGACAAACCCGGTTTGAGTCCCCGTTTGTTTTTGGATTGGCCGACTCTCTTGAAGGAACAATAATGAAAAACGGATGCATTGCCGCTGAACAACTGGGCAAAATACAGTTGCATCATGCTATGGTAAAATCTCTCTTTCAGGACAATCTTCATACAATCCTTGTAAGGTTTGTCAAACTTCCCACGTTGGCTGGCTTTCCGTTTTTTCTCTTTGTTTTTGTTCTAGAGATCCTATTGCATGACGTCGACAGCCCTTGCTCCTGTTGGAGGTGGGACACTTCCTTCTCATGCTCCTATCGAGCCATGACAATTGATCCACGGTCGGAATTGGTAGGCGACTAAAGAATTAGAACGGGGTTGTGGGGTGCTTCAAAAGCAATCTTAGTCATGATTACAGGGGAATGCAATCAACTAGGTATCTATCCTGCAAATGACTTGTTTCCCCAAGAGTACATCTACGAAACTTAGGGAGTCCTCCCATGCCCCTCCCGAAGAAACCATGATTGGCAACTGCAACCAGCTGGCGGCTTTCTATCTCTAGGCCAGGTGGTAATATGTCTGCCTCACCGGCTCGCAGCCGACCGCCTGGATGGCGTTTTTCTTGCCTTCAGACCAAAACCCCTTCGGCTCCTTGGACGGAAAAAAAGCTCTCCCAACCCGTAACCTAGATTTGTTCAACTTTGAGAAGAAATAAAAAAGCTCCCAACAGCAACCAGCTGGTGCAGGGTTGTGGGAAATGATCACTGTTGTGATACAACAAAAAGGCGTCACAAAGACTACCTTCCCACAGAAAGGGGGAGATTCCCTTGTATCACAGAAGTGGGGATAAACCCCCTGATCCCACAACCCTGAGCTGGTGTGTTTCTATCTCTGGGCCAGGGAATCCGCCTACCATCTGCCCCTTGCCCCAAACCCCCCCCAGAGCTGGGCTGCGAGGGAACGATTGCGACACACCTGAACAAAAACCGCGAATGGGGTACCTTCCAGTTCCATTCTGAACCCAGGGATCCGAGTCTTCCTGGAAAACCTGAGTAGACCCAGGGACAATGGCTGGTTTTTGAAAAGAACGATGCTTGAAAAGAATGGAAAAGGAAAATCCACCCCTGGGAAACTGCTAGCATCCGACCAATAGATGCGCGGCACAGCCCATATCAGCACCTCGGGAAGATGAGATGTGGGAGACCCCGGATTTGGGAGACCCCGGATTTTGACATGGCTGTGGGTCAAAACCAATAGTACCATTTTGGGGTAGGTGCACTCCCCATTTTAGTCTATTTTAGTGGGGATTGGGATGTTCACCCGGGGTACAGGGTTTTGACCCACAGCCACATACTTATAGGGCTCAACGAGTGTGCTTTGAAGACCACACTGTCGCTTTTTCTTGCCGACACTCGTCGACACTACGCATTTCGGGGACAGTGACAGTTTGCGGCTCCAAATTTTACCGAAGCTCTGTCTTTTAAGCATCCAAACGAACGCGAATGGGTCACTTTCCTCTTCTTGAAGCTTGATAGTTGGGACTCTTTTTTTTGAGGGGGTCTTTACTTTGATGTAAACAGGTCCAAAGAGGGGCCGCAAGACCGTTGCTTCTCCTTGTCTTGCGCTTGGGCTCGCCTCAACATGGAATGTGGAGCATCGGGAAACATGGTTTTCCCTCGGCTTCCGTCTGAAACAAACCTAAAGGGAAAACAAGACATGGCTACGTCTTTCTTGCATCGGGCAAAAATGGTTGTCCCTCGGCTTCCGTCTAGCACAAATCTAAAAGAAAAGCAAGACATGGGTACGTCTTTCTTGAGCCCCTTTTTGGTGAAGGCACACATTTGCCAGATACCCAGAAAACAAGAAACAACGCTTGTAGGTAATTTCAAAGGGAACCTCCCTCCAGAAATTGTGAAGTTGTGGACCACCACCCGTCCAGGAAATTAAGGCACACTCACATAATCCCCTTCAGATTAACATGTACCCCCCCCCCAAGAAAAAACAAAAAACATATCCAAATTTCATGGTATATTATGGCATCTCCTTTTGGGACGGTGAACTACAAAACTCAAGGTACATTTCAAGAGATTGCAACTTACCCACACCACGTTTCATATCATCTGGAATATTCACAAGCTGAAAATAGTACTCAGCTATATCACCTAGGTCTATGCGTTATTTACATTCTAGTTCAACTCAAGCTGCACAAAGTCGCATTCCGGCATAGCCAGCTCCAAATTCTACCCTTCCCAAACTCGAAGTAAGAATTAGATCACTCAAGGTCCTGCGACACGATGCGCTGTATCTGGGCGAAGTGCATGGACCCGTCAGAGTCCATCTGAGAGCGAGCGGAGGAGACTTGCGGCTTCAGGGCTTGTTGGGGGGTTCTCAAAATGGGTGGCCCCTGAAAACTAGAAGTAAACACCTAAAAACCGCAAAACACCAAAAACACCAAGTTTGGAAAACCCCGGCATGGGTTCATGTCCCTATCTGGCCCTATGATGAGTTTCCCTGTGAGCTCCTTGAAAAATAACCAGAACCAGCAGGGAAGGGACTTGTAGCTTGAGAAACACACATAGTTCCCTCTGAAACACCAAGAAATGTCACTTTCAATTGGCCCAAGACGCTTAAAACCACCCAAAAGGGAGAATCCGTTGGCGAGTTGGGTACGAATCAATTTCTCTGAGAGGGTACACTCCCAGCGACTCACATGGAACCCACCAAAGGTTGCAAAGGACCTTGGTCTTTCTGGGTTCCCCAGTTGCGTTCCATATGGATGGGAGGGTTTTCCTTTGTTCGGGCGGTTAAGCAAGACCAAAGGCAAACCACCCATTTGGTTTCTGCCCTTTCTCTAGGCGGCTGGATGAACTATGCAACCCCTAGAACTACAAGTGGCTTCCCAGTTTTTCCTTCAAAGCCCACCTACATGTACGCGACAGCTAAAAAGTTTGGGGGTTGACCAAGAGGTCCTTTACCTGGAATGACTAGGGAAACCGCCAAAAAGGAAACGACTTCCACCACTAAATGGACAAAGTTATTTACGGTCAAATTGGTCCCCTAAATGGAATATTGGTCAGCCCCCACTTTTGCTGCGAATCTTCCATCCGGCTGTCGCGAAAGGCTGGGTGTTGCTCAGGTCTTGGGCTGAAATCACCCTTCGGACCCCTAGATTTGGGGGAGCGGGGGGCTATCTCAGCCCAGGATAAGCCAAGGATAAGCCCTTAATCGCCTGAATAAGGCCTTAAGCGATTAATAAGAGACTTCCGCCCCCCCCCGCCCCAAATCGTCTCCATGACCAGGTGTGATCGAAGATCATCTCAGCTCCAAGTCGAAGCCCTCTTTTTAGTGCGAACAATGCTCCATTGATTTGCTAGGCCAGCACAAGCTTTTACCAGTTCCTGTCTAGGCAGTTCAGACCACTGATTCCACTGATGCTTCAAACCAACAAGGAGAAATCTGGGGACCCCTTCTCCAATCTAAAACGCTTCAGGAAGTCAGCACCTTGCCCTTTCCATGAGCTTGGCGATGCGTCAGTTTGCGATGCGATGCGTCAGCACCTTACACTCGAGTCGGTTCCTTACCAAAGGAGGGGGGAGGGGGGAGGGGGAGGCGGAAGAGGGGGGCTTTATGAAACCCTTCAACCCCATTCCGCCCTGCCTAGTCTTCTCAAAGTTGGGTCTAACCAATCAATTGTCGTGGGCTGTTGAAAATGAAACAGGGGATCTCGAATAATCCAAGCAGTGGGGCACCGGCTGACCGCCACAAGTTGCGGTTTTTGAACAGCCCAGTCGCAAACGACTCCCGTGGAAAGTCACATGGGGCATTCCCATGACATCACTTTTGGCTTGGAATCACAGCTGGGTCAAACACAATCACATGTCCACACCTTTGATCTCTTTTGGTGTGCTTTTTCGAGGGTCTTTGTAAGGTTGGAATGAAAGGAATAACAAGGAAAACCACCATGTTTGGGTAGCAACTGCTGAACCACACACTCAGTCCCAGACCATCATCTTCAAAACCTCACGGGTGAGGTTGATCATGAACCTCGGAACATACCGAGCCTCTCTCAAATAATTCCATGCAAGCTAAGGTCCATTAGGCAAAATGTCTTTGCTTTTTCGGCTTAGGGTTGGGGTGGGTGGAATACCTTTCCTCTTAGGGGCGCTTGGTAGCGTCGTCAGCGGGGAGGATGTGTGACACACGGGATGTGAATTTGAGTTGGTCTGCACTGGGAAAACCGACAAGTTCAAGGTTGGACCCAAACTGTACGGGCAGGGCCCAAATTAGGGGGACTGTGGGGTACCATTAATGTTGACCCCAGATGAATCAACCCCAGTTTATATGGGGGTGTTCAGTGTTCCCCTCCAAAAGTGACAGGGACGCCCCCTTTTAATAAACAGGGGTTGAATATTGTGAGGTCTTAATACGCCTAGTCATTATATCACAGTATCATGCATGAAATATTGTTTTTGTCATTATGCAGGCTTGGTGTGTTGACATGGAATACATGTCACCGATTGCCAGGCGCATTTTTGGGATTGCTGAACAGTTCTATAAGCTCTGCCACCCCTCATGACCAACCCCTTAGTACCGCGCTTTCGGCAGAACCATGGTTTTCTCGCAACGACTCGATTGATTTCACTTCCAGCCCAACTAATTGATATCTAGTCTCCGGATGTGTCCTCAAAAAACAACAAACTTGCAGCACGTCAGAGAAGTGATGAGAAGTGGGTCAAGCCCCAGCCTGCGCGAGGTTAAACTTTGTATTTGTATGCTATGTCCTCAAATTAAGCCCGTGCGTCACGTCAGATTAGTTAGTGTGGCCGTCCCTGCCTGCTGCCTCGAAATGAGGGTTCCAACCCGCTAGCTTCAGATCTTCGCCACTTGCCCTTTCCATACAATGTTCGATGTACAAACATTTTTCTTTAAACAAAAACAAATTGTGTTGATTGCATACTTCCCTTACATAAACAGTTGCGATTCGATACTTTTTCATACCCGGCAAACTCCACACCTCGGCCCGCAAAATCGTGCTCTACAACTGATTCCCCTAAACACAACGCTTTAACGACAAGAAAAGGGAGACTCGAGGTGTTATATAAGAGTGGTTTTCCAGGGTCACAAAATGCCTGTCGGCCCCCAAACAGTCCCCTACAACAGCTTTCTCTCCAGCAAGGCGAACATTTCCTCGCAAGATGATCCACCTGTCGCAAAACCACCTTCTGCACCAAAAGCCCTAGGAAACAGAATGGCCACAACATTGGGCTCCCACCTTCTCCCCCCCGTTTCAAGGTTGCGGGCAACAACATCTGGCGACTGCGACCTTTCCCCTCCCGAGGGATGCGGTACGGGACCCCTCCCAAAAAAAAAGAGGGTTACTTCCACTCCCAAACGAACATATGGGTCCCTTTGGCACATTAATCTCGGCTTCGGTTTACATCCCAAGATCTCTTGGATGAGTTGGAAGAGGAAAAACCATCCCTGCTGCTGGTTCTGTTAAGCGAATCAACAAAACCGGTTCACTCCCAAAACCCGGTCTCGGTCCTTCCCCAGCTATCGCACCAGCAACATAAATTCCGGGTCCAACAAACAGCATAGCTGGGACAGTTTCGTGTCTCCATTCATCTCAGTTGCTGAGACTGACCAAGAACAGTCCGAACAAACGTCGCAAGCCACTAAAATGTATTTTGGAGAAAACAAAAAAGCACCAGGAGTCGCCACCTTTAAAACAAGTATTTTCTCAAGAGAAACCAACAAAAACTCCACCGGAGTCGCCACCCTTAAAGCATGTTGCATTCTTGGGAACACACAAATCTACCTGAAGTCTCCGTTTTCACCAAAAACTGGGGGCCTCATTTTTTGTCCAAACCCAGCGGTCAAGACGCATCCAGAAACCGAGAAAGAGATGCGAACTGGCAAGGCGCTCCCGCTCCGGAGGCTCCAAGGAGTTCAGAGGCTCATAGAAGTAGCAGACCCGGTCCTTTCTCCAAAATCGCTAGGACCGATTTTCTGAGGCAGCTTCGGCTGAAAGCAAAAGGAAAAACCATAGTTGCCTGGTGGGAATCAAGTGGACCCCAGTTTTTTCATGTTCTTGAAAGTGCGTTTTTGGCCAAAGGTTCGAAAGGAACCTTCTCAGGTGCTCTTTGGACTTGTTCCCTGGGATTGGGGAAAACTAATTTACATCCAGACTTTTTGGGTGAAAGAGAGTGCGGGGGCATCGACCAGATGAAGAGGATGCCAATGCAGAACAACTCAGGGGCAAAACGGAAACACCTCCGAATCAGCAACAAACAACACCAATACAACAACAGCTCGAAAAAGACAAAAACAACATCTATAACATACTTCCTGCCCACTCCACCCACCCAGCCCAAAACTTAAAATGGAGTTCACCCCAAGCCCCCAAGCCCCCAAGCCCCCAAGCCCCCAAACCCCAAACCCCAACCCCTTGGGCCCCAACCTTGGTTAACGTTGGAAGGGGAGCAAAAATCTAGATTTTCTTGCAGTTCAGTGGATTTGCATTTCAACCACTAAACCACAATAAGCAAAATGATTCAAATTGTTTTCCAAGAACCATGCGACCCCCAAACCTCAACCCCCCACCCCCCCCAACCGGGGCCCTATACGGCCCTACGCACCGCTCTGTCCAGCTCATGAGGCCCGTGGCGCCCTGGTCGGGCCAGGTCCCGCAGCTCCGACACCTCCTGGAGCGGCAGGCCCAGTCGCAGGGTGGGCAGGGCTGCTTCGGGCGGGATACGTCCGGGCAAAAATGAGAAACTGTGTTCTAGTAGTCACTGGCTGAGTGGATGGCCCAAAAAAGGCCAAACTTTATATTTACCACTAAAACGGTCTTCCCAAAAAGGTTAAAGTTCATGAACTCAGGAACGGAGTGAAAGATCCCCCAAAATCAGAGAAACATCAACACAGAAACCTGTTCTGAAGAAAATCGAGTGACATCGGTTCCCTTGAAAACCGACGGGGGAAGACTAAAAAGATTCATTTCAGCAAGTGGAAGGTTCGGTTCCGTGTTGTTTTTTTGTCTCAGTTGGCACCCTTGGGAAACCACAAAACAGGTCCATGGGAACCATGGCTGGGGCGGCGCTTGGGTGTAGTCAAATGTATCCAATGGAGAATAGCTGCACAGGATTCAGAATTCGGAATCGTCTGCGAAGTTGATCACCGTCTTCGATGCCTTCATTGGAGACCCTTTTTAGATTCCCAGGCCAATGTTGCGGAGAAGTGGGTTAGATCAATTCTGCTTAACAAAGTGGAAACAAAAACACATCTCCAACTGAGTATGTAACAAGAGACCAAAACCACTCTCTGAAAAACCAGCCGCAATTGCACGGCTTGGTGACCAACACAGACCGTCAAATGAGTCACTATCAACACCTTCTATGGAAAAGGATATACCCGAAGAACCACAAAGAATCAAAAGGGCTGCTTGCCGAACCAAAGCCCCTTTCCAAGAGGAAAGTGGTCTTTCTACAGGGGTCTGTGCACTTCCATGTTCGTCGGGAGGGTAGCTCGGAGGAGGGTAGAGTGGAGATTCAGGAGTTTGAGAATTTGTTTTGCTTCGCAAGGTGTTCTTTGACTTATCACGAATAACATTTGAGCTGGGTGCAATTTGTTCAAATTGGTCTAGGCTGAATTGTCAGTTTCTTGAGACTGCTCATTTCGACATTGAATCAATTGAGATTATATTTCTTTCCTGCAAGCTCATGTTTTTGCCCCGTGAGCTCGCTAATCCTGCAGACCAACCTGCAATCAGGCAAACAAAACTGGTCCCAATCAAGCCCATCTTCCGCAAGGAAAGTGTCCTCAAATATGGCCAAATAGGGCTTTGCCCCAAAAGGGGGTGAATCCCCACCCACCAAACAGTACACTGCCAGTCGGAAAAGTGTGAAGCCAGGTAGGACCATTTCATTTGCTTAAGCCCCGGACAAAAAAACAAATGCGAACTTTAAAACCAACAAGGGTGAGAAACAATTAAATCCATATTCATTTCAGCAGATGGCAGACCCAGGTGAGTGCCCCTTTTCCAATTCCCGGTCTGCTGTTGTTCCATACAGCCAGAGCCGCCAGAATTTCCTGGAAGTTCATTGCTCAAGTGGCAAAGTTCCAGACACAAGAACAGTGATGGAACTCCCGGCGTGGATTGTGAGACTGCCAACGCTTCGGCACGACCCACTGAGTTGGTCTGGATGGTCTTCGGTGGAGGTAACACCGGCGAGTTGAGTGGGGAAACAGTCAGGGAGAGGGCGAAGCCACCCATTTGGCGGGGCCCAATCTTGAGAGGTGTTTGCAACGCCCCAAGTACCTTCACAGTACTGCAAGGACTCCCAAAAAACGACATGCCAGGAGTTCTATTAGAATTTAACATCATCCCCACAAAAAGCTCACTTTCAATGAGCAACCTGACGATTGAAACCACCCAAAAGCAAACGTGAACCTTCGAAATCTGGACATCATGCCGGAGTGATTCCCCTCCACTTCTGAGGGTGTTCCCCATTGACATTCAGAACCACAGGTGGTGTGTGACTATTGTTAGGATTTGTGTAAAGCGGTGGATATCCTTTTGGTTTGGCTTTAAAACCACCAAAAAAAGGTACCGTCAGCAAAAGACACGCAGGCTCAAAATAACATAAACCGCTACCAAACATGGGACAAACCTGGGCTCGTCCCTTGCTTTTCGTGGTGGACATCAACTTCGGGAGTTCCCCTCCAGAGCGAACCCCAAGACATCCCAAGACCAAACTTAGAACCCACTGGTCCCGGACGGATTGTCATGAAACCGAGACCAAACCTCGGATCCTTGAGGTACGCCGTCCGAAGCTGTGTGAGTTGGCTCCGCATTGCCTCCTGTCCTGCGGGTCGAGGGTGCGGCAAGCGGCAAGCGGCAAGCGGCAAGCGACTCGCTCGGATGGGACAGGGGCGGGTTGTTGCCCCGACTGACGCACAACTGTTTGTTTAAACAGTGTCTGGTGCACCTTTGGAAAGTTGCAAAGTGTTGTTTCGTCTCCATTTCACACCATGTGAGGCCAACGTGGCAAAAAATGAGCGAGCCCCTCCATTTCTCGTGGGTCGTTTCCATTCAACACATCTTCAAACACCAAGCAATGCGCCAATTCCTCCGAGAAAAACACAGAAACGCAGGTGCCCAGTGGACTTCCATGGGGGAAAAAAACAAAAAACTAAACCAACGGGCCTCCCATTTTCTTTGGGTTGGTGGAGGTTCAAGGCAGCAAACAATCGGTCATCGTTTTTTTTTTTTTTTGTTTGACGTCAAAGGCATCGGACCCCCTTCCCCCAACAAAACGTCGAAACCGCCGGCGCCACCGGGCCACACCCACCGGTTGTCGGAGGAGTCGGGGAGGATTCGGCCGGCCTGCTTGGAGTCGCTTCTGGTGGGCGCGCAGCGGCTCCACGATCTCATGCCAGCCTTGACCCATCCGTTTGCGTTTTGCGTCTTTTGGATAGAACAAAAAGAGGTGTTTCTTCCAATGGAGAAAAGCCCAAAAAACATATATATATATATAATATATATATATTGTTCCAAGGGTGGAATCGATTCCAACTGAAAACTCAGGGTCCAACTGAAAAAAACTCAGGGGAAAAGAGCACATATCCAGTTCAGCATTTGGAGGTCACGTTGAGGGTTTGGGTTGGTTTAGCTTGACAATCTTGCCGCGACTTAGGCGGCTGGTGCAGTCTTCCTTTGGCCGTTTAAAGGGCCGTGGGAGTCACCAACACTGCCATCCAAGCAGTTAAACGTGCGGTCCACGGAACACCCATCGGCACGGGAAATGACTGAAGCTTAAGGGAAACCAAACAACAACAAAAAAAACATTTACCAAATCTCTACAGGGTTTGATCATCCAAAAAAGGCAACCCTAGTCCACCAAAATCGCTCCCAACTGACAGATGTTGCATTTTTCATGAGGGCAATAATGCCATCTTGAGCAGAGGGTGTCCTTTCGGGGCGAATCGATCGCGCTGGAACATAGCAAGAACCAAGCTCGATGTTCAACCAAAGTGTCCAAAAGGGACACCTAGGACTGGAACGCCTTCCGGATGACTGCTTCTAGCCGCAATGTGCACGTCCAACATAACTGAGAGTTTTTGCAAGTCCCGCAACTTTTCTTTTTAAATCCCTTTGACATGGTTTGGGTCAATGCAACTCTCTGATGCCAGCTGGTTATTCGAACGTCAAACAAAAATCCACTTGACCCGGATGTCCCCCCAAAAACACGCAACCAATCACAGAACTTCAGGCCTCTTGGCTCATTGGGCGTTTGCTTGGTGGAAGCGGACCCCTTTCCTTATTCTACTGGTTCAAAGCCACACGGATAGGTTCGGACCTTGAAACTCCTAACACTGGCAAACTGCATTTCCTCGATTTTTAAGACACCAACAAACAAAAGCAACGAACTTTGACATCTGCAAATATGGTTCCCCCGCCCATTTCACCTGGCACCTGACGTTCGGGGCCCGGTCCTGACGGACCGATTCCCCAAAGGTCGAAGGGCCTATTTCACGCTGATCCTTGGGAGGGTTCCTCAGGACCCGTCCCTCTCGTTCTTTGGGCTGGACCCCTCCTGCCATTTGCGTTTTCGCCCTGGAAAAATGTGAACATATGGCTGTGGCTCAAAAAACCGGAATTTACCAAAATGGAACTTGCCCTGGTAAGTGGAAACATGGACCAAACCTGCGGTTTCCCCCCCCCCCCCTGTTTAATTTTGAGCCACACCCAAATGTGAACATATGGCCAGAGTGACATCGATGCCCTGCAAAACCAACAGGTACGTCCAGCAGCGGCATCGAGTCCAACTTTAAACTCAACAGGTCACGCTCCAGAGGCTTGCCTCTAGCGCGACAGCTTCACAAGCAAAGCGGTGGATCATGGAAAGAACACATATATCCATGTCAGGTTGGAAAAATGGAGCAGGTGGGCAAAGAACTTCATGTCAGGTTGAACAAACAAACCGGCCGCCGCTCGCAAATGGCCTCGAAAACATTATAACAGGTTGGAACAACTTAACAAACAACTTCATGTCAAGTTGAAAACCAAATGGGGCATCTGTCGATCAAACGTCTCTTCGGGCCTTGTGTATGCATACATGTATACTCTATACTATATGTCTGTCTACGCGCATCCCGACTGAGATCCTAGGTCCTCCAGTAGAGAGGTTTGCATAAGTTGGTACCCGATTTGATTTTCTTCTGCATTCTATTTCAGGGGGTTCCCTCCCCAACTTGAAGAAAGGGCTTCAGAGTTGGCACTTGCTGGGGGCCCGGGTGATCCGATTCGGCCGCGTTCCGAGGCGCAGAGGTGGGCGGTGTGGAGTTTGGCCTCGTGCAGGGCCTTGGCCACCCGCTCCAGCAGCCCGGCCTCTCGGCGAAGGGCGGCTCGCCGAAGGGCGGGGCGCCTTTTTTTTGGGGGGGAGCTGGCGTTCCCCGTGGTCTTTTGGCTTGGGTTTCGAGGAAGACCACCAGGAAACAAAAACGTGATTTTGGGACGTTCAAGGAAAACCACCATGAAAACCCCGTGTTTTTGTTGGGGTTTGAAGGGAAAACCGGCTTCGACTTTGTTTGGGCAAGGAAAACCCTGTGTCGATTTTTTTTTTGAGGCAAGCAAAAACCCGGTTTCATTTGTTTTTCTTTGGGTGGGTTCCGAAAGGTGAAACCACCAGGAAAACCGAAGCCAGTTTGGGTCCCACTCCTGGGTTGAAAGGGAAACCACTCGGAAAAAAGAACGTTTCGCCCTTTGCCATTTTGCCAGGTGTGTCGGTTTTTGGGACCCCCTGCCTTTGGCTTGATTTAGGGGAAAGCGTATCCTTTTAAAGACCCCTACAGACAAACCCGTATGAGCCATAAGCACAACCTATCAGAATTAAGATTGTCTACCCAGAATTCAAAGAATTGATTAAACGACCGCATCCATTTATGGCCGGGATTGTCCCTTACCCTCCAATTACTCAAGCCAAACAGGCAAAACCCAGATAAATCATGGGGCATTAGAGTAAAGTCCACAGGGATTTGAAAACGACAACATGGGCAGAACATGTCGAGTATAACTATACTTCACTTTGACCACGGGTTTCTCCGCAACTCAGCGTGGGTTGTGTCCCATGGCTGCACAGGGGATTCCCCAAATCACCGAAAGTCCCTCTCACTTGCCCGGTTCGCCTGGACATCGCTCGATTTACCTTGGGCAAGAACCTACTTGGTTGGAGCTGACCGCTGTGCGAAAAAGCTTCACTTCTTGCGCGTCCAATGGAAAACCCAGTGTTTCCCAAAAAAGTGAAAGCCCAAGGATCAACCAAATAGCCATACAGTGACATGGAACCTCCAATTCGGGCGGTGTAAAGGAGAAACCCAACTACAACCAGCTTCCCTCAATTGGGGGTTTGGATTGCTACACGAACCACAGGTTCAAAATCCAGTTCCCACCCATCCAAACCACCAATGAAGGGTTACTGCCACAAAGTTAAAGTCCAGAGATCCAACGCTCCAATCAAATAGCCATGCATGAAGTAACATGGGGGGGTACAGGGGAAATCTCTCTACAATCAGTTTCCCTCTAATTGGGGCAGGGAGGGGTAAAAGGGGAAATCTCTATACGATCAGCTTCCCTCTACTTGGTTTTGGATTGGTGGTTTGGTGGTTGATGCTGACCCCGTATGAAACAACCCCAGTTTATTAGTAGTGGGGTGTCCAACGGGATAGACCAGTATTGGAGGGGCCCAACAACCACCCCCCTATTCATAAACTGGTTGGTGGATGAATCTGGGGTCAACACTACCCCTGGATTTCGGTTTCCTTTGGGTTTCCCTTTGACCCCCATGATCAGAGTTCCCAGTTATTGAATGTATATTTTATTGTTTGCTTCACACGGAGTCACTGGAAAAAATGAAATATCCTGTTTGCTTCACATGGAGTCACTGGTAAATGAACCATGTATCCTAAGTCTACCGCCAAGAAAGGTTGGTCTCCCCGAAGCCCGGTTTGGTGGTCTGGTCGTTCCAGCCTCGTTTTTCCCCCCGCGCCTGATCCAGGCTCTCCAAGGTGTCGTCGCAAGCCTCCGGAGGGAGCGTGTCACCTTTTGGTGAAGCAAAAGTGATAACACCGTGGCGGATGTAGGCAGTTGCGATCCCTGCGAAAGGCGAGTGGAGCTCACATTTGGGTGTCATCTTGTGAGTTGGTACCAGATCTTTTTCTTTTTTTTCGGGGGGGAACCAAAAGGAAACCAATACTAGGTCCTCGAGTAGGGAGGTTAGAATAAGGGTACCCGATTTGATTCTTCTGTAGTCTATTCTAGTAGGGGAACCCTCCCAACCAAAAACGGGGAGAGAAGGGCACTACTGGCGGACCTAGTTTTGGTTGTCGTTAGCTACAAGAACAACAGAATGGGCTGATCAGTCAAGGGGCATCCGAGCTTTGCAAGATCAAAGCAGCCGATCCTTTTAGTTGCTGCGAGTACAGCTGGGTCAAAGTGGGCGAATGTTTGACCTCGGATTCATCCGAAGGACCGTGCCAATCAGGGCTGGTTCCTCTTTTGGTAAGGAAGTGGATCTACTTTGGAGGGGTGACCCTGACAGGTAGGGTGCTCTGGATTACATTGCGAAGCACGAACACTTTGATCCCAGGTCGTGCACATCCCTCTGGGTGTGTCTGTTTTTGAATTTTATATTGGACCCCAAAATGGCTTCGTTTTTCCTAAAACACAACAAATCCATATCTCATACTCTCTCACCTCGAGGATGAACTCGTGGATGGAGCGTATGGATCGCGAAGATTGGGCCATGAGATGGCGATTGCTCAGCACCTGCAGAACAAATCGCGCGGTGAACCGCACAACTGGGCTCTTCAACATCGGTCCCCAATCCGATTCTCCGTACATGGTGGGACACCACTAGAAGGGAAGCCACAACCATCAGGCAGGACTAAGGAATGATTTGGAACAAAGCCATTCCCAAGCTCTACAATCATGCCAAAGCCTGCAAGGGATCCATGGCGAGCTCGCGCAAACCTCCCATGTGAGCTCATCACAAGCATAGGCATAGCAAATTTTCCTCCACTGCAACTTGAAGCGATAGGGAACATGTGCATCGTACCAAGAAGAACAAACTAGAAAATTATCCTGTTCATTCCCATCCGTGACAGTGGGATTTCGTTAGAACCTCGAACTTCTCCAGTCTGGAAAGGCCGCCAGATCTGGGAGGTCAAAACCCCACACGAAAAGGCGAAAAAGCTAAGAACCGGATGGCTGGGAGCCACCATGGGCATCCTTGCCAACCCCTCGGTCAAAAAGGTCTGCCTTGCTCTGCAAGCGCTTGTGCTCCTCGTCCATCGCTGGTCTGGATGCATGGCTTAGGATGGGCTTAGGATGGGATTCAGGTGGGCTTAGGATGCTGGTTAGGGTGGTTTGGGGTGGGTTCAAAGATGGGTTTAGGATGGGCTTGGGGTGGGCTTAGGGTGGGCTTCCCTGGGGTGAATGGTGCTCATCATCACTTGATGCTGACCCCCAGATTAGACAACCCCAGTTTATTTTAAAAGAATGGGGGGTGTCCCTGGTTGTACTTTCCCTTTTGGGAGTGATGGGTGGCAGGCCTTGCCGGAGAAAAAACAAAATGTTGCCAACAGCGACCTTTTGGATCACAAATCGACAGAGCTGTGGACCTGCAGTGCCCTTTGGGTGTTGTTTTTCTTTTTTTGGTGCCCCTATACAGGGAAACCACAAGGAAACCCTTCTTCCTAGTTGAGTGAAACTGGCCGTGGTTCTGACCCAGCTTAGTCAACCCCAGTTTACTAATAGGGGGTGCCCCCGGGTTGGCAGGAATCACTTTTGGGGTAGGTTTAGCGTGGGTTTAGGATGGGCTTAGGGTGGGTTTAGGGTGGGTTTGGGGTGGGCTTAGGGTGGGCTTCGGGTTGGTTTAGGACGGGTATGGTGGTTTGGTGGGTTTAGGGTGTGTTTAGGATTTAGGATGGGCTTAGGGTGGGTTTAGGGTGGGTTTAGGGTGGGCTTAGGGTGGGCTTAGCATGGGCTTAGGATGGGTTTCAAGTGGGTTTAGGATTGGTTAGGGTGGCTTGGGGTGGTTTGGTGTAGGTTAGGCTGGGTTATGGATGTTTGGGGTGGGTTTAGGGTGGGCTTAGGGCGGTGGGCTTAGGGTGGGTTTAGGGTGGGTTTAGGGTTTAGGGTGGTTTTAGGATGGGCTTAGTGTTGCTTCAGGGTGGGTTTAGGATGGGCTTAGGGAGGGTGGGCTTAGGGTGCATTTGGGGTGGGTTTAGGATGGGCTTAGGGTGGGTTTAGGCTGGGTTTAGGCTGGGTTTAGGGTGTGTTTAGGGTGGCTTAGGGTGGGTTTAGGGTAGTTTTGGGTGGGCTTGGGGTGGGTTTAGGGTGGGCTTGCGGTTGGTTCAGGGCCAACATGCTTTATGCGCGAGAAAACGACGCGACATGTTCCGCGACATGTTCGGGCGCGGTGGAGGTTTTGAGGTTTTTTGGCCAAGTGATTTGGTTATACGAGGGGTCTGGTGATGCCAGTCATGCAGGCGTTGGCGGTGAGTCTCTTTTTCAAGGGTACCAATTTTCGTGGATTTAAACGTAAGACCAAACAGCTCAGCCAAATGCCTGGAAGTAGCCTCGCAAACCGGAACCCGCGTGTTTGCACAACTGTCCTATTTGACCCACCTGTTTTCTCCTGTCTGGAATTACTGCAAGCATGTTATGCTTTTTCGTGATTCGGATTTCGTGTGCAGAAAAAAGCGGGCATCTCGGTTTTTGTGTTGGTTTCCGACTGGCTCCCCCTATGGCTTCCCTTTAGTCTTCAGGTGAGTACGTCCTACATGGGGTGTTGCTTTTATAGGGTTTGGGGTTTCTTTTTGGTTTCCCTTTCAATTTGCTCGAAGGATGCGTCGGTCGGGGCACTTTGGCTCAGCTTCACGCAGCTTCTTTGAGAAAGCTATCTGCTGGGTGCTAAACAAGCATGTCTAGTGTATACAAAGGGAAACCAACACGGGATTTTTACTTGAATTCTTCCAGAGCCCTATTTAGCGCCTGTGTACTTCTGCCCCTTTCCCAGAACTGGTCCAAGATGGTCCAAGTATCACCTTGACCCTTTTTAAGGCCTCAACAGCTCCAATTGTTCAGTACCCTTTTTCCTTTCGTGTGCAAACTTAGAAAGGGTTCCCTACCAAGATCCCCCCTAGGGTTCAGCCCCCAAATGGTTAACCCAATTTGGATGATGACAATCCTTAGGCAAATGGTGGCTATATAAACTCAACCATTGTTTTTTGTGGTGGCAAAAAACACCCCCAACTGGGTTTTCCGGTTCCTTTTGACGGTTGGGCCTGGCACTTGACATGTTCTGGGGGGAAGCTTCTGCCAGATCTCTAAGCAGATTTGCCGTTTGTCTCATAGAACTCAAATTAGTGTGGCGTTTCCCCTTAAGGCTGTCATTTGGTTCTGCTTGTTCCATCGGCTATTTACCATCCATTTGCAAAAACAGCTGCAATAAGTTGAAAACCTGAATCAAGGAAACCCCGCATCAAGGACCCACATCATCGGTTTTTAGCTCGTGTTGCCCCCAAAAGATAGGGGTCATTTAGGGAACCCTGAAAATGGTGGCTCTCATGATGGCTTCCCTTTAACCCGAGGTGAAACCGCTTCTTTCCGAGCCGCAAAGAAGTGCCGGGCCCCATCCATCTGCGTTTGTTGGAATAAGTCTAACTCCTGGTATACGGGATCCCTAAGCCTCACTTCCTGAGTGGATTGGCGCAGAAAAGTATCCAAACTCTATATTTGCGACTACACTGGGCTTCCCAAACTGGCCGAAGTTAACAGTAGCCAAGTTGCCGTGCTCATCCATCCACTTTACCCCAACATAGGAACAAGGTTCATGGCTGGCATGTCGACGCAACAGCCGACGCGTCCAATAGACGCGTCTCCCAAGGAGTAACCAAAGCAACTCAGCGAGATCCAAACTCTTTATTGTCCACTAAAATGGGCTTCCCGAACAGTGACCAAAGCAACTTAGGGAGGATTGCCTCAGAAAAGTCTCCAAACTCCTTATTTTACCACTTGACATGGGCTTCCCAAACAGTGGATCAATGACCAAAGCAACTGGAGGGAGAAGTGGAAAGGACCTCCAGCGCGAGTTTTTCCCCCCAGCCGGCCTGAACTTCAAGGCATCCTTCTGGTCCCGCAGGGTGCTGCGGCGAATGCCCGCCTTGAGAGACCTGCAAGGGATGCAAATTTCTGCCGCCAGGGCACGGGCCTCTGCTTATTTCCAGTGGCCACCACATGGCCAAAGAGCAAAAAGGAAGCTCCAGGAAACCAGAAGGCTAGCAACAAACCAACGGACAGTGGAAGGAAACTAAGAAAGAATCAGAAGGAGACCACGAGGAAACCAACAGCTCGATTCAGCTTGGAAACGGCGCTTCCAGCCATTTCTCAATGTATTCTTGCCTGTTGCTGGAATGCGCCAAAGATCGAACCCTGCTTAGAATCCTGCTGCGAATTTAGAGCCAGGGTGCAACCGAAACAGGCCGATCGCTAACACACCAGTGCAAACCTCTACTTTGACCCCCGAAATACCATTCACAGCGTTACATGAGACGAAATCCGCACGGCCGCACGGTCCTGCAAATGGACCCCCTGAGGGCCTGGATCAAAACCCAAACTTGGAACCAACGAGTCACAGCTCTGCGAGGGCTGTGCAACTCAAATTGAGTCGCACATGGTTCCAAAGCAAGCGAGTGTTCCTTCTTGCCCTGTGGATCACATCCATCCGCGTCCTACACATTCAGCAACCCTTAATTCCTCTCCATGGTTCATGAGTTTCATCATACGTACATAAACGTTGGTTGTTGCGGCACGGTTTCTGTTTCAACTTTATCTTCCACCATCGACGTTGTTGCAGTCTCTTGCATCGCTTGCATCACGTCCATCTCTCTTCCACTTTGAATGTATTCTCTCATCATCATGATCCTCTTTCTGATCGATTCTCTTCGAAGCACCACGACGGCAATCAACCAACTCACCTTCCGTTGGGTTGGGAACGGAAACAAACGAAGAAATACACGTTTTGCAAAAGTTGCTTCCATTCTTTGGCAACCCCTCTTGAAATACAGCCACTGTGAGCAAATTGGAGAACCCCAACACAGATGGTAGATTTCGAGACACGCCCGTGCCATGATCAACCCCCACCTGAGCCTTTCCCTTGATAGAAATTCCTCATGCTGGTTGCGTAAACCTCCGTACAGCGAATCTTGTTCCTGGCAAATGTGTTCCAACCTCGCAAAGGCGTTTTCTTAAACCAAATGAAAGAGTTCCCTGTGTCCGGCCATCTGGCCATCCCCCACCTCAAGTAAGTCTGTGAATCGATGTGTAAGGACCATGGGATACCGCCGTGGTCTCGTGGCAATGGTGCAATTCGCTTCCAAAATCGGTGATGTCCATGTTCCCACGCAATCCCAAAACGGCTCCCAACTCGAACCACACCCACAATTCCCCGTTTCCCTTGTTACAATCCCAAAAGTTATAAAACCTCAGGAAACGAAACCACACATGCAAATCACTCCGAAATTAAACTCCCCCGCCAAAACAGGGACCCGCAGAGGAACCACACCGGAATCATTCCCGGCCTATTGACCGTTATGATCTTCGCCACCGTTTGCCGAAAGTGCTTATCGAGCACGTCGGCCTACCATCGCAGACAATGAAAGCTGCACAAAGCACCGCCCACATTTGGGGGCCTGCTTCCGAAGAAGGGGTCCCTTACAAATGGCTGGGTTCCTTTCGTTTCGCTTTCAATACCAAAAGGGGGTTCGAAATCCCATGTTCAGAAGCTCCTGATCCCTTGCCATACACGTTTGATGGAATATGGCATGAACCCTGCCACGCTCTGAACAACGAAAAGTCTGAGGGTATGGCTGGGAACCGCCAAGAAGAAACGGGGGGGTGGGGGGGGCGTTTGTAGCAACATCAATTTGGGATGACTTTGCAATGGGAAGAGGTGTGGTAATGACCAAATTCATATTTGGAATGATGGAATGATGATGATATGTCTTCTGAGATTCTTGTCAGCAGCAACTTTCCAACACACAACCCCAGTCTCAGAGGCACCCATACTCGCTCCACAACCACGTGCATGCCTCAGGGTTCGCCACTTGGACGCACCGGCATTCACACTCGCCTTTGCCCTGATTTGTGGTGTGTGTTGGTGGGAACTGGGGATTTGACCCTGTGGAAGCCAACCATCCAAACCGCAGCTGAGATATAACACCGGCAGTGAGGCAAAGACAGTCCGGGGGAACTTGCATCCGAACAAGACATAGGCACTCCAGGCCCCTTTTTAACAAAACGGGTATTCATCCTAGGTGCCCACCAATCTGAAACACCCTGTACAACATGTGGGAGACACCTTTACATAGAAACCTTCAGCATGTATAGGATGCAAATCCAGCCCCGGTCGATGAGGATGCTTTGTTTTGCCGAGACTCTGTTCAGTGATAGCGAATTGGCTGAACGCATCCTTGCTCAGATCATGATTAGCTATCTGAGAACTGTTGCCTTTGGCGAACAACATGCGCTCGACCCATGTTTTCGGATCCAGACCCTCTGGGCCTTTGCCTCGCCACTTCTCACCCGATCCAAGCCCCAAAGAACCTTGGCATCCCAACGGACATGAGAAAACAAAGTGAGTCCCCGGGTCTTTGTGAGAAACTGAGTGAATCCATGTCCTTCCCATGTGGATGGGTTTGTCTCAAGATAGGGGAACCCCCAAATAGTGAGTTTTGCTGTGGTTCTCCCTTCAAACCAACACAAAGCACAGAGAATGCCCCCGGAAAATGAGCAATTACCCTCCCAAAGGCCTCGCATTGCCTTTGCTGCACACGCTGCTGGTCATCCTTCAAAGCAGCTTGCACACGCTGCAGCGCCGACATCTTGGCATCTGAAAGCGGCCCCTTTTGGCCGTCGCCTTTAAAGAAGCCGCGAGGGCCAAAGATCGAAACTGACGGAACTGCAGTACCGTATCTTGGTTGATGTTGGAATGGGAGCAAACATTTAAAATTTAGCAGTTAGTTAAGTGGGGACTTCAACCACTAAACCACAAGAAACAAACCATGTAACATGTTTCCCAACAGCCATGGTATGAGCCCGAATAATACGGCTTTGGGCTTGAGGGGCTTCATGCAAAAACTGTTTGGTCATGGGAATATATTTCTTCGGCCTATTCGTGGAGTGCAGGTGGAGTTTTGAGCATGGGTCAAGCCGAGCCTCTGGATGCGTTTGGCCAAAGCCTTAAAGATGATCTACCCTCCCACCAATTAATATATTATATGGAACCTGACGTTCTGGGGCCTGGACGACCCATTTCTTGTTTAAGGGACCCTCTTGTCATTTTAATTGGTGGGAGGCTGCTGTGACAGAAGGCTGTGATGATTCCCTTCTGCTTCCATGGATCTACGGAGCAGACTCTGAAGCCAGGTATTTTTCTGTGTGGGCGCGATCGATCTCCGTCAGGTGGCCACAGAGCCGGCACTTCACTTGCCCAACAGCGAGATGCGCATGGCCGAGTACAAAGCGCCGGCCCGGACCTCAAGGCCTCGAGGTGGTTTCCCTTGAAGGCAACATCCAGCAAGGGTACCCTCAAAAAACACACGGCACGCGCACGCCCATATGGCGATTCGGGGAATGGACGAAATGGACCGAGCCTCGGGTTTTTATGGGGGCCAAGCAGTCAGTTGAGCGAGAAGCGCGTCCAACCTGCAAGAGGCTTGCACACACACTTGCCGATTTGTATTTTACTTATCTTAGATATTACTTTTTTCTACATAGGTTTGTTCAACCCCGGGGGGTAGTTGACTTTGCGCAATGAAGGCCAACTCAACTGTGCAGCAGAGAGTATACGAAGCCTCATTTGGAAACAGCCTGGTCTTTCGGCCAAGACATTCTCTCTTCTCCGGCCGGACCGCGGAGAATGGCTCAAAACTTGTCCCCCAGACCTTGGGTCCCTTTTAGACGATTCAGATGCCGAGTGGTTCGATGGACCAAATCCACTTCGCCCCAGGTGGTTCAAGCACAAATCTCATCGCGTCTCATGGATGGTCTGAATTTGGCCCAGTGTTGACTTCGGACAAATCCAGAGTAGTCAGAGGACTTAAAGGAAAGCCACCCCCCGAATAGTACAGTCCTCCAGAGAGGTTAGAATAAGGGTACCCTTTTTCTGTTGTCCATTTTAGTAGGGGAACCCTCCCCCAACAAAAGGTAAAAGGGCACTGGGGAACCTAGGTACAGTGCTCTGGATTTCTCCGAACCATATCCAAAACCGAGGCCAAGGCACCCCGGAGCTGAGGCGCTGAGGCGCGCGCACGGCCTCGACCACCGGCGCTTGGTCCCCGCCATCATCCAGGTTGGTGTCTCGGCGCGGGAAAGACAGCCAGGGTGTGAGTCATGACCCCAGCTTAAACGCCTGGTTGAGTTTGAGAGATGGGCGCGTCGAAAACCTTTTAGACCACTTTGGGGGCAACACCCCCCTACTAGGAGGGGTTTGAAAATCCGGGGTCAACATTCAAGACCTGGTATTAAAATGGTTTACCCAATGAAACCTCGTGTGGTTCCTTCGCTTAAGAGCAACCGGCACCCGGCGTCTTGTTGGTCGCTTCCCATCTGGGCAATTCGCAAAGACTCCCCAAGAAAGCCTTCGCAGGTTCTCGCGCGGCTCACCCCTCGGTGAGCTCGCTGTCATGTGCCCAGATCAATACCAATGTTGGGCTCCCTGAACTGTGAACAGCGTTCCCCCCAAAAGGCAACTCACCCGAAGTTGGCAACCCACAAGTGATCTTCAAAATGACCAACAGAAGAAAAAAAATCTAGGCGTTTCTCAACAGGGTGGACTCCTTTTGGGTTGCTTGTTTTAACAGCTGTCCACCGAACCTTTTGGGGGGTCCTATTTGGATAACCCACAACTTTAAGGGTTGCTTCCCCATTCTTGCCTGGGATCCTTTTTTCTAGAAAACCACCAAAAACCCTGGGAAGACAGCCGGTTTTTGAAAGGCATGATGGTTGAAATGGGGAATCAACCCCTAGAAACGGGGCGATTGCCTATTGGTTTCCCTTTCAAGAACGGATACCCTCACAACAAGCCACACATCCATATATGAGCAACACATGAATCAACCTCTACAACCGGAACCTTCCGCACGCCTTTGGCGCCCCTTCCGCTGAGGTTCGGGCGCGCCAAGGCCAGCAGCTGCACCGTCTTCACCGTGAGGTTCTACGGCGGAAGCTGGGAATCCCGTGGTGCGCTCGCTGAAACCTCACTTTGAGTGGGCTGTCCGTTTTCTGATCCCCCGCCAAAAGTCCAACTTAGCGGGTTAAATGGAAACCCAACCACTAAACACTAAAAGGCTAAAAGGCTAAAAGGCTACAAGGCTAAAAGGCTAAGGGGATGGCTGGGAGCCACCTAGTTGATGTTGTTCTTTCAGTTGTTTACCGTCTTTCGCCTAGCAAAAAAATCGCTTTGGCGTTTGCTTGTCTTTGCGTGACATATAACAAACCCTCTCAAGCTTTGGCCGAAGACCTAAGGTTGTTGCCCCGTGGTTGGGCCAACCGTCGATGTCTCCCCTGGCTCCCGATGTCCGGATCTCCTCATCGGAGTTGTCCACCAAACTCCCATCCCACGGCGGCAGCACTGCGTAGAGCGGCGCCTGACAAAGACCAAATCGGCGAGAGGCCGCCCAGAACACAGCGGTTCCTATGGGGGTGGGAATATCCGTATATATATATATATATACACATTGTCTACACATGCACGTATCTTAGAGTGCGACGGGAAGGCGTGACTGCCACACGGGTGCCCTTGATTTCAAGCATGTGCCATAAGATTGACCGTTTCCGCTCTCCCCAAATATGGTAAGATGTGTTGTTGAATATGATTTGCCCAAATCCATATGCACACAGATACACATTTGCAAATATGCAACAGCAAATTCTATATACATATATATTGTATATATGACACGTTTTCGATTGTGTGCATCATATGTCTACGTGCTTGTGTTGCATTGCTGTGTCGTTTTTTGTATCGTGCATGAACTGTTCAAGCAGTGGAATGCCCAGGTTGCAGGCCGGCCGAGCGCAGGCTCCTCTTTGCGCATGAAAGAACAGTACATACTACTGTGGATGGACAAAATCCTACACCACTTTGAAACCATTGGAAACCATTGTTCGTTGGTTTTTACAGGGGAATCATCATTCCAGGCTTTTTTTAGGTGGTGCAGGATTTCGTCCATCCACAGTATGGGTGTCCTGAAAAGATCTGAAAAGGGGGTTCCCGCAAAATCGTGGCTTTTATTTTGGATTCCTTCATATTCCTTCTATAATCAAACCAAAAGTGGGTTCCCTCAAAAAAGAGACAGACCCATATGGCCTGGCATGTGCGAAGACCAAACTGATAAGGGGCCAAACCAAGTTTCGAGCTCGCGCGATTTGGTCATCCTAAGGCGAACTGAGCACTGTGCAATCTTGGGAAAACCATGTGGTCTTTCGTCAAATTGGTATCCACAAACCAACCATAGGAAACTTCGTAGGTGACGTCGCACACCCGCGGGAACCCCAAGTCTTGTCAAGCAACATGTGGGTTCCCTTTGGCTTCCCTTGAAACCCACACAAAGCCAGGCCACCTTCAAAAACGAGCTACCCCCTAAGGCTTACCTCAAAAACCCATGAACTACTGGGTGCTATATCTAAAGGGACACATGGTTTGAAGGGAACCCTGGCTACTTGAATGGTCATGGGTGGTGTTGGAATGGGCTTCTCAACAAAGAAGGGTGAAAGGGACATTACCCATACAAGGAAAAAACACAAACAACAACTTGAGATTGGGCCTCAAGGCAACATACAAGCACACACACACACACACTGTCAATGAAAAAAAACAATGATGAAACAAATCTTGTGGTAGTCAACAAAAGAAGGAACAGGATAGAAAAGGGCAAACCCACCAAACAATGAGTGCAAAGCAAACAAACAAAACAATGGTCAACAGCGCCAACTGTGTATGCCTTCTCAAACACCACCTTTGGACATCAAGCTGGGGTCCCTCAACCCCAAGGACAGATCTCAATGAGCGGAAGGCTTGAACAAGATAACGGGTCATCTTACGCATCGGTCAGCAACACCAGCAAGTAAGAGGGCGCAACATGGCAAAAGCACGGCGACAACATGGATAGCAACAACCAAAACGCCGACAACGACGGCAACATCAGCACAACGGCAAATTAATTCCTTCAGCAACACTACCACTTCAGGGAAAAATGTGGCCAAAGAACAAGCACTGCAAAGCCCATGGGCATGACGGGTCCTGCCTTCCGCCCGTAATCGTCCATTGGCTCTGCGCTGGCTTTTGCCCTGAGAAGGACCTGCCACAGGCTTTTGCCACAAGGGCTGGAAGCCGCTGGAAGCTTTGGGGGCGCTCAACATCTTTGACCCTTTGGACCATGGTGCTGCTGTCCGCACGTTGAAAGGGGACACCAAAAACAGACCCTCAAACTTCGCCAAATTTTAGCAACTTGGGCTGGGCTCATGTGTTGCTCCTTGTCTGTGTGTGCGCCGTTCTGCATCCTCATCGCTGCCAGGCGATGATGCGCAACTCATGCGTCTGTGGGTCAAAACCAATGGTACCATGGGGTAGCTGCACCACCCTTTTTAGTCTATTTTAGTGGGGATTGGGATTTTGACTCATGGCCATGTGGGTGTGTGTGTGTGCATGTCTTTCTTCGTCTGTTTTGCGGCAAACAGATCTCCGAGCTGCGACCCGTTCGCCCGGCCCGGCCGGGCGCCTCTACCGCCTCCGTGTGCTTGGCGTGGCACGCCAGGCTCAGGGGCGTCGTGCCGAAGGAGCTCCTGGCGCGAAAGGCTCCGAGCCAAATACGGCGCTGGCCCAGTCACTTTTTCTAGGGGACACTTCCAATTCCATTCTTTCCAGGGATCCGAGTCTTTCCAGAAAAACAGCAGAACAGCTGGTTTTTGAAAAAAAAACGAGGGAGCCACATGGGGAGCCCACATGGGGACATGATTAGAGTTAGGCCCAGTTATAGAATGTACATTCTATTGTTTGCTTCACTTTGAGTCACTCGTAAAATCTACATATCCTAAGTCTACCCCAGGGGAGCCCTGTCCCCTTCCAAATGTAAAACATCACCTTGGCGGATTGAGGTTGATGATCCTCGATGCCACTGGGAGCGCCCCATTCTGAGCCCAGGGATCCGAGCCTTTCCAGAAAACCATCAGAACCCCAGGGGAAACAGCGATCGGTTTTTGAGAAGAACGATGGGTGAAAAGAATGGTTGGAATGAACCCTAGAATTTTCTGACCCATCGAGTGGCAAGAAGGTGACTCAAGTCCAGGAACTCGGGAAGTGAGTTTTAGAGGAAGACAATGCCGAATCCTGAGTTTGGTAAGCACTCGGAAAGTGGCGAAAGGACGTTTGGCCTCAACACAGTCTGTTTATGGGCCTGGGTAGACCATTTATTTGGAACTTTCCGAGCAAAAACGCTTTAGAGGATGCCACTAAACTGGTTGGACTTCTTGTGGCCTAAGGGCCAAACGTGCCCCCTCAAATTTGTTGCACGGCAAAGGGCGCTTAACCCAAACCTCCACACTTCCGCGGGAAAGGGCGCCCACTTCTTTGTGAGGGATTTCAGTAACTAGGAACATGTGCGGGGGGTTCCTTTGATCAAGTGCAGTCTGAGTTGAATCACGGCCGCTTGTAAGCCTCCCAATGGTTCGGACACTGAGCCAACGGCTGTCCAAACAGAAGTTCTGAAAAGACTTTGTAAGTGTATCTTGTTGTTGAGGCTATCCTTTTCAGGCTTGCTACCAAAGGAAACCAACCAGCCATTTTGCGGGTTCCATTGAATCCTATCGTTTTTGAGGCTGCTTGGGGGTTACTTTAACGGGAAACCAAAAGGAAGCCAGCCATTTTGGGGTTCCAAGTCGAAACCCCATATCGGGCTGTCGCACATTAACCCGTGTTTGGAGCCCCTGCGGCACTCGATGACGATGCTTCTGCAAATGGAATCCAGGCCCGAACTGACTTTGCAGCCCACGAAATTTCCATGGAAACACCTGGCAAGCTGCAAAACTTTGGACACCAAACCAAGGGCATCAAAAGAAATATGGGTGCATGAATCGCCTTCTTGTTCAGCCATTGGGTCTGGACCAAATCAAAACATCAGCATATATAACACAGGGGTGTAACACCCGGGCACCTCTGATATGGCAACGGCTAGAGGAAGCTTTGCACAATAATTCCCTTCGAACAAAAGGGCCTGACTCTTAAGAGTACCCCTTTTCGGGTGTGTTTCAAAGGGACACCAAAAGGAAACCACCATTTTCTACCATTTCTCGTCGCGACTCTCACCCACTGTGATGAAAGCCGTTGGGACTAGGGGTCCCGAACTCCCAAAAACCACCACCCTCGTTGAGCAGACCCCCCGTGATTTCTGCGGGAAATCCAAAGGCCATCGCCTCACGTTGAGGTTGGCCCGGTTTCGGACCATCTCGGCGATGATGCTGCTGCAGTTCTCCCTCGGAAAAGCAAAGGTCCACGTCTTTTGGAGTTTGACTTGCCACAAAATGCAAAATAGATATCATTAAATAAGTTGCTTCCCTTTGGTCTCCTAAGCGACCCAACAAGGGTGCTCTCGGCGATGTGCATGGCACTGGCAAGTTGGCTCGGGTTCCGAGCTCTTTCGACGAGACAAGTCCCAGGACTCACTTCGTGGATTGACCCGAAAAAGTCGATACACTTTTGGCTGAAAATCAAAAATTGTCTAAGGCTTCAAGCTCAGGACAAGTGAGAAACAGCCACAAGAAACAGGACTTTCAATCACCCTCACAAGTTGGCTTGTGCATTGAGAAAGATTCTGGGGATCAGATGCGGAGCACTCTATGATCGACCCGGGAAGTGCAGAGAAATTGAGCGGACCTTCAGGTTGTCCACTTTGATGTGAGAAACAACTACCCACCCTTGCCTGTTTTCCGGGTATGGCTATTCATCTCTGTCCAAGGATGTTTCTCAAAGTAAGGGGACCCCCCTAGAATGGGTTCCCTTTGGATCCCCTAGAATGGGGTTCCCTTTGGATTTCCTCCCCAAAACCAAGCAAAAACAAAGCCAAGGAGGTGCGAAATCCATTTGGAGAAGCTCCCATGAAAGCCTTTCACTTAGCTTCCTCTCACTAAGCTGATCGCGTTGCCGGCATGGTTAAACCGCAGTGGTCTCGAAACAAGGCACACTCCAGCGAACCAGGTTGTGATGATAACCATGACAACTACAATTATATATATATATATATTGACTTTTGACCTTTAAACACCAAATCCAACCCACCATGCCTGCGTACCTTGTTCAAGCACAGCAACATCACAAGGCGCAACTCGCGTGATGTGTATTGCAAAGTCAGCTGCACTCATGATGCAGAGGTACTTGGGTATGTGTCAAAACAGGGGGCCCTCAAAACTGTGTGTCCTTTTAGTTTCCCTTCAAACCCTGAACAAAAATACCCTAAAACAAACACGCACATTTGCAAACACAGCGTGGGCAGTGAGTCAGCTGCCCTGCATTGCCAACCTGTTTTCTTCGCGGCATTGCCAAGCTGGCGTGTCCCTTGGGCCGCGTGTAAATAGGGCCCCGGGGAATGGCGCATCCTGTGCGCATTGTTGGGGTCTGAAGCTTTCTGGGCTTTTCAACATGGAGTCTTGACCAATCTAATTTTCCGAATTTCCCTCTTGGCAAACAAAACCCTTTCCGCAACCAATCATTGCCTTTGAACAGCCCAGTTGCTTCATTATTGAATACGTCGCCCGAAATGCGCCTTGAAAAACCGGGCCTCAGCTCTTGCAGTGCTTAGCCATCTCACTCAGGATCCCATCGAAGTCCTCAATGGCGTAATCCTCCAAGCGGCCTTGTACTCTCACCAGCTGCTCGTATGCATCTTGTAGACTCGCCCAGTCAGTTGCGCGCAAAAGCTGCAGCTGCTTTCGCAAGGCGGCGGAAAGGTCGTAAGTCAAACCGCCACATGACGCCACGGTGTCGTGAAAGACCTGTCCAGTGTCACTCGCGTTACTCATCACCCCAGCGATCCGTGCGAGGGCCATGACGGCGTGCACAGCTTTCAAACGACCGGCCTCCTGGATGAGATCGTTGATGTCATCTGTCACTCGGTGGCTCTGCTCGTACTGCTGGGATGGCCGAAGCCGGTCGAGCTGGTGAAAAGCGCGGAACGCGCGGCTGCCGAAACTCTTCTGCAGACTTTGCACATCCACAACTTGTGCATCTTGCTTTTCCAACTCCTCGCAAACCACTTTGGTTGCGCTCAGCCTCGCATCCTTGATGAGTCGCTCTAGGATTGAAGTCTTGCCCACCTCGTTCAGACGACTCAATCCAGCCAGGGCAGTTGCCTTGGGGTCAACTTTGGCTCTCTTCGCGGGAGATTCAGTGTTTGCCATGCAAAATGCGTGCCAAAAGCTCTAGTGAAGGCTTTACAAGAGAGTCAATCTCTTGCATTCTTGCATTCAGCCCATCAGGTTCCATAAGCAATTCACCAAGGGGACATCAGTCCTGAATTGGCTCAAGATCTCAATGTCAGCTGGGTTGTCGTCGGATATGATTGGGATTGAGCATTTGATGGGGTATCAAAGGCCCCGCCTTCGGCGACCTTGGGTTTTAGTTTATGATCCAATTTGGTAGAAAACAATTTTGAGCCAGGCTGGTCTGTGCATACGAGCTAACGTTGCACAAACCTGATTTCGAGCCACCCCCAAACAGAATGCTCCTGTGGGCATCGATCCCTGGCCGTGGAATCGCTGAGTAGCGTGCAACCCTTGAATATAGTATGGTTTGTTCGGTTGCTCTGCCAAAAAAACGGTCTTGGCAAGCCCGAAAAGACGACCTGCTCCGGCAGGAGAAGCGTGCCCCATAGATTCCGATGCCGGGCTCTGAACGCGCGCCTGCTATTCAGCCCGCATGCCCCGATTCGCTCAAGACAATCCCGGATCTGTCTTGATGCGGGGCATGGCTCAAAATTGAGCCCCACCAGGATATGGACCGCAGCTTGAGTTGTCCACGTGTCCACTTCCGGCAACCCATTCTTGGGAACCTATTTTTGACCCACAGCCACATTTGGCCCAAGGAAAACCTCCAGCTTCGGGAGCTCCAAAAGCGAAAGCGAAAGCGCCCAGCTTGCTTCTTGGGCTGCACCTAGGGGATGCACTAATTACTCCTGTCCACTTCTCGAGGCATGTGAGCAAAATCTTTGTTTTGTGCAGCCGCCCAACAAAATGAGCAGATGCAGACCAAATAAATAGACTAAACACACATGCCAAGAACAGGGAAGCAGCTGCCTAGTCTCCGCCTGAAAGCGGGGCAATTGGGTGCGCAGTGAAATCTTTTGTCCCTTACCTTTGAGAAAGGTACCAAACAAATTCCCCTGCCCCCGCACGGCCAAGGTGTCTATTTTTAGGTGCGGGGACTTTCCAACAAACCACAATTGACCACGAAATGTGCAGGGCTCCTTATATGTTTTTGCAAAACGTATGTTCCACCAGAAGCAAGCACCTTTCACATATGCGCACAAGGTGACCTTTAAACCATCCCAAAGGGGCAATATGGGTTTGTCTCCACTCCAAAATAATTGGTTTTCGTTCTGCTTTCCCTTCGCCACCCCGAAAAATCCCGGAATAAATGACACACTAATATGATAGAGAGTTTCTCCAAACGGCAGATGGTTTTTCTGGTTGGTGTTTAGAGTTTAGAGGGAACCCAAAAGCCAAAAGGCAACCGACCATTTCTTTGTCAAAAGCCCCACAGCTCCCCTCCTCAACTTTCTGCTGCCCATCAGGCCCGGGCATGTGCGGTTTCCGCGCCAGGACATGTAGCCTCAGGTTGATACTTTTTGGAGGGGAGCCCACTGAAAACCACGCAAAAAGCACCGGAAGCCCTTGGAAGGGTGTGTCTAGACCCAAAACGGATCCCTCAAAACCCAGCTGAAAAGGGAAGCCACAAAACCCAAACATGCACGCACACGCACACTTGATCACTTGGATGCCAAGAGGGTTGACCATCTTGGAGGGAACAAAGGGTGCTGAACAACTGGGGTTGGGGCTTTACTGCAAAACATGGTGTGCTGTTCACTCGCTCAGACTCATCGCGGAAGCACAGGTGCTCGAGTAAGCGTGCCCAATATGCCGGCCAACAGTTGCTTGTCCCGGCAGCAAGTCTGCGGTGCTTTGGATGTCCAAACCCGCGTCAGTTGTGTAGACTATGACCATCATTGAAGGGGACAGTTGCGGATTCTCCAAGTAATTGCAGGTGAACCAACAACCTCCAACCACCAAAAGCTGGGAGAACAACAGTAGACTAGCGGATCCTTCTTGACCCCTTGCAATCTTCAGCAAACCCACCGGGCAAGGGTACTCCTGGGGGCAAGGTGCACCTTCAACCCCGTTAAAGTGAGCTCTACCGATAATTTATCAAATTCACTCTCGGGACACCCACGGCTTTCTTGGGTTTTTCGCAGCACCGTTTGGGTGTTCCCCAAACTAATGGGGGCCCATGTTCATTCGTTTCCCTTTACGACCAGCTAACAGCGGGGTCCTCTATGTGAGTGACTCACTTCCCGCGTGGATGACAAATTGCTCGTATGCCACTAAACTGATCTTAAAAACCAGAAAGTCCATGAACTCAGGAAGTGGGTAGAGGGCCACAAATCTGGATCTCAGACATGTCCCTGGCGATGGGATAGATGGGGCCCCGGGCAGCGTCATGAACTCCGCGGCATCTTGCGGCCGCATGGGCGCGTTGACCTCAGTGAATCATACGCATTGACCCCACGAGCTCACGAGCTGACGTGGTCGGCGAAAATAGATGCCAGCGACCTGTCTCCATGGCTTCTCGCGAATGGAAGCAGGTCATGTTAGAAGCCAAGGGGCAACTCCCCCCCCCCTCCGCCTGCCCTGCCATAGACCCAATACTCACCTTGCCATTTTTTTTGCGCCAGCTCTCAGGCGACCGGGCAGACGCGCGGGCATCGATGAGTCGCTTCACTAAGCCGATGTCCCCCCTGAGGCAGGCCTCCTGGATGGGGAAAGTTGGAAGAAAAAAACAACATCCGATGTATCTAGGTCCTCCAGTAGAGAGGTTAGAAGACGGGCGCCAACTACAAGATCCGATGTATCTAGGTCCTCCAGATTTGAAAGGTTAGAACAAGTTGGTACCAACTGTTTTTTCTGGAGAACATATTTTAGTAGGGGAACCCTCCAAACCAAAAAAGGGGAGAAGGGCACTACTGGGGGACCTAGGAATCCCAGTGCTTCCAAGCGTTTCGCCACAAGGGGAGACCATCCATGGTAAAAAATGGAAAGAAAGCCTGGCGAGCTTGCCTGGAAGCACAGGGTGTGGCATGGCCACCCCCAAGTACCCTCCAAATGGACACATATATATATATATATGGTCACCCCCCCCGCCAAGATCCTCGCCTAGGCTAAAAACACTGTAAATACCAGTGTTTTGTAGCATTTTGGGATCATCAGAATCTGATGATCAGGAAGGTGTCACTATTTGATGATTGTTTTAAGCAGAAGCAGATGTTTTTCTTGTACTTGGAATGCTTGCTAGATGATTTGAAGCAGATGTTTTGAAGCAGATGTTTGGCGCCTTTTATCTCAGAAGTACTTGAGAACTTCAAAAACCTCGAGAAAACCAAAAAAAATCTGAGGATAATCTTTGGTTTGCAATTTTTGTTTTTTTTCAAGGTGGTTTTGTGTGTTTTTTGGTTGTTCCTAGTGTTTTTTGGGTTTTTGCATTAAAAGCCAAAAAAAACAATGTCTTTTTTGGTTTTCACTCAAAAACCAAAAGCCCTAGTCTTTTTTGGTGTTTCAATAAAAAACAAACAAAACCCTAGTTTCTGGTTTTTGGTGTTAAAAACCAAAAAACGAATCTTTTTTGGTTTTTTAGGGAAAAACCAAAAAACACCTAGTCTTTTTTGTTTCTTAATGAAAACCAAAAAAGCACTAGTCTTTTTTGGTTTTTTGTTCACAATCAGGTGGGTACGCTTCAGGACCGCCATGACATTAGAGTCATTAGATTCTTTCGCATACCAGGCGACATCCAGCATCTTCATGAATTTGTCGTGGCTGACATAGGAGATCTGTCCTGCACGCTTGGCGACAATAGGGAGGTCGTCCTCGGGCTCCTCCTTGGAGTCAAAGTCATTGACGCAATAGATGCGAGGCTGCCCCTTCACCCACTTCGCCGCGCCCCAGCGCTCTTTCGACATAGACTCCACAATCCCCACGTCAGTGAATGCCTTCACCTTCTTGAATGGCTGTTCACTCAGGGAGCCATCATCGAAGATGTCCGGTCGCAGCACCGACCCACACTGGCCCCTGAAAAAGTCGAATTCGCAAGCTTGACGAAACGAAGGGACGCGCCTGATGTTGTGCCTGGATAGTGCCATCGCAAGTGTTCGGGCGACTGGGGTTTTACCAGCACCGGGCTAGATTCTGGCGAAGAGGTCTGAATGGTAACCCACCCTGAGTTGTCGATTCTTCACATTCTCCCGGGGAGCGTGCTGTTCGATAAAGTCAAAGCCGATGTTCCATTCCTCTTCCGTCCTCTCTGCATCTGGTTTACCCTCTTCTTGAGACCTCAAGACATGGTGGCGACACTGGAAGCCACCCAGGTTCTCGAAGACATAGTGAAGATATTTCTTCATGTACTTCACATTATTCTTCCAATCCACCATCAAGGCTTGACGAAGGTCATGGGCAAGATGTCCGAAATCTTTGCTTTCTCCTTGAAGTTGATGATCTTGCAGACACAGAAGTTTCCATCTGTTTGCTTCAAGACCGCGATGTCCAGCATGTAGGGTTGCCGAGGCTGGGACTTCATACCATAGGGGCGGGGCAAGTCGGCGTACCCAGTGCCGGTTAATAGGGCCTCCTTGATCTGACCAGAAGGAATCGGGTCAGCAACGTCTGCAATGATTTCCACAACGCATTTCGCAACGTCGCTGTCTGGCATGTCATATGTGGTGAGATCTCCTAGGCCCAGACGACCCGCCTCGGACTCGTGAAAGTTGTGCTTTGTCAGGGAGTGGAGGACAAGCCTCTGGAGTGTCTCCTTGACATCATCGGGGGTCACTTCGCCGGCCCTGAGCGGTGCCATGATGCTTGGCGAAGGAAGTAGATCGAGTCAACAAAAAAGCTTGAGCTTGACAGATGGCTGGCATCAAAATTGGCTAGCAGAAGATGCAGATATACAGGCGCAGGCTGGCAAACAGATGTGCAGATGGATTGCATGAGGTTTGATAAATGTACAGACAGATGCATAGAATGGTTGAATCTTTCATCAATGTATGTGAGAACTGCCTGAGTTGAGTCCATACTCCCGGCCCAAGCTGGGGTGCACAAATGCTATCTCGCACCTTTTCGCGCCACGTGCGTGCCCTAGTAGTTAGAGACACCGGCTATATACAACACCTCCTCAGGTTGACAGAGGCGGTTCTGCATAAACACCTGTTTTCATATTTTGCGTCCAAACGGGCTTAAAACCCCGGACAACCCCCCGGACAACCCTCCGGACAGCTTTGAGGGCACAAAATCGGCGGGACAACTCCCCGGACAAACCCCTGGACAACCCTCCGGACAGCTTTGAGGTCCCAAAAGCCCGGGACAAACCGCCGGACAAGTCTTCGGACAGGTTTGGAACACGCCAAAACCACTCGGAAACCACTCGGAAACCACTCGGAAACCACTCGGAAACCACTCGGAAACCGCTCGGAAACCACTCGGAAACCACTCGGACCACTCGGAGGGAAGTATTCTCGCAGGAGGGGGGGTTTGCAGCATAAATCTCGGCAAAGCGCGCGGACAACCCTCCGGACAACCCTCCGGACAACCCGCCGGACAACTTGCCGGACAATTGTTTGTCCAGCAGTTTGTCCCGCACTTTGTCCGGCACTTTGTCCCGCACTTTGTCCCGCGTATCGAGGGGGTGTTTATGCAGAAGGGCATTCGTCAATCCTCAGGTGTCAAAAGCACCTGGCCGGTCTCAATGACCTTGAATAGCTGCAACTCAAGCCGGAAGACTTCACAGCCTGGGCCGGGCATATGGTGAGCCATAGCAGAAGACACATTTTTGTAATGCATTGATGACACACAAAGAAACGCCAGAAGTGACAAAATATCTGCCATATCAGGTTCTCTGGCCAAGCATTGGGTGCTTGA